CTACAGAAGATCAGTTTAGCATACATTAAGTAAAGATTTCAACAGTTTGCTCCCACACAGAAACATAGTGAAAAATAATAGATGATTTTTTAAATGATGATGAAATCAGATCAGACCTATTGTCATGTTTAATCCCAGTGAGAGTCAAGTTGGGAATTGATAATTTCTTTTTTTTTTTTTTTTACAGAAGAACAGTTTAGTATACATTAAGTAAAGCTTTCAACAGTTTGCACCCCCATAGAAACACAAAGTGAAATATACTGTTTGAGTGCTCGTTATAGCATTAAGTCTCAATGTACAGCACGCTAAGGACAGAGATCCTACATGAGGAGTAAGTGCACAGTGACTCCTGTTGTTGACTTTACAAATTGACACTCTTGTTTATGGCCTCAGTAATCTCCCCATGCTCCAGTCATGAGTTTCCAAGGCTATGGAAGCCCCTTGAGTTCTCCGACTCTTATCTTGTTTAGATAAGGTCATAGTCAAAGTGGAGGTTCTCTCCTCCCTTCAGAGAAAGGTACCTCCTTCTTTGAAGACCTGTTCTTTCCACTGGGATCTCACTCACAGAGATCTTTCATTTAGGGTTTTGTTTTTTTTTTTTTTTTTTTTTTTTTTTGCCAGAGTGTCTTGGCTTTCCATGCCTGAAATACTCTCATACTCTCATGGGCTTTTCAGCCAGATCCGAATGCCTTTAGGGCTGATTCTGAGGCCAGAGTGCTATTTAGGACATCCACCATTCTATGAGTCTGCTGAGTATCTCGCTTCCCATGTTGGATCACTCTCCCCTTTATTTATTCTATTGGTTAGTATTAGCAGGTACTAGACATGTTTATGTGCTCCCTTTGACTCTTAGTCCTTTCATTATGATCAACTGTGAACTGAAATTGATCACTTGGACCAGTGAGATGGCATTGGTACATGCCACCTTGATGGGATTGAATTGGAGTCCCCTGGTATGTTTCTAACTCTACCATTTGGGGCAAGTCCAATTGAGCATGTCCCAAATTGTACATCTCTTCCCTCTCTTATTCCCACTCTTATGTTTAACAGGGATCACATTTCAGTTAATTTTCAACACTTAAGAATAACTGTGTATTAATTACAGAATTAAACCAGTCATATTAAGTAGAACAGACAAAAAAAACTACTAAGAGGGATAATGTATTAAGTTGTTCATTAACAGTCAGGGCTATGCTGATCAAGTCACCGTTTCTCATAGTGTCCATTTCACTTCAACAGGTTTCCTTTTTGGTGTTCAGTCAGTTGTCACCAATCAGGGAGAACATATGGTATTTGTCCCTTTGGGACTGGCTTATTTCACTCAGCATGATGTGTTCCAGATTCCTCCATTTTGTTGCAAATGACTGGATTTCGTTGTTTCTTACTGCGGTATAGTATTCTAAAGAGTACATATCCCATAATTTCTTTATCCAGTCTACTGTTGATGGGCATTTAGATTGGTTCCAGGTCTTGGCTATTGTGAATTGTGCTGCAATAAACATTAGGGTGCAGACAGCTTGTTTGTTTGCCAATTTAAATTCCTTTGGGTAAATCCCAAGAAGTGGGATGGCTGGGTCGAACGGTAGGGTTATCTTCAGGTTTCTGAGGAATCTCCAGACTGACTTCCATAGTGGCTTGACCAGTTTGCATTCCCACCAACAGTGGGTTAGTGTCCCTTTTTCCCCACATCCTCGCCAGCATCTGTTGTTGGTAGATTTCTGAATGTGAGCCATTCTAACCGGGGTGAAGTGAAACCTCATTGTGGTTTTGATTTGCATTTCCCTGATTGCTAGTGATCTTGAACATTTTTTCATGTGCCTGTTGGCCATTTGGATTTCCTCTTTTGAAAAATGTCTGTTGAGGTCCTTGGCCCATCTCTTAAGTGGGTTGTTTGTTTTGATGTTGTGGAGTTTCTTGATCTCTTTGTAGATTCTGGTTATTAACCCTTTATCTGTTGCATAGTTTGCAAATATTTTTTCCCATTCTGTCGGTTGTCTCTTCACTCTCCTGACTGTTTCTTTTGCAGTACAGAAACTTCTCAATTTGATGCAATCCCAATAGTTGATTTTGGCTTTGACTGCCTATGCCTCCCGGGTCTTTTCCAGAAATTCTTTGCCTGTGCCAATATCTTGAAGGGTTTCTCCAATGTTCTCTAATAACTTGATGGTGTCAGGTCATAGATTTAGGTCTTTAATCCACGTTGAGTGGATTTTTGTGTAAGGTGTAAGGTAGGGGTCTTGCCTCATGATTCTGCACATGGAAATCCAGTTTTCCCAGCACCATTTATTGAATAGACTGTCCTTGCTCCAGGAATTGGTTTTAGATCCTTGATCAAATATAAGTTGGCTGTAGATGTTTGGATTGATTTCTGGTGTTTCTATTCTGTTCCATTGGTCTATCCATCTGTTTCTGTACCAGTACCATGCTGTTTTGATTACAACTGTCCTGTAGTATGTCCTGAAATCTGGTATTGTAATGCCTCCGGCTTTTTGTTGTACAAGATTGCTTTAGCTATTCGAGGTCTCTTGTGCCTCCATATGAATTTCAGCATCATTTTTTCTAGATCTGAGAAGAATGTCTTCGGTATCTTGATTGGGATTGCATTGAATCTATAAATTGCTTTTGGGAGAATGGACATTTTGATGATGTTGATTCTTCCAATCCATGAGCATGGAAGATTTTTCCATTTCTTGGTATCCTCTCCTATTTCTTTCTTTAAGATTTTGTAATTCTCATCGTAGAGATCTTTAACATCCTTGGTTAAGTTTATTCCAAGGTATTTGATTGTTTTTGTAGCTATTGTGAATGGGATTGATCTTAGAAGTTCTTTCTCAGCCATGGCATTGCTTGTGTATACAAAGGCTGTTGATTTTTGTCCATTGATTTTATATCCTGCCACTTTGCCAAACTCCTCTATGAGTTCCAATAGTCTCTTAGTAGAGTTCTTTGGATCCCCTAAGTAAAGAATCATATCGTCTGCAAAGAGGGATAGTTTGACTTCTTCCTTCCCAACTTGTATTCCTTTAATTTCTTTTTCTTGTCTGATGGCTCTGGCTAAAACTTCCAGAACTATGTTAAATAGAAGTGGTGAGAGTGGGCATCCCCAGACAGGAAATTTGAACATAAGACTGGGAAAAACTGTTTAAATCAGAGGGAAGGTCCTTTGACGGTGGACACCGAGAAGGAAGGTACCGCCATGGCGGGACCGGCCTGGATCAGTCCGCGGGCATGTTTAATCTCGCCCTTCAGCAGAAATAAGGTTTTAACAGGTGGAAAAGGTTTCCAAGGCGGCTAACAGCCTGAGCAAGCCTTGGAAATAAGACAACAAAAGTTGTGTTTCAAGGCCCAGTGAACTGACCTGGCTGAGACAGAACCGGCTCATGTTGTGTAAGGTCAGGATGGGAGAGAGCTGCAGTGTCAAGAGGTTGAATCTGCTCCTGTAACGAATGGCAGATTATTCAGGGGTTACTCCTGGAACAGAGTGACAGGATCAAGCTGGTGTTCATCTCAGATGTGCATCCGATAGAGTACAGCTTAGGAAGGGACCACACTAACCCAGGCGTGGAAAGAAAGGAATGAAAGCGAGGAACCAAAGGTAATGACCGTATCAAGAGAAAGACTCAGCGCAGCTTCCCTGTCGGGCTCCGAGGTGCTGAGGCTCGATGACCAGGAAGTATCAGAGTCAAGGGGAGATTCTACAGCGACAGCGCACAATGTATTTTTATAGGAAGTAAGTCGAGTTATCACACCAGTGAGTGATATTTATAATCATTAAAATTTCACAAGTTCACTGAGAACCGGAAGGGAGAAAGGTGGAGGGTTATGGGCTATTCCCAGGAAGCACCTACAATTTACGGGTCAGAATGAAAATATGTAGAAGACACGGTAAGAGAAATGGTACAACTAGTTAGTGTCATGGGGGCTTCTGGCGGAACATGTTCAGGGACTCAAGATTCCTGGCTCAGACAGAAAGTCTGTTCAAAGAACAGGAAGAGACCCATCGAAACTTTCAGTGTGTGTGTGTGTGTGTGTGTGTTTAATGAAAAGATATTACTAAATCAGATTTTTATCAATATAAAAAACTTTAATATAGTTTCGCTTGAACCATCAGGCAGACAAATCTAAACCCCTTACATACATAAGACGATGGGTGACAATTACTCCATATTACATTCTTCTATTCTGGAACTAGCAGACTTCTTTTAGTCCAAGTTCACTTTTAAGTATAAGAGTTCTTCAAAAACTACATAGAATCAAAAGATGTTTATTCTTGTGCAAAAATGTTTTTGTAATCCATTCAGGGCCAGCACTGTGGTGCATAGGCTAAAGCCATCGCCTGCAGTGCCAGTATCCCATAGGGGCACCGGTTTGAGTCCTGGCTGCTCCACTTCTGATCCAGCTCTCTGCTAATGGCCTGGGAAAGCAGAAGATGGCCCAAGTCCTTGGGCCCCTGCACCCACGTGGAAGACCCAGAGGAAGCTCCTGGCTCCTGGCTTTGGCTCAGCTTAGTTTCCACCATTGTGACCATCTGGGGAGTGAACCAGAGGATGGAAGACCTCTCTCTCTCTCTCTCTCTCTCTGTGTGTGTGTCTCTGTGTAACTCTGCCTTTCAAATAAATCTTTTTTAAAAATTCCATTCATATAGGCCGGCGCCGCGGCTCACTAGGCTAATCCTCCGCCTAGCGGCGCCGGCACACCGGGTTCTAGTCCCGGTCGGGGCGCCGGATTCTGTCCCGGTTGCCCCTCTTCCAGGCCAGCCCTCTGCTGTGGCCAGGGAGTGCAGTGGAGGATGGCCCAGGTGCTTGGGCCCTGCACCCCATGGGAGACCAGGAAAAGCACCTGGCTCCTGGCTCCTGCCATCGGATCAGCGCGGTGCGCCGGCCGCAGCGCGCCGACCGCGGCGGCCATTGGAGGGTGAACCAACGGCAAAGGAAGACCTTTCTCTCTGTCTCTCTCTCTCACTGTCCACTCTGCCTGTCCTAAGAAAACAAAAAAAAGAAAAAAATTCCATTCATATAAACAATCTTCCAAGAGTTCATGGAAAAGAAGTCATAAAATCTATACATGGATTTTCCAACAAAAATGTTAACTCCATTTTCCATGGACCTTAAAAGTTTTGTTTGAAAGGCAAAGATGAAGAAGCACCTTCTGACATTACATGTGTATTTTTGTAGAAATTGTTACTTTACTTATAATTACATACTTAACTCCAATCAGGTTTCTGTAAAATTTAAGTAAAACCAAATTCAAAGTAAAAGCAGCAACACCCACCTGCTATTTCACTCCCCAAATGCCCACAGTGGCCCCTGACCTGGGATGAAGCTGGTAGCAAGAACCCAATCGCTTGAGCTATCACTGCCGCCCTCCAGAGTCTGCACGGGCGAGAAGCTGGAGCCGGGCATCGAACCCAGGGACTCTGGTGTGGGAAGTGGGTGTCCCAGGTGCTGGCTTCACTGCCAGGCCAAGCGTCTGCCCCTTCACAGCGTTTCTGAAACTCCCTATCTTCTTTCCAAGTAGAGTCCTTTGATAAGATTTCATTTTTCATCTTGTTATTTTCAGAAACACACGTAGTTATCACTTTCCTAAGCACTGTTCCCTACATTTTTAAAAGCATATTTGATTTCAGAGAGTGATAGAAACCGGCGTTTGGCCTGCGACGTTACAGGGAAGAGCATTCTTTGTGCCGCCACGTGCCTCCTTGGACTGTTCACTTCTCTATATTTGTGCACCAGCTCCTTAAAACTGGCCCGAGACATGCAGCCGCGTTCTGTCTGAACAAGCCCCGCGCTGCAGCTCGGCTGGCTCAGTGCCGCAGTCTCCTGTGGGTTACCAGTCTGCCGTCTTGCTAGAGGATTCCCAGCAGGAGATAGGCTGGTGACCAAGATTGTAATACCGGGCGCAGATCCAATTGCATTTGCTCTTACAAGCCTAAAAGCATCATGGTGTGTTTCAGAGCCGCTTCCTCCACAAATTCTGCATCCACGTTGTCATGTCCTTCACACGCATAGAGATCTGGGGTGGCGGGGGGAGAGGGAGAGAGAGAGAGTTAGTTACTATAGAGCCATGGAGCACTGATAAATTTGTGCCCATGGCTCCATTGCATCAGATTTATTTTATATTTTAGTAAAACAGATTATTCTGAGAGTGTTCAAATTGATGAAACTACAGCACCAAAAAAGACCGTTCTCATCAACAGGCTTTAAAACCCCCAAACCCTTTTAAAACTTCAAAAGTGATTAGGTTATTCCTTTGGTAATTTATTCTAGGTAACAAGTTGCATACTGCTCATGACAACCACTTGCAATAAAAAAAAAAAAAACACCTCCTTCTAACTAAGGGTATTTTGGAAAGAAAACAGTCCCCAGAAGTCAAACAGGGAATGACTGAGGCATCAAGAGAAAAGACGCCAAAGCCCGAGAACAGAGGAGTGATTACCTTTGTTGGAAGATTCCAGATCTGTCAGAATTTCGATGAAGTAGTTCAGGGGCAGAAATTCTATACTGAAAGACGACTTGTCGATGGTAGAATTCCAAGGCTAAAAGGGAGAGCACTACTGGTATTAGCTGATCCTCCCAAACAGCACTAACTTCAATACAGGCTGACATGGGCGAACGGGATTCAAGCCCTGTCTCACAGGCTGTCCCTTCCCACAGACGCACCTGCTTCTTATAGTTCTGCAGGAGTCGAGTCACGTGGCCCCGCGAGATGATGTTCGAACTCACAGGATGATCCCAAAGGCGACAGATCTTCTGGCCGATGCGCTGTCACGCAAACCAAAACGTGCAATACATAAAGGAGCACAAACCTCACACTGCATCAGACGTACTTTATGTCTACTCCTAATTTCCGAGGCATCCTCCCACAGCTCCGAGTCTAAAGGAGAGGCCATTTATGACCCGGGGGCCCTCAGAGAAACGCCATGTTGCAATGCAGCATGCGTCTGAACTTGGAATAAATACCATGGCCTCCCATGCCACTTTAAGGAAAGCCGTGTACACGTGGGTCTTCTTGCCACATTTTTTTTCTGCTGCTCTCCAGCACCGCAGAGGTGCACACCAACCCCTCAGTGATGTCTGGACAGGCAATCAAAGGTTGAAGGCACGTGGACATCGCCTTCTCTGCCATCGCCTGGCCTAGAACATTCTAATTCCCTCACATACTGAAGGGGAGAGGGGGGAGTCAAATTCAGAGAGCAAAGGAAACGTTCAGCCCCAGCCCCCCAGGAGGTGGGAAGCCCGTGGAAAAATATGTTGTGCCTCTTTTGCCTTGTGCTTCCGTGAGGGGAGAAGAACTGCTAGATTCAAAGGCTGTTTAGTTCCAGAAAGGCAGTGGGTGTTCCTTTGGGAGAAGATGGTGCCAAAGGGCCAAGTGCTCAAGGTACGTAAACAGCCAGGACGGAGCTGGCCAAGGCGCTCCGGGGCAAGAAGTCGGCAGGCTCGGGGCGTGGCGCACCTCCCTGTGGAATTTCATATTTTCATAGTAGTTCTTCCTGAGAGCTCTTCTAGCCCACCAAAAAAAAAAAAAAAAAAAAAAAAAAAAAAAAAAAAAAAAAAAAAAAGAAGAAGAAGAAGAAGAAAGGAAGGAAAAAAAAAAAAGAGGCATGGCTTTCAAACTTTTCCCCTCACGTTCCTCAACCTTCCCTTGACCTGGGAATGTTTTCCTGCCTGTGTAGAACTGTAGAAGGAAATGCAGTTCCAGAACCTTCTGACCCCACCTAGACTTAAATCACTGATCGTTAAAATGCCAGAGGCACGCGTTTCCCCTCCACCTCCCTCTCGGAGGCAGATGTAAACATCAGTGCGGTTTCCTGAGACGAGAAAGTGGCTGAATGTTCTCCGTGAGCTGCGCCAAGGCCACGCGAAGCCAGAAGAGCCAGTACTTGATGGGCTCCAGGGGGAGCAGTGACAGAGGGGTGGGATGGATGGGATTTCTTGGAAAGGGCTGCAAAGTGAAAGCTCAACAGACTTGAGCCCACAGCAAGAACAAACTGAAGGACGCTCCTGGCAAGGAGTAGGGAGAAAAGAACTTGTAAGTCAAGGTTACCGGGGGAAGCCGCACGATGATGCTGAATTTCAGTTTTTCATTTTTCTCTGTGTCATCCAGATCTACGACAAAGTCAGAGGTTGGCAAACAAAACAACCAAAACATCCATTTTAACAAATCAGCAAGTTATGCACAGTGGAGTGGTTCGTCCTGATAAGACAGTCTGATTTTCCATCCTCAAGCTAAAGCAGAACCCCACTGCAGACGTTCATTTGGGACGCAGAGGTTGGGTGTGAGAGTCCAGCCTGGCAGCTAAGTCGTTCCGTTTCCTGGCTCCAGCGTCCGACTCCAGCTTTCCTGCTCGTGCAGGCCCTGGGAGGCAGCAGGGCTGGACCCAGTGACTGGGGTTCTGCCGCCCACGTAGGGCGACTGGATTGACTTCCTGGCTCCTGGCTTCAGATCAGCGCAGCACCGTCTGTAGTGGTCATTTTGGGGGTGAACCAACAGAAGGAAGACCTTTCTCTCTCTCTCTCTCTCTCACTGTCTATAACTACCTGTCAAATAAATAAAAAAATAAATAAAACTCATCTATTTAAAACTGACAATTGAATCCTGTGAGAGTCATTATGCTACACATCTTGTTTAAAGTCCACATACACATGGACACTGCCTCTCTCATTCATGTTCAAGTGTAACTCTGCCATGACAGAGTCAGTGAGCCGACAGCCATCCCAGGACACGTTCTTGAGCGGAAAGCCCGAACTGTCTCCTGGCCTCAGATATCCTTGGGCACAGGAAAGGCAGCCGAGAGCCGGCTGCGTGTGGCCTGCAAAATCCTGTGGGGTTTCCTGAAGGGCAAAGGCAGGTTAATGTGGCCCAAAGGACGGTGACAGGAAATGCAGGGACTCGGCAGGATCAGTGGCGCCATTCATGAGGCCCAGCGCAAAATGCAAACTAGGAGGCCCTTGTTCAGACATTAAGAACTTTGAGATTTAGCCCAGAGCGATGCAACCGACCCTGGCAGCCTTCTGTGCGACCACATTGGTGGCTCCTGCCAGGAAGCCAGCGCTGGGGCACTCAGGCCAACTTACCTTTCATGAGCCTTGTGACAGCCGTCTCGGTGAGAAGCAGCACCCCGTTATCGATGTAATGCAGCAGGCTGTGCAGCGGGAGGCAGCGCACGCCAAGGATGGTGTGCAGAGTGTGGAAACCTAGGGTGAGAGAGCCCAGAGGGTCAGCGTGGCAGCCGGCCGTCCCAGCACCAAGAGGAAATGAATGGAAACATGTCACCAGGGGCACTAGGCTCAGCACTCCGTGTATAGCCCTTGAGGGCAAGGTCAAGGTCGCCGTCTTTGTGTTCTCACAGCCAAGTACTGTGCTGGGTACACAGTAAACTTGTTCCCTTCCTCTGGTCCCTTCCTGGGCTACAGGAGGGCGAGGTGTGCTCAATGGAAAATGATTTTATGGTTTAGTGTCTCTCTAATTCTACAGTAAGACAGGGAAAGAGAACAAAAGGGCTTAAATGCCATAGGCTCAGCCTAAAAGGTTGCTGGGGTGGGGACCATTTTGCTGAAGGGAAACAAACTGAGACCAGAAACAAACTGCTCGTGTGCCTGGTCTCTGGTTACACACTAGAGAAGGGCTTTTGGGCTACATTATAGAAAAGACAGACGTGAGGGGCTACCATGATGGTGCAACACATTAACTGATGCTTACGACACCAGTTTCCCATATCGGAGCACTGATTCCATTCCGGGCTGCTCTGCTGCTGACCCAGCTTCCTGCTAATGCACCTGGGAAGGCAACAGAACGTGGCCCAAGTGCAGGAGACCATGACGGAGTTCCTAGCTCCTGGCCCAGCCCTGGCTGTTGTGGACATTTGAGGGAGTGAACCAGTAGGTGGAAGATATCTCTCTCTCTCTCTCCTTCCCTCTCTGCAACTTTGCCTTTCAAATAAATAAATCAAGGAGAGAGAGAGAGAGAGAAAAGAAATGCTACATACACACAGCAAATCTACAGGAGTTCAGTAGAGAGGCAGTCTCTCTAGCCCATGTCTCATGGGGCGGGCTCCCCAGCACACACACACACACAGCTCTACGTATGCTGTTAATGACAAAAGATAAAAGTTAATATTCCTAGGCCAAGAGGATACCAGGCCAGGAGAAAGTCAGAGAAGCTGTCTTGGAGAATGGCGGCACTTGGGGAAACTTGGAAGAGTAACTAACCCCCAGGAGGGAATCGAGGCAAGAGAGGGCACTAGAAAAAGTCAGGTTCTGCCTGGGCAGACCCAGGCATGACTCCGGCGGTACTAACAGCTGTAGGGAACTAAGCCTTTCTGAGCCTCCGTTTCTTCATCTCCAAGAAGGAATCACCAGTACCTTTCCCACGGGGCTTCTCTGACAACTACAGCAAGGTCGAGGAGGAGCCCTGCGTGTGGTCTGACCACGGCCAGAACTGGCCACTGAAGAACAAGCCCTTTATTCTGCTCATTCGATCCTCAGACAACACTAAGAGGGGGAGCTGGGGCAATCGAGAGTCATGAGAGCCAAGAAGCCTGCCCAGGATCGTGTGAGTAGGAGGTAGCAAGTTGAAATTTGAACCTGGGCTGTGGGATTTTAGCCTGGGTGTTTAACTGTATCACCTTGCCCTTATAAGCGGTAGTCGTGTCAACAGACCATATAAACAAGGACCGAAAGGAGAGGAAGCACAGAGCCAACTCAGAAAACATCACATGGCCCATTGACTGGGAATCCGGGCAAGAGAGGAATGATTAAGAGGTAAGGTTGAGGGGCAGGTGCTGTGGCATAGCGGGTAAAGCCGCCGCCTGCAGTGCCAGCATCCCATGTGGGTGCCGGTTCTAGTCCCGGCTGCTTCACTTCTGATCCAGCTCTCTGCTGTGGCCTGGGAAAGCAGTAGAAGATGGCCCAAGTCCTTGGGCCGCTGCACCAGCATGGGAAACCCGGAAGAAGCTCTTGGCTCCTGGCTTTGGATCAGCGCAGCTCCAGCTGCTGTGGCCAATTGGGGAGTGAACCAGCAGATGGAAGACCTCTCTCTCTCTTCCTCCCCTTTTCTCTCTGTGTAACTCTGACTTCCAAATACATAAATCTTAAAAAAAAAAAAAAAAAAAGAGGTAAGGTTGAAAAAGTTAATTTATGCAACAAATCCCAACCAGGCAAAGTTGTGGGAGCCAGATACCACTGCTGCTCTTATAGTCCTCACACAGCCTATGGAGGGAAGCAGATCATCAAATAATCATAGAAACACTCATTTTATTTTGACCAGTTCCGGACCATGAATGCACACGACAAGGTTCGAATACTGGCTAACAGCAAGGCATTGGTGAGGAGACTTTGCGGAGGCACTGGAAGTTTCTGAGCAGGATAGAAAAAGGAATTGAACGCAGCAACAGGCAGAGAACGGCAGGGAGCACCAGCTTGCTACAGCGGCGTGAAGACCCCCGGGAAGGCAGGTGCATGAGCACGTGTAGAGGTGACGAGGGTACCGAGGGTCAGCGAGAAGGGCGGGAAGAGACAGCCTCGGAGCACGTGCACACTTGGCAGCTGACTGGATTGGAGGACAGGAGAGAATCCCAGCCTACTTTTAGACCCTTCCACTGCCAAGAGATAACATTCAGTGAGCAGAGGCTGGAGTCAGAGCAGTCGGAATTTTCCGTCTCCTAGCACCCGAATCGTGGGTAGCGGGACGGTCCCAAGAACTGGCAACAGCAAAGGTCAGCAGTGTGCAGGCTGCCCAGAGCAGAGGTCAGTGGGCTGATATGGGATGAGGCCGGCAGCTCCCCTGAATCAAAAAAAAAAAAAAAAAAAAAAATAGCTCTGACTAACTAGCTCATCGATGAGATGTTTCAAATAGATTCGGGGCCGGCACCGCGGCTCACTAGGCTAATCCTCTGCCTTGCAGCGCCGGCACACCGGGTTCTAGTCCCAGTTGGGGCGCCGGATTCTGTCCCGGTTGCTCCTCTTCCAGGCCAGCTCTCTGCTGTGGCCCGGGAGTGCAGTGGAGGATGGCCCAGGTGCTTGGGCCCTGCACCCCATGGGAGACCAAGAGAAGCACCTGGCTCCTGGGTTCAGATCAGTGCGGTGCGCCGGCCGTTGCGGCCATTTTGGGGGTGAACCAACGGAAGGAAGACTTTCTCTCTGTCTCTCTCATTGTCTAACTCTGCCTGTCAAAAAAAAAAAAAAAAAAAAAAAAAAAAAAAAAAAAAAAAACACCAGAATCAGAAATTCTTTCCCAAATGAAAAAGGTTACAGAATTCCTTCTGAAGAACAATTTATACTAAATTACAGGTCCTGTTCATTTCCTGGTTTCAGGATCCCTTCTCTAGCACTCTGTTTATGACCTAAAGACCCCGATGACTCCTCCTCCTTTATCCCCAGGGCAAGGTTTCCAGGTCCAATGGCCTATTCTCGGCCTCTCCTCTGGAAGTCAGCCCTGAGCGCCAGAGCAAACGGCTCGCAACCAGGCACCCATTCTGCCCAACCATTCTGCCCAAAGGGAACACAGGCCCCCTTTGAAATAGCAAATGCTATAGCTCTAAACTCTTTCTGCTTTTTTGGAGGTCCTCATTCCCTCTTTTCCTTTAACCAACTTGGGTTGCAAGTTTCTGACACTTGTAGCTCCAATGATCCTCACCAGTCTCACAGGCTGGAAAGCAGGCACTCTTGCTACACAGGTGCACAGGGAAACACCCTGGATTTACACACACACACACACACACACACACACACGATCCAATGTCATTTCATACCTCTATTCCTACATTACCAGAGGGCAATAAACAAAAGAAAAACTGTTCTTCCTTATTGGGTGCACGGGCACAAGCCAAGAGGTCTATTCATAATAATTGCTGGTCTCTGTTTGTTAAGATTTTTCTGTTTCCCTTCCTTATCCTTGAAAAGGAACGTAAATTCAGTAGAACGTGGGCACTTATGATCTCCAGGTGTCACACTGTCCCCAGGAAGTCAGTTCCTTCCATTTTCAAAAGGAGCTTGGACATCCACGGTGAACAAATCTGAAGCCATCAATCCAACCCCCTCCCCAGCCTTCTGTGTTAGGACAAACAAGGATTTAGGCCAGGAAGCCACATATAGTTTCCATGAAATCTTTCGAGGGGGCGCCTTACGACTCTGATTGCATTGGGATAATTTTCAGCCATCATTCCTCTCCTGGAGAGTCACTGTCAAATCCCTCTAGAGTAAAAACAAACTCATCTCGCACCTCTACTGAGAACAGACCTCATCAAACGAGAGGAAAGGATGGAGGCGGGATGAGGAATGTATCAGACACACCGCATGTGCAGAGAAGCCGAGAGATCCTGTGTGCACTCTGGGCCCATAAATGGTCAGTTTCAACATCAGCTAATTCAGTGGAATACAAAATTCAAGAGGCAGCACAGAATAGTAACATTGCACAGATTCCAGAGCTAGACTGCCTGGATCTGAATATTGGCTCTGTCGCTTAATAGCTCTATGGCTTTAGGGAAATTATGTAACCTTTCTGGCCTCAGTTTTACCATCTGAAAAATGGAGCTAATATTAAGTGAAATTATATAATAAGTGCCATTTTGTTGATGAAAAACGGGATATTAACAATATAATGTAATTCAGTTTGAGCTCATACCACTTAGCTTGTTATGAGAATTAAATGTGCTAATTTATGTCATGTACTTAGAACAGTACCTGGCATAAAACGAGCACTGTAAGTGTGTCGGCTTAAAATGAATGAATTAGTGATGGATCAAAAGATGAGTGGGTATATATTATTTAAACTCAGCTGAAATATTCTGTAGATGCAGCTGTCCTAAAGCTTACCACTCATTAAAACAACTCACAGTGATAAACCTACATAAGGGCTGGCACTGTGGCAGGTTAAGCCACCATGCTTGACACCAGCATCCCACACGAACGCTGGTTCCAGTCCCAGCTCCTCCACTTCCAATCCCACTCCCTGCTAATGCACCTGGGAAGGGAGTGGAAGCTGGCCCAAGTGCTTGGGTCCCTGACATCCACATCAGAGTCCTGGATGGAGTCCCAGTCCAGGCTCCTGGTATCAGCCTGGCCCAGCCTTGGCCCCGGTGACAAAGTGAGGACTGAACCAGTGGACGGAAGACCTCTGTCTGTATCTGTACTTCTCTCTGTAACTTTGCCTTTCAAATAAATCTTTTAAAAATAATCCACTTACGCATACACAACAACTGATCTTCAACAAGGCTGACAAGAACGCAGCAAGGAAAGGACAGTCTGCTTGATAAACGGTACTGGGAAAACTGGATGTCCCTGCCACGGAGTGGAATGGGGCATTTACACAAAAACCCACGCCAGATAGATTAGAAACCTCAACTGAAGGCCTCCAACTACTCAACTCCAGAAGAAAACATAGGGAAAGCTTCACAATAGTGATTTTGGCAATGATTCTTGGATACAACATCAAAAGCACAAGCAACCAAAGCAAAAATATGTGCGTGGGACTACATCAAACTAGGAAGCTTCTACACAGCAAAGCAAACAATCAGAGTGGAAAAGAATTCTGGAAAATGGGAGAAAATATTAACAAACCATGGATCTGATTGGGGTTAATATCCAAAACATATAAGGAACTCAACTCAATAGCAAGAAAACAAATACCCCAATTAAAGACGAGCAAAATGAGGCAGGCACCCGACACAGCAGTTAAGTCGCCACACCCCACAGTGAAGTTCCTGGTTCAAGTTTACTACTGGCTACTCCACATCTGCTCCAGCTTCCTCCTAACGCACACCTCGGCAAGCAGCAGGTGAGGCCTCAAGTAGCTGGGTCCCTGCCACCCACATGGGAGACCCGGATGGAGTTCCTGGTCTGTGCTGCCTGGCCCGGCCCTGGCTGTTATGGGCATTTGGGGAGTGAACCAGTGGATGAAAGATCTCTCTCCATTGGTCTGTCTTCCAAATAAAGTGAAAATCAATCTTTAAAATGATTTAATGCCCAAAGACTGGAATAGACACTCTCCAAAGACAACATACAATGGCCGTTACATAAAAAGGTGCTCACTGTCACTAATTATCAGGGAAATGGAAATCCAGACCACAATGAGATACCACCGTACCCCTCTCAGGATGGCTATTATCAAACAAAAAGATGAGCATTGGCAAGAAGGTGGAGAAATCTGAATCCTTGTCTGTGCTGTAGGAATAGTGAACATGGTATAGCCATTCCCCAAAAACTTTAAATTGCATATGATTCAGAACAGCCACTTCTGGGTATGTATCCAAAAGAACCGAAACCAGGATCTTGAGGAGCTATGCACACCCCTTAATCCGTTATAGCACTGTTCACAACAGCCATGATATGGAAATAGCCTAAATGTTCATGGAGAGATGAATGGATGAAGAAAATGTAGAGTATCCACACAGTGGAATATCATGCACCCCTGAAAAGGGAAAATCCTACCAAATGCACATGGATAAACCTGGAGGGCATTGGGCTATGTGAAGCCAGTCATCAGAGGACAAAAAAGCCCCATGATTCCACTTACATGAGGCATCTAAAATAGACCCAAAGAAAGAGACTAGAATGGCGGTTGCTGGGCGACAGAAGTTACTGCTCAGCAGGGATGAAGGTGTGGTTCTGCAGGATGATGACCAAGTTCTCAAGGTCTACTCTACAACACTAGGCCTATGGCTACCCCTACTGTGCCATGCACTTGAACGTTTGTCAAGGGGTAGAGCTCAGGAGAAGTGTTCTAACAACAAAGCAGAAGACAAAGGAAGGGATGGAAGGACCAATATGGACCAGGCAGGTGGCTTATACCAAATAGGACTTTAGTATTCCTTAGAGCAGATGCTGATTCGCATCTTCCCAATTACTACCTTTGTAACTTCTAATCTCTAGCACACTGCCTTGCATGTAATAGTTGCTCAACAAATGTCTGTTAACGAAATGAACCAATGACCAGGTAAATGAGTGACTACATACACACACATATATATATATACACACACGTGTGTGTGTATGTGTGTGTATCTCAAAGGGGATTTTTATTTTTTAAGATTTATTCATTTATTTGAAAGGCAGAGTAAGAGCAAGAGAAAACAGAGAGAGAATCTTCCATCTGCTGGTTCACTCCCCAAATGGCCACAATAGCCAAGGATGGGCCAGCAGCCAGGACCTTCTTCCAGGCCTCCCACATGTGTGCACAACACCGGCCCCCTCCCAAGGGGCTTTTACAGCCTGACTTGGTCCCATTTCAAAATTCTATGGAAGGGGCTGGCACTTTGGCACAATAGGTTTAAGCCCTGGCCTGCAGTGCTAGAACTCACATGGGTGCTGGTTTGAGTCCCATCTGCTCCATTTCCAGTCCAGCTCCCTGCTAATGCACATGAGAAATCAGCAAAGTGTGGCCCAAGTCCTTGGGCCCCTGTACCCATGTGAGAGGCCTGGGATAAGCTCCTGGCTTTGGCCTGGCCCAGCCCTAGCTGCTGTGGCCATTTGGGGAGTGAACCAGCAGTTGAAAGACCTCTCTCTGTGTGTCTACCTCTCTCTGTAACTCTTTCAAATAAATAAAACAAACACTTAAAAAAATCCTACAGAAAATGTTTAGCTTCCAAGCACAAATAAAAATCAGTTCAATTCTTGGGACAGGGCCGGACTCATTTTCTCCTGAGCGCTAACCCTCAGGCAACTCAATCAGATAAAGGGGGCCTGGTGGTCCCAGACAAAGAGCTCCCTGAATCTCCTCCCCTGGGCCAAATTACCTGAGCAAGTTGCCTGGGATCTGCCTGTGTGCCCTCAAATCAGTAACAAACTACAGAACAGTGGAGTGGTCAGGGGAGACCTGGGTCAGCAGAGACCAAGCTCCCAGCCCATCTCTCACGGTGACACAGACACACACGTCTCATCGCTAAACCCACATTGTGCCAACATCCAAGGACCATGGGAGGAAGAAAGAAGAAATGTATCACACCTGTGGACAAGAGCACCAAGACTTACCGGGAGGCAGAGGTAAAAACAAGCTGTTGGTAGCTTCCAGAATCCTGGTCATGACGTGAAAGACTGCAGATTCAGCAGCACTGCCACGCCTATTGCTGGGAGAGAAAAATACAGCAAAACGCTGTGTTGGCCAAGGGTCTCGTCTCCAGCTCCCCACTTGTCCTAGGTAGTAGCTCTGAGTCCCACACACGGAGGGTTCATGCTCGTTATGGAATGCTGCATCCTGTAGCACCAGCCTAAGACCTAGAATCTAGCCAGACAGCAGGTGCATCAACCATGAACTGCATTTACTCAGGACTGAGCCTGTATGTCCCTCCTTCCTCATCAACCATTCACCTGGGAAAGAGGCCGCGCGAAGGGACCAGGGCATGACTTTAAACACTGAGTCTAGAACTAAGACATGGCTGGTGGGAATTGCTTTGAAATGATAAGTTTCGAAGGGCTTTGCTCAAACAGGCAACGATCAGAGTTGTGCCGGTTCTTTGTGCACCATGATCCAAGGGTGAGAAATACTTGCGTACAAGTGGAGAATGCAGGAATTAAGGTTGTGTTTCTTCCAGCTGGTGTCCAGTATGCGGCACATGAGGTCCAGCTAGAGGGTGAAGACAGTCCTTTGGTCAGTGCACCATCCTGTCCCTCCGGGCCCTCTGGCTGTCCCCACATAGCTCTGATAGCAAATCAGGGCAGCTGGCAGTCCAGCTGTGCCCAGACACACAAGTGGCCTTTCTGAGGTCAGTTCTGAGGCACTGGCATCAAAAATGGAAAGACTGAAATGTGCCCCAGAGTCTAATAGAGCACCCTCTGTACAGGCAGGCAGTGCCCCAGCTAAGCACCCATGCAACCCCCTAGCCAACTGGCACCATCATTCACACTTATAGTCCCCCATCATCCACCCATGAAGGTCAAGTGCTTCCAGGTTTGCACTAGGCTTGTAAGAGCCAAGAGGTGATAAAAGAAAGATGACGTAGGATACAGTGGTGGCCATGAACATGAGCTTGGGAGAAACACTGGGATCCGGTTCAGGTTCTGTGTTTTATGTCTGTGTGACCCCAGGACAGTTAACTATCCTTGCCAACTCTCAGCACCCTCATCTATAAAATGACAGGGGGTACCTAACAGTGTTGCTGTTAAGACTTTTGTTAATATGCTGATGAGAAGACAAGTGGTCAATAAATCATAATAATTAGTAGCCTCCTTTGCCTTAGAGTTTTATCCAGAAATCCATCCTCACTTTGCAACTAGTGTGTCAGCACTACGGCAGCTTCTGTGGGGCTATCAGCCATGAACCCATGCATTGTGGTTAAGAACAGGGAGCAGGCTGACGCCACAGATCACTAGGCTAATCCTCTGCCTGCGGCGCTGGCACACCGGGTTCTAGTCCCGGTTGGGGCGCCGGATTCTGTCCCGGTTGCCCCTCTTCCAGGCCAGCTCTCTGCTGTGGCCCGGGAGTGCAGTGGAGGATGGCCCAAGTGCTTGGGCCCTGCACCCACATGGGAGACCAGGAGAAGCACGTGGCTACTGCCTTCGGATCAGCGCAGTGCGCCGGCCACAGCACACCGACCGCGGCGGCCATTGGAGGGTGAACCAACGGCAAAAGGAAGACCTTTCTCTCTCTCTCACTGTCCACTCTGCCTGCCAAAAAAAAAAAAAAGAAGAAGAAGAAGAAGAAGAACAGGGAACAAAACAGAAAAGAGTTGGCAGAGACACACAGGCAAACACCATCACCTTCAGTGACAAAGACAGATTCTCAGTTTCTGGCTGGCTGAAACCAAGCCAGACAACGTGAAAACCGTGTCTTCAGGAGCTGCAGCAACTCCCTAAGAATGGAGGGGGAGGCATGGCTGGGTGCTGCCAGGCAGCAGCAGGGAAATCTGGCAAAGAAGTCAGGGACACTGAGCTTTCCCGGACTACATGGATAGCACTTCTGAGCCTACAGGTGCTAGGGGCTAGGGGTGTTAACACACACTAGTGTTAAAGCTACAGGGCAGGTGTTTGGCCTAGTAATTAGGATGCCTACATTCCATATCAAAGTACTGAGTTCAAGTCCCAGCTCTACTCCCAGTTCCAGCCTCTTGCTAATGCACACATTGGCAGGCAGCAGGTGATGGCTCAAGTAGTTGGGTCCCTGCCACCTACATGGGAGACCTGGATTAATCCTGGCCCCATCTCTGATCATTGTGAACATCTGAGGAATGAACTAGCAGATAGGATATTTATATATATACGACATATATATATATATATATGTCGTATACATATATATAGATAGGATATATATATATATATGACATATATATATGTCGTATATATATATGTGTATATATATAGATATATATGTATATATCTGCCTCAATTTTTAAGTAAAAAAAGAATACTTAAGTGAAACTCAATTTAACATTTTGTAAGGTGAGATTTTTAAGGCAACAAAGTTGATAGGCAGATGTGTTAAATAATTGTATGTCATGAGTTAAAGGACAAAGAAAACAAATTAATACCAACATGGAGATTAGTAACACATTCATAAATTCTCCATTGAGAATTATTTAAAAGTTATAAAACATTGATTATGAAGGTCACTATGAGAATGCCTACTTCCCCTGATAACTATAAAACTCCAATCTTACTAGAGAAATTCAGACAAGTTATTTAAACAGACATGTATGCCTGCCTCATTTCTATTTACACGAGGACTGCTGTCACTCATTTGCATTGTACAGTTTCAGTAAGTGGCTACCAGGTAATGAATGAGCCACTGACGTCCTGGGCAGACTCTAACGTAGTAGCATCTCCACGACTGAGCCGGAAGCTGTGCTAGTCGAGCTGTCGGAGCTAAGCATGAATGGAAGTTCAAGTTCTCTCACGCCTGCACCAGTCCCCAGGTACAGAAATCATTCTTACTGATTCACAGGAGCTGGGAGTTGCCAAGATGAGATGTGAACATTGGACAACCATGGCGAATTCATTGTCCTGAGTGTCTGTGAGTTTTTAATTGCTACTTAAAGGGAGAACAATAAGTCATTTGTGAAACCAAGTGCTCATTCTTTATTGTTCTGACACAGCACCAAATACACCGCTTTGAGAATGGGAGCGCTCCAAAAGCCCAATTTAAAAAATACACAGGGGCTGGCGCTGTGGCATAGAAGGTTAAGCCTCCTCCTGCAGTGCCGGCATCCCAGATGGGTGCTGGTTCAAGTCTCGGCTGTTCCACTTCCAATCCAGCGCCCTGCTAATGCCCCTGGGAAAACAGCAGAAGATGGCCCAAGTGCTTGGGCCACTGCTACCCATGTGGGAGAGGAGACCTGAAAGAAGCTCCTTGCTCTTGGCCCCAGCCTGGACCAGCCCAGCGCCAGCTGTTGCTGCCATTTGGGGAGTGAATGGCAGATGGATTGATTTCTCTATCTGCCTTTCAAATAAATAAGTAAATAAATCTTTAAGAAAAACACACATGAGTTCACTGTACCACATTCTGAGAATTAAGAAGGGGACAGAGAGGAGTAGGGGGTGGTGAGACAGTGAGTAAGGAGAACAAAAAGCCAAACAAACCAATTTTGAAATATAGTCCAGAACCATCTGTTCAATTTTCTTCTTTTCCACGCCCTGGAGGTGTCTCAGAAGATGGTCTCTTAGCTCAGACACCATCTGAAAACAGAAAATGCATTAGAGCACATCTCAATCAGGTCTGTTTATTAACACTCCTTATCAGTCGGAGGAACGCCGATGCGGACGACCCACCACCAGAAACGCGAGCTTTCAGCTCTTCTCTGGTGACCATCAGTCAGGGGGCCCCCACATTTTCCTCAAGAGGAAGGACTGATGATTTACCCAAGTCCAGTGAGCAACCAAGAGTGAGGCCCAGGCCCAGCGGAGAGTGAGAATTCCCTAGGCGTCAGTGGACAAGTCAAAGACTGGGGCTACTGCGATGCCTGCATCCCCCGTCCGAGTGCTGGCTCAAGCCCCAGCTGCCCTTTTTCCAACCCAGCTTCAAGGGAATGCCTCCTGGGACTGATCCCATGACAGCTCAAATACTCGGGCCCCTGCCACCCATGTGGGGGACCCAGATGGAGTTCCCAGCTCCTGGCTGCAGCCTGGCCCAGCCCTAGCTGTTGCAGCCATTTGGGAAGGGAACCAGAGGATGGTCGGTCTCTCTCTCTCTCCTTCCCCCCCCCCTTTTTCTGTGTCCTTTAAGTAACAATTAAAAAATAAACATCAAAAAAGAAGTCAAAGGATTGATACTGCTGCTCCCAGTGTCCTTGGGGGATTAACGGGAACAACCGAGAGCATGAAATGACGTGCTAACAGGGCCGGGAGTGCTTAGTGTTCTGAAGGTCGGAGGCAGGAACGATGAAGGTGGTAACACGGGGTACCTCTGTCTGCCACTGACAGCCAACACAACCCCAGCACGCAAAGGATTCCGGTGCCTCCAGACAGGCTTGTGGCTACGCCTGCCCTGTCGTGATCACCCCCGGGGCATCCCCTGGTCACTGGTTAGCATTCCCAGCCCTTCTCACTTTTTGCTTCTCTCTTTCTTTCTCCTCTTCTTGCTCTTGCCTCAACACCCTGCTCTGCAAGGGGCTTTCCTGGCTGGAGTGACCACTGTGCCAATAAACAGCCCATGAGAGCGGCACAGCTGGCATCACAGGTGCACACATCTTCTTTCTAGCATGTTCCCAGATTTCCCATGACCTCAGGGCCAACTTCCGGGGGTATCTCCTTTCAATCCAGCTCCTACATGCACTGATTGATTTGGCTTTTAAACAAGTTTGAAAAATAATGCATATCTTTTTGTGTTTTAAGATTTTTCTACCATAACCATAAAGGATGAAACTTAAAACCATCCATAATCCAACCATCTGTGTTAACATTTGGGTTTTTTGTTGTTGTTGTTGTTATATACACATCCATCCTGATGGTTTATAAATCTGCTTTCTTTATTATAATAGGTTCCTTATCTCATTAAATATTCCTTGTCATACTAGTTTTAGTGGCTTCACAGTAATTAATTTTATGAAAGTGCTATGGTTAAAATATTTATTCCCTTCTTGTACTTATGGCATATTTTACTATTACCATTCATGCCACAAAAAATTCTTACAGAGGCTGGCATTGTGGCATAGTGGGTAAAGCTGCAGCCTGCAACGCCAGCATCACGTATGGGTGTTGGTTCATGTCCCAGCTGCTCTACTTCCCATCTAACTCCCTGCTAATGGCCTGGGGAAAGCAGCAGAGCAAGGCCCAAGTGCCTGAGCCCCTGCCACCCACATGGAAACTTGGAAGATGCTCCTGGCTCCAGACTTTGGCCTGGCCCAGCACTGGGGAGTGAAGCAGTGGTTGGAAGATCTCTGACTCTGTCTCTCTCCCTTTAACTCTTTCAAATAAGTAAATCTTTTTTAAAAATTCTTACAAAAGAATTATTTGTCATCTATTTCCCATATATCTAATTACTCTGTCAGACTCAATTCCTAGAAATCGAATTTGTTAGGTTACATAATTAAGGTTTGTAAAATACCACCAAAAGGCTGTGGTTGTACTTTTAATATGTTTCATGAGGATATCCAATTCCCTGTGCCCTGAACTTCACTAGTATGATTTTTGTATGATTTTTAACCATAGCTACCTGATAGATATACAAAAAAAAACAGGAAACAAAAAGTCACTTGCTGGTTGGGCATTTGGCACAGTGGTAGACGGGGCTTGGGACATCTGCATTGATTTCAGCATGTCCAGCTCTGCATCAGCTCCAGATTCCTGCTAACATGCACCCTAGGAGGGAGTGGTGGCAGCTCAAGTAATTGGGCCTCCGCACCCACCTGGGAGACCTGAATGGCATTCCTGGCTCCCGGCTTCAGCCTGGCCCAGTCACAGCTGTTGCAGGCATTTGGGGAATGAACCAGCAGATGGAAGATTTCTGTCCACCTGTCTCCCTCACTCTGTGCTTTCCAAATACATAAAAATTTTAAAAAGAAGAAACCTGTTGGACTACTTGTCATTTAATTGCAGCCATGCTGAATTTTTTTCTTCTCCTCTATTCTAGACTTCTTGGCCATTTACTCTTTTTTTTTTCTTTTAATATTTATTTATTTGTTTGAAAGAGTTGCAGAGAGAAAGGAGACAGAGAGATCTTCCATCTGCTGGTTCTTTCCCCAAATGGCTGCAACTGCCAGAGCTGAGCTGACCTGAAACCAGGAGCTTCTTTGGGGTCTCCCATGTGGGTACAGGGGCCCAAGTACCTGGGCCATCCTCTGCTGCTTTTCTAGGCAGGTCAGCAGGGAGCTGGATCAGAAGTAGAGCAGCGGGGACTCGAACCAGTGCCCATATGGGATGTTGGCACTGAGCCAGCAGCTCATCCTGTTGTACCACAATGCCAGCCCTGGCCGTTTACTTTTGAAATCAGAGCTTTGTTTGTTTCACTGTCAGTATATTGTTTTCTTGCTGCTTTATAAACCATTTATACCCCAGATGTTAATCATTTACCATACGTTTCTTTTCCCAAATGCATTTTTTATCTGTTTTTCTGCTTAGGTTTTAAGTTTTCTTTTAATCAAATCACTTTTCCCTATCATCATTGACATATCATTTCAATTTATTCTATAATTGTTGGGTTTTCAGCTTTTCTTCTTTGACTAGATTTGGTAAATTCTACTTAATAAGAAAACTATATGGTTTATATATATTTTTAAACTTGCCATATTTGAAGTAACACATTTTCTCATTCTTATTAATTTATTTGAAACGCAGAGTTACAGAGAAAGAGAGATCTTCCATCCACTGGCTCACTCTCCAAATGGCCACAACAGCAGGGCTGGACCAGGCCAAAGCCAGGAGTTTCTTCCAGGTCTCCCATGTGGGTGCAAGGGCCCAAGCATCTGGGCCATCTTCCTCTGCTCTTCCAGGTTCATCAACAGGGAGCTGGATCAGAAGTGGTGCAGCCAGGACTTGAACCAGTACCCACATGGGCTGTAGCACTGCAGGTGGTGGCTTACCCCATTACACCACTACACCAGCCCCTAGTTCTGTTCTTACTTAAGTAGGCACAACATTTAAAGTATTTTTTTAGACTTTCTCCATATCTCATGAATCAGGGTTTTCAATGATTTTGGATTCACCTACTCTTTCTGCTCTTCAATTAACTTATTTACCGTTCTATTTTCCTTTGTCCATCCTAGCCATAGGACCTCTTGAGAAAAAACACTTTTTTCTGTTGTATTCTAAACTTCAAATGCAAATGCCACAAGGATGCTGCACTTTGCCTTAAACTTACTTTCTTCTTCAGGAAAAGCTATCCTAGGACTCTTTTATCTTGGGGATGCCATACTACAAGCAGACTAATCCAAATCCCCTTTACCTAAAGATACTGTACGGGCCTTAGAACGTCTTGCTCTCATGTTGCTATTTATGTAAATAATTAAAATCTAAGTTAAAAAAAAAAAAAAAACACCCCCAATGCAATACAGCCTTCATTGTGATTTAGAACAGAGCATGTCTGTCAGTGTGTGTCTCCCTCCACTAGACTCAAGAGGACAGAAGTCCTATTTGTGTTGCTCACCGCTGGACACACAGGGTCCACAGGGATGGGCAACGACTCTGTTGGCAGAGTGAATGATTGACAGCTTCAGCGTGAGATCGGCTCCCTTCCCAGTGGGGCCCTCTGTCGGCCGCCCTCGGGAGCGCGCAGGGCACTCACCAGCCCCATGAGCAGCCGCTGGTGGTCGTCCTCTTCCTGCAGCAGGGGTATCAACCTTGGCTCTGCAATTCAACAGGGGCGACAGTCAAAAGCAGGGCGATTTGGGGGAAATGGCTTAGAAGGAAGAAGAATCAGCCCGAGTCTCCCTTCCCTGGACCCCCTGGAAAACCTAACACTTCCCTGGTGGGAAATTTGCTCACCAGCTAGTCTGACCTAGAGCCTACAAGCTGGCCTCTTTATCTTGTGGTGACACCCAGAGCACTGTGTGCAACGGGGAGGGGAAGACAGAGGAAGAACGAGAGGAAGAAACACACGTCTCAACCCAAGAAGGCTCTGGCTGTAACACCCACACTCACCACTGTTGAAGGACCTCCACCTCACTGGAGAACAGGGGGCCCTCTCTCAACCCTAGGGAGGGTGACACACAGGGGCCAGCGATCGCACGACTCCCTCCTACCTTCTCACCCTGTGGTCCCTTAAACTTTGGGAACTGTTGAGCTGAGGACACTAGCCAATTGTTGTGACCAATGACACTCAAGGGCACAAGTTTTCAGACTGGAAAAGTGGTAGACCAGGATGAAGAAGCGTTGGGTGAGGTTTACTCCATCGGCACTTTCCCCACCTTGATTCGCTCTATGCTAGCCAGACCACAGGGGCACACCAACACAGTCTCCCCGAAGATCTGCCCTGTGGCTCCTCCACCCACCCCTGCCTGCCCATTGCTCCTCGCCCAGAACACCAAGGCCCAGGCCAGGCATGCAGGCAGGCAGCACAGCCATGCTCAGCAGGCTGACAGCTCCTCCCACGAGGGCATGGATCCCCCTCTGCCCCTCAGAATAAATGCTACTAGGATCCTATTCAACCCTCGTGTTTGAGAGAGAACCGCTCAAAACCTGAGCCCAGTGGCTCAGAACCTCACAGGGCTGTTCCAGGCAGTGGCGGCACCCTCGCGTGGGAAGCGGCTGCAAGCAAAACACAGGAAAGGAAGGGGACATTTGCTAAAACGCGTGATGAGAGAACTGGAAGCCCAGGGCCAGCATTCAATCAGGCTGAGGCCGAGCAGCAGGAGTAGCCCCGTAAGCAGTGTGAGAAGGGTGGACCCAACAGAAATCCCCAGCAGCCCAGCAACATTTCCCACCATGCAACACCACAAGCAATGCAAGGAGGGGGAGCCTGGATCCCACACGTTCAGGCCCCCCCCGTTGGCAGGGCAGAAGCCCTGGCATCTGGCACAGCTGGCCTGGTAACACAGGCAGGGGCTGGTTCCCCTGGGGCTCCTCAGTGAGCTCAGGCTCTGCTGGCCCGGGCTGCACAAGTTCACTGTCATGGTTCATTGGGCTGTGTGCACAGCTGCAGGATGTGCAGCAAGGGACTGCAGAAAATATTTTCCACCAGGGTCACCCAGTGTATACCCCAAACATCCAAGCCTGTAAAGCAGGAGTGGGCTACAGAAACACAACTTGCCTAATGAAGGCAGAACGTCACGAGGCACGAGAACAGCCAACCAGAAGGTGTGTACCTATGTCTACTCAGCAGTGCCCTTCCCAAATTTCCCCTAAGTTCCCCTTGTTTCTCAAGACTTAATTCAGATGTCACCCTCGGCGGAGACTCTTCCAACTTCTCTCCCTCCCCGAGCCATCCCACCCTGCCCACTGCCACCTGCTTTAGAAATGACGGTTAGCATTTCTCCCTCTCACATTGATGAGGGAACCACCTCGGGTGCCTCCCAGGCTGGGTACTGTCCACATAACCCTGTTTACTCTTGCTTTCTCCCTCCCAGAGCCTCACAAGAGACAACGACTTGCCCAAGACACTGCGGTCGGTGTGGGACAGCACAGGGATTCAAGGCCAGGCTCTTTCCCCCAGAACCATGCTTAATGCTTCCATGGGGCCTCCTCAGTCTTTGGACCCAGGACCTTGCCCATCATGTGCCCAGGGCAAAAACCAAAATGAAAGGCCCATACAAGTCAGACTCTGTATGATCAGACAGCTGGAAAGAAATCAACCCCAAGACCCAAGGGAAATGTCAAAGGGCGTGTTTGGGTACAGCCAGAGGGCACGATAATTAGATCAAGTGTCAGAGGAGAAATAATGAAAGCCAGCAGCCAACGCCCAGGGACTCCTCCCGCAAGAACCAGAGAAGCAGCTGTCCCTAACGGTCCTGGGGCCAAGACAGACATGGCAGGGCCAGGTGGCCACTGGAACATTCTACTCCTGTCAGGGATTTTCTGGCCACACAGTGCAACCCAGAAGGCTTTCTTACAGGTCTTTTCTTACCCAAATTCCTCGCTTCTAGGTTAGAAATCACCCTGTGAAGAAATGAGAGCCGTGTGATTCAGAGAGGAAGCAGTATTCAAAGAACGAAATGGAAACCGCGGCACCATCCAAAGACAGCCCCCCTCACCACCCCGTGAAACCACCGCACAAACTGTTCTCAGGCTGCTGCAAAACCTCAAACTTCAATCAGTGGAACAAAAGGCACCCCGGGCCATCAGAGAATCTCCAAGCACTCTAGAGCCCACTACGGCAAGTCATTTAGAACCGTTGCCACTCTCCGTTCTTGGAAATCATGGGGACAGAAAATAGAAGAGAGGCTGGAATGGGGCGTCTGCTGCTAGCACTGGGCAGTGACTCACCTATTGCAGAGACCGAGCTTTCAAAATGAGAGCCAGCTCACCCGCCCACTAACGCCTTTCTAAAAACCAGCTCTTCACCTTTCATTCACAAAGTGCTCATCTGAGAGCTTTGTTTTCCACCTTTCCGGTGGAAACTGTCCACCCCCAGGGTGCGGGTCTATAAGGTTCAGCACAGAAGCTTTTCCCACTAGAAATCCCAGCACGGAACTCAAACTGCGGCCCAGGTGGCGACACTCAGGAAGCCAGCAGCGCCGTCCGTTTTGCTAAGGACACACAACTAAAGAGGCTGCCTTCCTGGAACCGTAGCCACCAGGGTCCAAGATAGCCATTTACAGACAGCCACTTTTCACAGCACTTACCTGACTGCATTATCGAGAATATTCCGCACATATGCCACAGACCTCCTTTTTCCTGTTTTCTGAGAGCGAGAAAACACCAGGAGTGTCAAAGGTGAACATGCTCCGGGTGACCATGTGCACATCAAAAACAATGCGGGCCAGCGCTGTGGCATAGTACACTAAGCCTCTGCCCGTGATACCGGCAACCCATATGCGTTCTGGTTTGAGTCCCAGCTGCTCCTCTTCCTATCCAGCTCTCTGCTATGGCCTGGGAAACCAGTAGAAAATGGCCCAAGTCCTTGGGCCCCTGCACCTGTATGGGAGACCTGAGAGAAGCTCCTGGCTCCTGGCTTCAGATTGGCCCAGCTCCAGCCATTGCAGCCATTTGGGGGATGAACCAGCAGATGGAAGACCTATCTGTCTCTCCCTCCCTCTCTAACTCTGCCTCTCAAATAATTAAGTTTTTAAAACAAATAATGCAATATAGTTAAGAGCTTCAGAAATTTTATAATGGATTTCAATACCTTTTGCCCCAAAAATAAACTTATCTTTTAATTCCATTTTTCCATTAACTTTTTGAAGTACCCTTATACTATATACAACCCTACACTATATACAATGCTACAGAGATCCCATGGACCCTTTGCCCAGTCTCCCCACCACACCCCTCCACTACCATGTTTTAATGTGTGTGTGTGTGTGTGTGTGTAGTTCAATGGCATCTTACCAAACATGTAGATTCCTGTCCCACAGCGCACCCCCTTAGTCAAGATCCAGAATAGTCCCATCTCTTCAAAGATGTCCCTTGGGCTCCCTTTACAGTCAGAAAATATCCATTCTCCCTCCCTTAACCACCTCAACCCCTGGCCACCACTAATTTAGGAATACCTTGATGATCTTACATTTTCAACTACACAAGTCATACAAGAATACATCTGAGGGGCCGGTGCTGTGGTGCAGCACATTAAACTCCAGTCTGCAGCACTGGCATCCCTTATGGGCTCCCGTTTAGGTCCTGCCTGCTCAACTTCCGATCCAGCTCTCTGCTATGGCCTGGGAAGGCAGTGGAAGATGGCCCAAGTCCTTGGGCCCCTGCACATGTGTGAGAGAGCCAGAGGAAGCTCCTGGCTTCAGAGTGGCACAGCTGTGACCATTACAGCTATCTGGGGAGTGATCCAGCAGATGGAACACCTCTCTCTCTCTCACTCTCTGCCTCTCTAACTCTGCCTTTCTAATAAATAAAATAAATCCTTTAAAAATATCTGCATCGGAGATGTGGACACCAATCAAACTTCCACACTTCCGTTCCCCACTCAGAACAGAGGCCACAGATGCTGCCTCCGTCTGCCTACTGGGAGATGAGCCTCCACTGCGGGCAAGTGCCTGGTGACTGGGAGGAGCGTGGCCAAGGCCAGCCAGCCTCGTGCCTGCAAGGCAGCGCTGTGTGGACCCAGTGCACTGCACGTGTGCTGCTCGCTTCGTTCTCCGGGACCCACACGTACCTCCTCGGCAGTCAGGTTCTGCCATTCTCTCCTGACCACGCTGTTGTTATAGCGTAAGTGCGGCTTGGCGTACTTGACGTACTCGAGGTTGGAGTTCAGTTTCTCCCAGTAGCCCTTAAAGCTGTGCACCTGTAAGACACACACGTCGGTGAGCTCGCGAAGCAGGCCCAAGAACCAGATGACCCAAGCCTCATCTCCATGGCTCCCACTTGGCAGCATTTCTGATTGGACACTTCTGCCAGTCCCAGTAGCAATTCTAAGACAGAGGCTCACCTTTCTGCTTCATTTTCTATCCCCTTTACAGCAGGGGGAACTGCCTCCCACTCCCCAAACCAAGAGGACTTTCCAGAATCTCGGCTTAACGGAGACGCTACGTGAACCCATCAAGCCATTTCCTCCCTCGAGATCCATTTTACTGACTTGGATTGTGTCAACAATCCATGTTCCTTCAAGACCGCTCATAAAACTCAGAGCCAGTGGAGTGGGCTTACCTTCCTGCTAAGATCATTCACTCCTGAGGATATTTTTCAAAATCTAGACTAGTTTCACACTCAGTTGTCAAATATTTCAAAACAGAATCAGTTGGTATTCTATGTAAGTCTTTAAATTATGGCTATAGCTACAGTGCCCTGGAGCAAGAATGCAGTCATTCTTTTCACTGAGAACAATGAGATATAGTGTTAATGCATTTTTAATGTTGAAGGACATACTGACTCAATTTGTTTTCTAAACCAACGAGAATAGATTTATGATATATATTCTTTCTTGCCAAAATAGGCGCACTTAGAAAAAGATTTGACTGGAGCCAAGGATGCAACGTGCAACCACAAAACAAAGTGAGCTATTGTCTGCCATGGCGACGGACTTGACTGAGCTGCAAGAACATGAGAGAACTCAAATAAAGTACACTCCACTCAAGAAAAATGCCCTCACGTTGAAGAATAGCGCATTAGCCATCACAACTGGATTGACATGGATGTGGACTATCAGTAAAGGGAATTACATGATAATATTAAATCTCACCGTTCGAAAGCCCCAGGTGCCTACCCAGCCAACATCTCTTCTCCTAGAGAGGGAAAAACTATTTCAAAGAAAATGCCGTCTCCAGGGGAAAGGGGACAGCTGGAGCCAGGTCTTGCCCCTCGCTTGACCTACCTGCTCACTTTCCCTTTCTGTTTATTGATAATCACCCCTTTTCTTTGTATTGGAGAAATAGCAAGGCAAAGCCCATGGCTATGTGGCAGGGTTAGGTCCTTGGCTGGAAGTCACTGCAGCTCCCTTGTCCCAGGTTTGGACTCTGGCACACCCCTGCCAAAAGCCAGAAAGCTAATTGGTGCTGTGGCGACATCTGGTGGTCACATTAGCTAGTAACTGCTTGCTTATGACCGACTGCCCAGGACGTGGTCCAACCAGCACCTCACCCAGGACAGAACATGGGAGGGGAGAGATTCAGGCATCTTCTACCTGTCACTTCATCCCGTTCCCTCAGGCCAGATGTTCACATGAGAGCTCCTAGGCAAATTCTCCCACCTTACCTTCCTTCTCACTCCCCCATCTAAAAATCCCTTCCCTCATAACCCTCTGCAAACTGACAATAAAGAGACAGGAGGGGGCGTTGGAAACAGCAGGTCTCCCACATGGGTGGTAGGGACCCAAATACCTGAGCCATCAAAGGCTGTCTCCCAGGGTGCACGTTATCAGGAAGCTGGGTTAGAAGTGAAGGTGGGACTCTAACCTGGTCGCTCTAACGTGGGATGCAGGCAACCCAAGCAGCCTGTTCACCACTGTGCCATGAGGCAGGGATTAGGAAGAGGAACAGCCAGTGGCAGGGGCTATGAGTTGGATGCACCGGGTTAAGACACCACTTGGGATACCTGCATCCCTTGTCACAGTGCCTGGGTTGGAGTCTTGCCTCTGCTTCAGATTCCAGCCCCCAGCTAATGCGCACCCTGAGGTGATGGCTTAAGTAGTTGGGTCCCTGCCATGCATGTGGGAGACCCAGATTGAATTCCTGGCTCCTGACTTTGGCTTGGCCCAACCCTGGCTGTTACAGGCATTTGGGGAACGAACCAGCCAATGGAAGCTTCTTTCTCTCTCTCATAAATTAGTAAAAATTTTCCAATAAAACACAGTTCGTTTTCTGCACCAGTGACCTCTGGCGTGCGATTTTCAGCTCCAGGAGTGCAACAGAACCACTTGAGTCATATGCCCTGGAGGTGCGAGCTGAGCCTTGGGAGTTTCACAAGTCCCCCAGGTAATCCTGAGGTCAACCCGAGACTGTCCACCCACACCCTCCAGTGTTTCACTCAACCTACACCTCTGGCTTAAAGGCTGTGAAAGCAGCCTCTCTTCAGAGACCTGCGATCCTGTTGTTTCAAAACAGGAGATGACGGTTCCAGAGGAGGTGAGGGTGCATCTTTGAGGGCCCCTGAAGGCCCAGGGAGCTCCAGCATGCTCGTTCTCAGAGTAAAAGCAGCTCCAACAGAAAACTGCGCATGTTGTAAGCTGGCACGGAGGGAGGAGAGGGAAGACCGCAATCCGCACAGCCACATCCTAACAGCCAAAGTGCCCGTTCAGCGGCAGACTGGGGAGCGCACGAAGTCAGCCCTTCACACACACCACACCCCGCCCTGCCCCTCCCCCACCACACACACACACCCTGGGCCTGCCAGGACCACCACCAGCACCAGGAGGAAGCCACAGCCTCCCAAGGAGCACATCGCCAGCCACTTCAAAGGAGCTCACAGGGCTTTTTAAAAAAAAATACGCCGAAATGCTATATAAGAAAATCCCCAGCAATTGGCTACTTCCAGGATACTGTGGTATTATAGGCAATCAAGGAATGACCTGGAAGTTGTTTTTTTTTTTTTTTAAAGCACAAAGGGGAGTCTGAAATTTTGATGTGAAAAGAGGTATTCCAAGTCCCTTCAGAAATGCTCTCGTGTGGTCTCTTAGGATGACATGAAACAACTACCGGAGGCGGCCCCGCACGGCTATTGATCGAACAAAAGGACCAAGGAATGGTTACTTGAAGGGGCTGCTTCCCATCTGGGATCTGGGTTGCCCACTAATCCAGAAACAAAGCACAAGCACCTGCTAGGGTCATCGCATCTGCAAACTGCTGCCAAGAACACACATCTGCCCCACGTTGCTCAGAGCCGACCCCTCCCCCCGCTGGGGGCCTACTCCTGCTGCTCAACCAGCATCTTCTTATGGGCTGGGAGTAGCCTTGAACTCTGTGTGCCAGGACCCCCGCAGCAGAGCCACAGCTGCCACGCAGTTTGGCTCCACAGCAGGTCCTGTCTCAGTCTCAGCTTTTACCCAATGACCTCCAGCCTGGAGTGAAACAGACAGCCTCTGTGTGTGCAGGAATCTAGCAAGGCACCGCATTTAACTAAGGTGCTGGAAGCAAGAACATCCATACACAGAAAAACACTAGAACTCCGGAGGCTGCCCCCTTGTACACTTTGAGTTCAAGGTCACCTGAAAAATGATGAACTTCCTCCTCCTTTCCTAGTGTGAAAGTCCTTCAGAAAGTGTACATGAAAAATTCATGCATCTCTACAAAATATATTTCCCATGAACTTTTGGCAGCACTCCATACCTAGCCAAATTTTTCCCCCCAGCAGGTACAACTAGGTAGTTCCACAATGATTAGCCATTTTTAATGAGCTGGGTTTTTCAAAATGTAATCACAACCTATAGCTCTAGGACTATGGCATTCCATCTTGTAATCTGCATGTGCATTGAGAAAGCCAATGCACAGGCTTAAACAATATGTCTGCAACCAAATCTATGTATAAGAACAGCACAGCCAGGGAGGTAGATGGAAGCTCCCTACTCCTCACCTCATCTCTATGGAAATAACAGCAGTGAATGCAACAGCCAGATACTCTGTTTCTAGTAGGTAGTGTTTCTTTATAGCATCATAAAATCATGGCTTATAATATTAATTGAACACACTTAAGCAGAAAGTTAACGCCCACCCCTTCCACGTTTTTTCAAAGCAGCAGCATATAAATAGGTGAATGAACAGCCCAGGTATCAACCATGATTTTCCCAGCTGCCCCATGACCTGAGACCCCTGACATATACCAGCATCTGAGTGGAGCTAAGATGAGAGGCACTTTAACTCCTTCTGGCTTTCCCAGACTCTGGTCAGGGAGGGTTAAACACACTCAAGATGCCCAATGTAAAAAAAGACTCGGGTGAGAATGCCCCATCTCTGCACTGTAGCATGCTCCTTCTTTTACCTTGCTAGGTGACTGCTTCCTGTCCGATCCTCACATGCTTCCTAAGGCTGAGTGGTGGTAATGACTTCTCGCCACACCACCAGGTCAAGGGGAGTCAGCAAGCCTTTTGTGCAGCTGCCACTTCCCCAGGGAAACCTGTGCTTCACAAAGGGGTGAAGTCATTCTCAGGAAAGTCACTCTTAAGAACGTTCCTTTTAAGGCAAGGACCTTGTCTCAATGTACTTCCTGTTCATTTTTTTTTTTTTTTAATTCTTTTGGGATGCATCTGTGAAGTGAGGCTGTCTTTTTAGTCTTGCAGGTGACGATCTCCAAATTGAACTAAGTCTCCACATGCCAGCCTGCTCATGTATGTCTTAGTCTGTTTGGCTGCTATAACAAAATGCCATAAGCTAAGTGACTGGTGAACACACACAGCGAGGGCTGTGTTTTCACCGTAAACTCACTGGGGCAGAGGGCCCAGCCAGCTCTCAGGCGTCCGAATCCTCTGGGCACTAATTCCCACCCCGCCCTCAGGATATCATCACCTCCCCAGCTTATCAGGGTGCGATTTTCAACCTGTGAGTGTTGAGGACCACAGCCACATATTAAATAAGTGCTCCGCATCCCACTACAACCATGTGCAGACAGAGCAGTGGAGAAGTGTGCATTTGTCTCGATTTGCCTGTTCCTCTCACAGCTCCTGCTGCAGAGCAGAGGGGAGGTGGGCAAGGGGCGGAGGGGTTCCTGGGGCCTGGAGGACAGAGGCTGAAGCAAGGAGAGACTCCACAGGGGATCCATGCTTCAGGTCGCACGTGCTCAGAGCCAGGCAGGCAGGTGCAAGCGCAGCCACAGTACTGGGGCCAGGGAGGGAGGACAGGGGTGGGCAGCACCATTGCACCCGGGGCCCATCCTGGTATAATTAAGCTGGGACTTGGGGGTAGAAGTAGGTCGAAGGCAAGGGCAGCAGTTTACTGAGAGTGGAATTATGCAAGCAGTCAAATGAGGCAAATGAGAGCTGCACAAGGCACTGATTAGTCTCCGAGTTGAGCCACAGGGGTGGGGTAGAGAGAGCAGCTGAAACCAAACCCAGGGCCATGTTGTCCTTGAATCCGGGGCCAGTCCCTGTGGTCTACCTCTGCCTTCCCTGATGGATAGAGCAGGGCCATGCAGAGAGGGTCAGAGAGAATTTGGATCCTCCCAGCCTGTCCTAGGGAACTACTGCTCCAGCACAGGAACCCAGGTGGAGCCGCCCAAGAGGTCCCACCAAGCAGGTGGGGGATGGGCAGTGGGAAACATCTGCTTGCTGGGCCAAACACTAAAGGCAACTGGGGGAGAGGAGAGGGGACAAGAGTGCGAAGAAGGGTTTAGAGGAGTGGTCAAGAGGCTGGCGCTGTGGCGGAGCGGGCTAAGACTACACCTGCAGCACCAGCATCCCACATGGACGCTGGTTCAAGTCCTGGCTGCTCCACTTCTCATCCAGCTCTCTGCTATGGCCTGGGGAAGCAGCAGGAGATGGCAAAAGTACTTGGACCCCTGCACCCACATGGGAGACCTGAAAGAAGCTCCTGGATCCTGGCTCCAGTCGGGCCTACCTCCAATCATCGCTGCCATTCGGGGAGCAAACCAGGGGATGTTAGACCTTTCTCTCGAACTCCACCTCTCAAATGAATGAATTTATTTGAGAGGTAGAGTTACAGACAGTGAGAGCAAGAGACAGAGAGGGCTTCCATATGTTGGTTCACTCCCCAAATGGCTGCAACAGCCAGAGCTCCGCCGATCCGAAGCCAGGAGCTTCTTCTGGGTCTCCCACATAGGTGCAGGGGCCCAAGGACTTGGACCATCTTCTACTGCTATCCCAGGCCACAGCAGAGAGGTGGACTGGAAGAGGAGCAGCCAGGACTAGAACTGGCACCCATATGGGATGCCGGCACTGAAGGCAGAGGATTAACCTACTGCGCCACAGCGCCGGCCCCAAATGAATAAAATCTTTAAAAAAAAAAAAAAAAAAAGGAGAGGTAGGAGGAGGAAAAGATGTACAGAAGCACATACACACAGACCAGAGAGAACAAAAACAAGCTATTCTGTTCCTAAGCAAAACCAGATCTTACTCTTGGACTATGCCAGTGGGTAAAAAATCTTTGAGGGATCCAGGAAGCCAGCGTTGTGGCACAGTTAGCTAAGCTGCTGCCTGTGACACTGGCATCCCACATTTGAGTGTTAGTTCGTGTCCCAGCTGCTTCACTTCACTTCCAATCCAGCTCTCTGCCAACGTGCCTGGGAAGGCAGGGGTTCAGGGCCAAAGTATATGAATCCCTGCCACCCGTGTAGGAGACCCGGATGGAGCCCCAGGTTCCTGGCTTCAGCCTGACCCGGTCCTGGCTGTTGCAGTCATTTGTGGAGTGAATCAGTGCGTGGAAGCTCGCGCTCTCTCTCTCTCTCGCCCTCTGTCTCTCCCTCTCTTTCTCAGTCACTCTTTCAAACAAATAAAATAAGTCTTTCAAAAAAATTTAAGATGACCCGTTCACTCTTCTTTGTGTACTTAATTCTTTATGTGAAAATAGACAACATTGATGAGGTTATGATAAAACTGATCAATTGTCCAGAGCAGTATAAATTATCACAACTTTGTGATAAGAATCAAAAGCTATAAATGGTTACAGCTTTTTATCTGATGATACTTCTGGCATTTAACCTTAAGGAAACAAACCAAACAAAAAACTGTGTTGCAAAAGTAGTCACTGCAACATTATTTTTAAGACAAACTGAATGTTCAGAAACAGAATGAAGATTAAATAAGACAAAAACAACCCAGTGAAATCCTGTAGAGCCTTTAGAACTCATAAGTTAATACAGTAACAGGAAAAATGTCTGATATAATTGATAACATTTATCAAGCATTTCTAGATCACCATACATGGTTAAATATGCATTCCCTATGGCAAAGACCAAGAGGTAAGTGGGTAGGGGAGAAGAGAGTCATTGATAAGAACCGTAGGATTGTGGGTGACATTGCTCGCTCAATAATTTTTTCACTTGTTTGTCCATTCAACAAGTTTCTGGGGCAGGCATTTGGTGCAGCAATTAAGATGACACTTGGGATGCCGGGATCCCATTTTGGAGTGCCTGGGTCCGAGTGCTGGCTCTGCTTCCAATTCCAGCCTCCTGCTGATGCACACCCTGAGACGCAGCCGGTGAAGGCTCAAATACTCGGGTCCCTGCCACTCACATGGGAGACCTGGATTGACTTCCAAGCTCCTGGCTTCAGTCTGGCTCAGCCTCATCTGTGGCAGGCATGTGGGGTAGTGAACCAGTAAATGAATGGCAGGCAGATGCCTCTTTGTCTGCCTCTGTCTCTCACATAGATAAAAGTAAATAATTAAAACACACACACACATTGTGAGTCTGTGGGACCGATGGTAAAGGCGCACACAGTGAAAGGATGAGTCGCTTCAGACACTGTTGAAATATTACCAAATCTCTCTTCTCCCTTCACTTTCCTACGTAAGAGCTCCACAGTGGTCCCACGCTTCTGCCTACACACACAGATGGTCAGTGCATGCTTATGGGACCCTTCTCAGAGCCAAAACCTGGAGCCACAGCGCCAGCCCCCACTCTGCTTTCTTTTGCTTCCCGCCCTGCATCCCCATGACCTCAAAAAACCCAAGGCCTTCCCCAGCTGTTCAGACCCGGCTTGCCCCTTCATGGATCCAAAAGAATCAAATGTAAGAAAAGGAGCAGCACACTGAGCTGCCGGCTGCCAAGAGCTGAGATGTCCCTGTCCACACCAGGCTATAATTACCAGGAGGTGATGCCAAAAACAACAAAAGAGCTGCAAGGAAACTGTGCGAAGTTTCCCCGGTGTTAACTACATGCATATTTTTCTCTTCTCCCCACCCACCTTCCTCTGCCTATTGTATTCCAAAATCTTCTGAAACCACCAGATTGTAGACAGACACTGCTGGCTGCAGCTTAGTGTGCAGAAGGAGGTGTGTGGGCTGCACCGAGACTGCACAGGGAGCCAACGCAACAGAAGAGCTCTTCTCAGAACCAGGAGGAAGTGAGACAGTCCTGGCCCCAGTTACCTAATGGCTTTCAGATTACAGATTCTGCGCATGAGTGTGTGTGTGTGTGTGTGTGTGTGTATGTATTTTTAAAAACTTGAGAGGGTGATTAAGAGGGTGATCTCTCATCCACTGGTTCAATCCCCCCAAACTCCTCCTACAGCCAAAGCTGGAGCCCCACTGAAGCCAAGAGTCAAGAACTCAATCTGGTTTTCCCACGTGGCTAGCAGAAACCTAAGTACCTGAGCCATTACCTGCTGCTTCCCAAAATTCATTAGCAGGAAGCAGGATCAGGTGCAACCCAGGCATCTCAAGCAGCACCAGACACCCATCCCTGCAAAGACAGCTCCCAGGCCCTGTAAAGACAGCTCAACCAGAACCCTACAGTTCAGACAGCGGGAGGGGCTGCAGCAAGTGCCAGCTCTGTACCGGTTCGGTTGAATACTGGAATTCTCTGCTTGCCCCAGCAGAGGGCATTGCTCAGAATTGCCCTCAGTATCTCACTCACCAACTCCTCCAGAGAATCAGGCAGGCCCCCACCCCACCTCCATCCGCCGCCCCGTCTTCCCAGGCCAGCTTGCAATTCCCTCTGGAGCCACCGCCACACTGGGGGGCAGCAGAGGCTCAGACAGGCAAGAGTGTGTGCCGCGCTCCACCGCGCCCACTCACCCGCATCAGAGGCAAAGCGATCTCCTCCGTCACCAGGGTGATACCAGGGATTTCCTACGGTGGAGACAAAACACGCACACATCTGCTCATTGCATCAACTGTCAAGAGTCCACAGCTTCAGGAAGCGCTCTCTGCATAGACAGAAGCTGAGGGTGGCTTCCACTTTGCGAACCTCTGCTTAAAATAAACCTCAGGGGGTACAAATGACAGCAGACTCAACCTAGCTCGTCAAAGTCCCGGTTCTAACAGCTGACAGGGTCTCTGAAGGGAGCAAACGCCTGCATTTCTACTTGAGAACAAATGAGGCAAATCGGATTTGCACCCCCCCCCCCAGTGTAATAATAAAGGGCAACACTCCCTTAGTGGTCTTCTTTCTTCTCTGTCTGTTCTTTTATTTAAATAGAAACCACCCTGAATAGTGTTCTTGCACGATTTGATTGGAAACACTTTGTGTACCTACCGTTGAGGGACAAGAGGTCCTCATCAAGTGTTTCTACCGGGCCAGTGTTGTGGCGCAGCTAACAGAGCCATGGTTCACTACGCCAGCATCCCCTCTCAGACCACTGGTTCAAGTCCCGGCTGCTCCACTTCCGATCCAGCACCCTGCTAATGTGCCTGGGAAGGCAGCAGATGGTGGGTTCCCGCTACCCACGTGGGAGACCAGGATGGAGTTCCTGGCTCCTGGCTTGTGCAGTCATTTGTGGAGTGAACCAGTGGACGGGAGGTGAACCTCCCTGTCACTCTGCCACTCAGGTAAATAAGCCAATCTTTAAAAAACCAAATAAATACATTTCCACGGCACTATCTCCATGGCATCTGAGAGGCAAGAAGCCCATACCAGCATCAAGCCTAAAGGGCAATGTGGTGCTAACTAGTGAGCATTCAAACAGAAATTGAATAAAATGCTCAACTGCCCAAACTGCCCTTAATTCAATGTTAGTCTGAAAATGTGCTCTCTGGGTTAATGCCATAATTAACCTCTCCCCAGGTCAATTCAGAGTTCATTTCTCCAAGAAACAAAGATGGTGAATAATGGAGATGGTGCCGTGTAGAAGAACAAATCAGTATTTGTTTGGAACTTAAACGACCTGGGTTTAGGGACACAATGATAGAGAACTTTCCAGAAAATTCAAGCCACTGAGTCTCCCATTCTGCAACACAGGGTACCTCAAAACAGCATTCAGTCACACTACAGTTTTAGGTTATGAATAGTATTTTAAAATAGCTACAAATTGGGAGCAGACATTTAGGTTAGCAGTTAAGACTCCTGAATCTCCTATCCAAGTATCTGGATTTGATTTCTGGCTCCAGCTTCCTAGCAATGCAGACCCTGGGAGGCAGCAATGATCGCTCAAGCCATCAGGTTCCTGCTCCCTGTGTGGAAGACCTTGATTGAATTCCCAGCTCCTGACTCCTGCTCCACCCAGCTCCAGGAAATGTGGGCATCTGGGGAATGAACCAGGGGACAGGAGCTTGCTTTCTCTGTTTCTCTGCCCCTCAAATAACTTTTTAGAACATGTTTTCAAATAAATAGAATAATTGTTTGCAAAGTAGAATTCAGGACTACGTAAGTATAAGAGTAGCATATTTTCTATCTTAAATAACCCAAGTCAGTTGTCTCCATATGAAAGTGTGACACTCATGTTGCCTACTGTGCCAAGTTTTTAATCTGATAGCATTAAGAACATTTGCAGGGGCCGGCACTGTGGCACAGTGGGTTAAAGCTCTGACCTAAATCGCCAGCATCCCATATGAGCACTGGTTCTAGTCCCAGCTGCTCCTCTTCTGATCCAGCTCTCTGTTATGGCCTGGGATAGCAGAAGATGGGCCCCTGCACCCCCAGGGGAGACCCGGAAGAGGCTCCTGGCTCCTGTCTTCAGATTGGTGCAGCTCTGGCCGTTGTGGCCATCTGGGGAGTGAACCAGTGGATGGAAGACCTCTCTCTCTGTAACTCTTTCAAATAAATAAAAAACATCTTAAATTAAAGAACATTTGCAGATTAAAATATAGGGAAAGGAAATGATTACATTACTGCTAAAGATCTTCATAGACTCAGAGAATTTCAGGATAAGGAGAGACCCATAAGGTAACCTGCTCCAACCACAAGAAGTTTAAAGTAGCATGGTAAACTCCAACAGAAGCTCAGTACACAGAGGTTATAAATGTGGGTTTCTTGACGCTGTACTGTGGGACTTCCTGATGTCTCTCGGTCAGCACTCACCAGGGCTCCTCTGCCCTCAGAGTCTTGAGAAATGACAAAGTCAAGCACTGCATGTCAGGCTGATATTCTCACCCAGCAGTGCTAACGCACGCGCCACCATTTAACACGACCCTGGGAACCAGGGGTGTGGGCCCTGCCTGGACACTTTGACCACAGGACACAACAGCAGGTGGTGAGGGGAGGGAGCCGAGATGTGCATTTCCTGCAGCGTCGCCTGCAGACTTCCTGCCACTAAACCACAGAGGCTGCATGTCTATCCTCAAGCCCTGATGAGGAGAAGCTCAGGTCTTCCCCCTTAAAATTCTATAACAAGGCATGAAAAATCTAACAACTAAGTGCAGAAGATGAGAGGCCTTTAGGAAGACCAAGCATGGTGCATACCAGAAGCTTAGAAATCAACTCACACACTTGATACGTTAGGGCTGTATTTAGATATGATTTAAATACAAAATGGGAAGTAGCACAATTTAACCTAGGATGTATTTCCCTATGTCTGTGTTGGCTAAATTAAATCAACTTCTCTAAAATGCCTTTTTGATACAAAGCTCTGTCTCCACCACACTAAGCTTCCATTCCGACATCTCAACCTCAAAGGAGAGGAAGCAGAACCATTTCAGACACAGCCCACACGTGGTTCTCACTTGCTGGTCCACCACATCTAGTTGACTGCACCATGTTCAAGAGAAAGCAGAGTTTAGGCTGGATACTTCATTGAAAAGGAGGGTCAGGCCTGCGCAGTGGGTCAAGCTGCTGCTTGTAATGCCAGCATCCCAGACTGGGGCGCCGGTTCAAGGCCCACCTGCTCAGGTTCCCATCCAGCTCCCTGCTAGCAAGCTTGGGAAAGCAGCACATGATGGTCCAAGTGCTTGGGCCCTTGAACCCATGCGGGGGACCCAGACGGAGTTCCTGGCTCCTGGCTTCAGTCTGCTAGCCCAGCCCTGGCTGTTACAGGCATCTGGGGAGTGAACCAGTGGATGGGAGATTGTGTCACTCTGCTTTCCAAATAAGTGCTACAAGGACAGAGTCCAGCCTGACAAGAAGAAAAGGTTGAACAGAGCGAGCTTGCCTAAGATTGCTGGATTTTCCTGCTCTTGGAACACTCCAGTTGCTACAGGTTTTCTTTATGATGCTGGGAAACAGAAGCACAAAGGCCGCAATCTGCAGCAGGGGTCCAACCCTACCTCATCGATAAAAACCAGGGTGACATTTAATACACTCTAGTCACTTCAAATCTTAATATACCGTTTTATAAAGTTATACGATAGGAGTTTGGTTCTACCTGGTGGTGGGAGACTGCAAGTGCCCTACACCTTCTCCTTCAATGTCATGTTAGTATAGGAACGCTTTGGCCAACAGTAGGAATTCATTATTGCACTGTTGCCAGAGAATTCCAAGCTTGCAAGCTTGGTTACTGTACCAGGGATGTCCTCCAACAGACCAGCACTGTGGATGGATTTTCACTGCATAGGAACATGAAGTGTTAACTTACTGTATTCCATGTGAGCACTGAGGAATACGGCAATAGTCTGTCCATATTACTTGTCTCTGGATAAATGCTCCAATATGAAGAAGCTAGATTATTCAAAGAGGGAAATACCACATGGTTTAATAGGAACAATAAAGTAGCTGACATTTGCAATTCAACCAAATCAAGCAAACCAATCAAAGTTTTCACTGCCTTATCCTCAAGAGGTTAGCCATTATGATTTTATCTACTGACTAAACGGCTCAGGTTCTGCTTTTTACAATGAGAATTTCAACAATTCAGAATTTGCCACTGTATCTAATCAAACAACATGACACCAGTTCATACAAGATCCAGCCAACACAGGACTGGGCTGAGAAAATTAAATCCTGCCCTCCCCACCCCCACCCCGTAAAAAAAAAATCTAATAAAGTTGCAGAATCAAAGTCCTATCTTACATCTTATCAGTCTCTGAGCAGCCACAGTTTCTCACAAAACCACAAGAGAATGAGATCTAATTAGCTGTTGACTGCAATTTTTTTTTAACAAAAAAGTGCTCATAAGCGGCATTCTAACAGCTTATGACACTCGTTACCCATGTACTGCTGTCCCCCTTGCAAAGGGGTCAAGTGTTCCACTCAACACACGCCATCAGCAGCACTTACCAATTATAAATTCCTGAATGAGGTCAAAGGAATGGCAGGCAGGAACAGTCTCCGAAATCCACTGGATAATCTTTAAAAAGTAAGAGGACAGAACTCTGTTGGTATGTAAATCTGCACTCCAGCTTAGAGAAGTACAACTACATTGGAATTTTTTTTTTAATTCTCTATCTTGGGATTGCCTAAGAATACACTCACTTCCAGGCTGTCTTCAAATTGCATATAGTACAATAATAAATGAGATCCTCGTTCACACATCTTTTTAGTACACGTCCCTGGTCTGGGGTTCAAACAAGCCTGCTTGCACCCAACCTCCGTTTGTTTTTGCTAGAATAGATCGAGTGATAGCAGAGCACCAGGGGGAAGAGCTGAGGGGTGTAAAGGGAAAGGAAGCAAAACAGAAGCCCTCGGCTGAGGTTCGTGTTGCAGCTCCGGCACCCAAGAGAACAGTCACTCTGCCTAGCTCTGTGAGCAGCACTGTACTGCCTGCCCAAGCAGGGACGACCCCTGTTACCACATGTCAATCATTCTCCACATCCCCAAACCCACTGGAGGGAGTGGGCAACGAATCTCCTCCTTTCTTACCTTGGAACTGGAGGATGTTCTAAGCTTTGCCATAGGGCACTCACATTTCTGCTTCTACCAACAGAATCTCCGATTCCAAACCTAGTTGTGTATGTTGGTTGTGCTCATTTTCACGATTCGATCACTTAATAACATTTACTAGAGACAGGTGAACTACAGATGAAAAAAGAGTGTTGTGTTGTCGATACAATGAAAGGTGAACATTTTGGGAAGACGCAAAAAAAGCATGTCTCTGGAACATTAGAAATCTAGGCAGAGGCGAGACTATTTTAAAAGACGGTGTGAAAAGTACCCAATTTACCCAGGTTGTTTTGGAAAGGTCTTTTAAATTATCGACCTCTTTAGAAATAAAATTTTAAAGGTAACAGGAAGTCAGAGGTAACGCATTACTCTGGTTTTGTGCAAGAAAAATTACTTTGATCTCTAATTAGCTGATGCACACACACCCAAAAAAAAAAAAAAAAAAAAAAAAAGCCTTACTCTACACTTACTCTACATCAAAAGGTGAGTGCATAAATACACACTTGTATACTTGGGGTTAAAATAAAATGTCCAATGTATTCTTTTTTCCAAGTAACCTGCCACACATTGACCCCAACCAACTGACTTCAAGCCAAGATAGCTGTAAAAAATGCAATGTTAGAGAATGTCTCACAGTGCTCTGTAAACCATAATGTAAGCTCTCCTCGCTAGAAGTATGCTGTCTGCCGCTAGATTTTAGTCCTTTCAACAATTCTACTCATGTACCAAATAGAGCCCAAGAGGAAAAGCAGACATTTGGGAAACTCATTATTTACTGAACACTTCCTTGGGATGTTACTGATGCAGCTCAACACTCATTCACATTCTGGAAAGTATAGTGCAAGTGTCTGCAGAGTACATATCTACAGGGGATAATTCCCTAAACCCCCAGGGGCTGTCTGAAACCACAGATAATCTTGAATCCTTAGCAACATTGCCTACAATTTTTTTTTCCTTTCCAATTCTTTTCTTTCCTAATTTAGTCAAGAACTTTACCTTTTTCACCAAAAGAAAGCACTATATAGCTCTCTCGGTTGCCAGCATCACTACTCTTGCCTTTTGGTGCCATCATTAAAATAAAGCTTACTGGGGATGGGCACTTGGTAGAGTGGTTAGGACACTGCTTGGAATGCCTGCATCCCATGTTACATTGCCTGCATTTGAGTCCCAGCTCCACTGCCCATTCAAGCTTCCTGCTAATGGGAGGCAGCAGGTGAGGGCTTGAGTAGTTGGGTCCCACTCACACAGCAGATCAGAATTGAGGTCCTGGCTCCAGGCTTCAGCCTGGCCCAGCCTCAGCTGTTAAGAGCATTCAGGGAATGAACCAGCAGATGGAAGATCAACCAATACATACATACATACATACATACACACACACACACACACACACACACACACACACACGTTGTTCTATCACTTGTTCACTCTCTCTTCCATCTCTCTTTCAAATAACTGAAATCGGGGCCAGTGCTGTGGCACATGTAGCACAGTGGATTAAAACCCCAGTCTGCAGTCCTGGCATCCCATATGGATGCTAGTTCAAGTCCTGGCTGCTCCACTTCCGATCTAGCTCTCTGCTATGGCCTGGGAAAGCAGTAGAAGATGGTCCCAGTGCTTGGGCCCCTATACCGCCATGGGAACCTGAAAGAAGCTCCTGGCTCCTGGCTTTGGATTGGCCCAGCTCTGGCCATTGCGGCCATTTGAGGAGTGAACCAGCAAATAGAAGACCTTTCTCTTTCTCTCTCTCTCTCTCTCTCTCTCTCTCTCTCTCTGCCTCTGCCTCTGCCTCTCTGTAACTCTGCCATTCAAATAAATATTTAAAAAATAAAAATAGCAAGTCAAAAAATTTGCAGCAGGGGGTGGGGATTGCTGCTTGGCATCACAGCATAGCAGGAAAGGCCACCACCTACAATGCTGACATCCCATATAGCTACTGGTTTGTGTCCCAGATGCTCCACTTCCAATCCAGCTACCTGTTGACAGCCTGGAAAATGCAGTGGAAGATGGCTCACGTGTTTGGGCCCCTCCACCCCTGTGGGAGACCTAGAAGAAGCTCCTTACTCCTGGCTTCAGCCTGGCCCAGCCTTGGTCATTGCAACCATCTGAGGAGTAAACCAGTGGATGGAAGATCTCTCTCACTCTCTTTCATTCTAACTCAGTCTTTCAAATAAATAAATCATTTAAAAAATTTTTAATAAACGTTACTTACTTGAATTAAAATACTGAAATGACCACTTCAGTCAGTCTAACAACCGAGACAGCAACTAAGCAATTCCCAGGTGATCAGTACAAACAACAGGTATGTGCTTTACAAAGGGACAGTTCGTGACCATGAGCGACATTGAACGTGACAGCTCAAAATCTCACCACACTGCTCTGAATAGTGCACAGCTTAAAACTGATTAATTTTGTTTCTGGAATTTTCCATTGCCTATTTTTAGACTGTGGTTGACCGTGGTAACTGAAACCTTAGAAAGTGAAACCATGGGTAAGGGCAGACCTCTGTACTCAAAAGAACAGGCACCCTTAGTCCAAGGGCTTGGAGAGATCCATTAAAAAATAAAAAGCCCCAAGTCAAGACAGAGACCAGAAGCCTCAATTAGCTGTTACCAAATAAAACAATTCATATTCAGCCATTAATAAACACATTTGGTATTATCTATTTGCCAATCTTTAAGCATGCTTTTATTTGAAAGGCAGAGAGTGAGCGAGAGAACGATAGAGACAGATCTCTCATCCACTGGTTCACTTCCGAAATCCCTGTAATGGCCAGGGCTGGGCCACGAGCCAGGAGCCAGGAGCCAGGAGCTCAGTCTTGGCCTCCCGCCTGGTTGGACAGGGATCCAACGCTTGAATCCTCACCTGCTGCCTCCCAGGACGCATGTGGGCAGGAAAGTAAAATTGGGAGCAGAGCTCAGACTCCAACCCAGGCACTCAGCTATGGGCCGCTCATGTCGTACTTTCTACACCAAATGCCTGCCCCTATTTGACAGTGCTCAAACGTGAGCTGTACTCGCACCTTGCCTTCCAGGGACCTCAGGTCTCGGCCACATGAGAGTAAACAGTGCAACGCAGCCATCTTCTCACAGTCTTGGGAAGTGTTCCACAGGAACTGTAACAAATATGACTGGTTGAGGTGTGCTCTGTAGAGCTTTCCAGAACACCAATCCAGTACCAGGGACCCCGACAGGCAGTGTAAAGGACTACGAGGTAGCATATCAACCACTTCGTCATTTCCTGGCAAAACAAAACAAGTAGATAAAAAAAATCAGCAAATAAAAAACTCGCTGTCATCCAAACATAGATATTAATATCAAAGTAACCCCAGGAGAGAAAGCTTTCAGCCATACCTGTCAGAAACAGACTGTGGCAGGCCATGTCTGGGTGTTGAATATTAAGGAGATGGAAGAAATGACCAGGTAAATAAACAGCCACGTAGTAGTCTGCACAAGAGAAAGATTTGAGTCACCTACACATGACAAGAGCTGCACAGGTATAGATAAAGCCTTGAACATCACATCTTTGAACCTCTCAAAAAATCACGTTTTACCCATGTAATCCCAAGCAATCTGATGCCAGTACATCTCATCCTGCTGGCCGGATCCCACTTTATTTCTATCTGTGGCAAATTTTTTTCAGACATGTGGCCATGGTTACCTCAGATTATACCTACAGTTTTATTTCTAGGTAAATTGAAGCTCACTTAAATTGAAGCTCACTTAAAGTGAACTAAATGATTTAAGAGTAAGTGATAATAAAAATACCAAGCAATATAAATTATTCCTTAACCTGAATGGCTGAAATTAGCTTATCCTGAGAATCTTCAGTTTCTACCAGATTGGGAAAGCTTTAAGATTTACTTCCTGAGGCCACTACTGTGGCATAGCAGGTAAAGCCGCTGCCTGCAGTGCCAGCATCCCATTTGGGTGTCAGTTCGCGTCCCGGCTGCTCCACTTGCAAACCAGCTCTCTGCTATGGCCTGGGAAAGCAGTGGAAGATGGCCCAAGTCTTTGGGTCCCTGTACCCACGTGGAAGACCAGAAGAAGCTCCTGGCTCCTGGCTTCAGATCAGCCCAGCTCCGGCTGTTGTGGCCACTTGGGGAGTGAACCAGTGGATGGAAGATCTCTCTCTGCCTCTCTGCAACTCTGCCTTTCAAATAAATAATTTTTTTAAAAAAAGAAAGATTTACTTCCTTGTTTTCATGGACTCACTATCACTGTCATCTTTTTGTTTAGAGAACCTTTAAGTCGATGGCCATCAAAACCATCTACACAGGCACTGTGGCTCTTTGTGAACTGCTAGTTCCTCTCCTTGCATAGCTGTCTAGAATCCGTCCCTGCACTTGGTATTTTTATACCAAGAACATTTATATCCAGATGGAGACAAAGTGTAAAAGTAGATCCTGAAGAATCAGAGGGTGGAAGCTGCTCTTGACAATTTTTCTAGAATCTTAGAGACACAGAAATGCACACGGTAGCAGTGAATTTCATAGAGATGAAACGTTCAGATTATCATCGAGCTTGCTGGACTCCTTTTTGTGAAGAAGTTAAAAACATGTGTTGCTCACTGGTGGGCAGAGGAGATGGGAGATGGAAAGCTCTAACCTGTTGACTCAGAAGTGCCCTTCTGGGGGCTGGCACTGGGGCACAGTGGGCCAATGCACCACTGTGACATCCCATGAGTACCAGTTCAAGTCCCAGTTGCTCTGCTTCCAATCCACTTCCTTCCTGCTCACACGTTTGGGAAAGTAGCAGATGATGGTTCAAGTCCTTGTGCCCCTGCCACCCAACATGAGAGACCCATTTGGAGTTCCAGGCTCCTGGCTTCAGCCTGGCCCAACTCTGGCCATCGTGGCCATTTGGGGAGGAAACCAGTGGATGGGAGATCTCTCTACCTCTGCCTTTCAAATAAATAAAAGTAACCCTTAAGAAGAAAGAAGTGTCCTTCTGGCCCACAGGAAATTTCTGAGCATAGATGGGTGCAATAACCTTATTATTTTGGCAACAGGTGTATAGAAAAACACAAGCGATGACACAGTGCTGTGTAGTGGAAAGGGCTTGGGCATCAGATGGCTTAACTCCCAGTCAACACGGAATAAGTTAATGAGAGGGGGACCTGGAAATATACGAGGTTGTCTGGGTGGTCCACAATCCCTGGGGTAGAGGCATGGGGATTCCTACTGGCATTCGGTGGGTGGTCTCTGGGGAGGCCCAGGCTTTCCATGTGCAGCATGGTATTCCATGGAATTATCAGGAGTTCCTATGGTGAGCTGAGTGATGGCCTCCAAAGATATTCATGGGCTGACCTCCAGAGCCAGAAGTGATCAGGGTCTTGAGAAGGGGACAGTGTCCTGGGTCACCCAGATGGACCCAATGTGATCAAAGAAGTCCTCTTAAGAGGGAAGCAGAAGGGTGCTCTGACTTCAGAAGAGGACTAATGACAAAAGCAATTGGAGTGGTATGGCCACAAGCTAAGCCACCCTAACCCCCAGGTGCTGCAGGATACCAGGGCCAAATTCTTCCCTCGGAGCCTTCCAAAGGGACCAGTCCCATGCCCGATTTGAGCTCCTCCAAACCACTTTCAGTCTTCTCATCTCCATACTGCTAAGAGTATGCTCATGATGTTTTAAGCCCTAGGCTTGTGGTCATTTGCTACAAGACATTAACATAATGTCCCTTGTCAGAGATGCTGAAAAAAAACTGGTACACCCATCTCCCTGCTTTTAAGTCTCATTTCTATGATCTATAAAATGAAGATCACCAAGCAGTACTGTTGTACAGAGTAAGACACCTTAAGTAAAATATTGAACATACAATAGCTATTAGATAAGTAATAGCATTTTATTTATAAACTATTTCTTATACAGAGGTACTTGGAGTTTATGGAACATTTTCTGAAACCATTTGTCGGGCCGGTGTTGTGGTTCAGTGGGTTAGCTCACTGCTTGCAATGCTGGCATCCCATATCAGAATGTGAGTTCAAGACCAGGCTGCTCATCAACTTCTTGCTAATGTGCCTGGGGAGGCGGCAGATGATGGCTCAAGTACTTGGGTCCCTACCATCCACATGGAAGACCAGGATGGGATTCCAAACTCCTGGCTTTGGCTGGGTCCAGTCAAATCTGGTACTCAATCCCAGATGTTCCAAGTATTTGGGGAGTGAACCAACAGACGGAAGATGGAACTCTATCTCTTTCTCTCTGTTGCTCTGCTTTTCAAATACACAAATCTTTTTAAAACTGTTTGTTAATATTGCAATCAACATAAGCCACTTCTAACAAGATTAAAAGGCGGATAAATTACAATTAACAGCGAAGTTATATCACTCAAAAAAACCTAATATCACTACAAAAATTACCTCTAGAATAGTTTTAATCTTGGGGTCAAGTTTGTGCCTGAAAAATGAAATGTACACATCTGTAAAATATGTATACAAATATTACCAATATGTATCATGTATATATTTGTATACATAAATAATTCTTTTTCATCTAATTATTTATAAATATGAGAAAACTTCAAAAATGTCAGGGAAAATGGAATTAAAAGCTAAGTATGTCTTGGTGAAAAATTTTTAAATCTCTGTATATAATGAGTCTTCAAAAAGGCCATGAAAATGTATATCATGAGAAAACTGCATTCTACAAAGGATAAAACTAAGGAAATATGAGGATAAGAAAAAGTCCAGTTCTTCACACTTCCATTTTTTGTTTTCTCCTAAACATCTTTACTATTATGGCTTTAGATTCCATAGAAGGTAGGAAAGTAAGAGGAAATTTAAATAACTTGACTCTGGGCTATCCCAGAGCCCCGGTGTGAGCCTGTTTCAGGATCACCTAAACTTCTCTGGCATGGGACTTCACTGTGAACGCACTGCTCAGTGTAGAAGACAGATTTTTTTTTTTTTTTTTTTTTTTTTTTTTTTTTTTTGACAGGCAGAGTGGACAGTGAGAGAGAGAGACGGAGAGAAAGGTCTTCCTTTGCCATTGGTTCACCCTCCAATGGCTGCCGCGGTCGGCACGCTGCGGCCGGCTCACCGATCTGAAGGCAGGAGCCAGGTGCTTCTCCTGGTCTCCCATGGGGTGCAGGGCCCAAGCACCTGGGCCATCCTCCACTGCCTTCCCGGGCCACAGCAGAGAGCTGGCCTGGAAGAGGGGCAACCGGGACAGAATCCAGAGCCCCAACCGGGACTAGAACCCGGTGTGCCGGCGCTGCAAGGCAGAGGATTAGCCTAGTGAGCCACTGCGCTGGCAACATTATCTTCCTTAAAATCAGAGTTTACAATAGAGTGGGAAAACAAAGGATCTTACAATCAAGGCCCTGCTCAAAAAGACCCCCAAAAGGGGTTAAGGTGGTTAACCACCAAGCTGCCGCTTCCTGCCACAGGTGTTTGTATTGACAAAATCCACTGGGCTGAATTGGAGGACTCTCAGATTGCCTTCTTGCCTGAAGGTCTCCTGTTACTCAAATACCACACCCTGATGGGTGCAGAATTCTGGGACCAGAATAAAAAGTGACAATGCTTGGATCTTACTGTTTTCTCAAAATGGCGTAGATCCTTTGTCATTTCATCTTGATTTTTTAGATTGGAAAGAAACTGAAAGAATTGATAGCCTATTTCACAAAGCTTTAGTTCATTTCTGCCCTCTCTACACAAGGAAGACCACAGATTAAATCATGCCTTCCCTTTCCCAAGTCATTCCCAGAACGGGGGAGGGAAGGAAGGATACCTTTGCCCTCATAAAATGCTAAGTTTTTCTTAGGGGAAGTTTCCCACATCACTCTCAAGATAGGATGCTGATACTACACTGTTGATAAGAATCAAGGCCAGGCCCAGACAACCTTACAGGCACCTCTTTTAACACAGGAAGCAGCAGAACCAGGCCTCCCCAGGGCCATTTCCCACAAGTTCTGAGATCATGTTGAAATTTGCCTTGTACTGAGCCCAGGGAGCATGAGGTATCTAACCCCATCCGCAGCATCAACCAAAATAAAAAACGAATTTTATGGCTTATCATTCTTGAATCTCGCTTTGCTCGGCTCCCTCACAAGGTACTCTCCTAAACCTTGATCATGAGAGAAGACAGGTGAGAGAATGGAGATGGAAAAAAGGGAGCAAAGGCTCAAGTGCACTCAACCTGAAGCCTTCCTTTTCAAGGTTTCACGCCATGTCCCACATGCAGGCAAGTAACAGTGCTATCACTTAGTCCTGTGCTAACCTGTCAGCACCCCACACCCCAGCTGGCATGGGGAAGCGGCTCTCAGCAGGGAGATCAAGTACACTCCTTCTGTATTGCCTTCATTAGAGACTCCTTCAGTATGTTCAGACCTAACACTCACCTGACCGCATTTACTCAATGAAAACAACTGACTCAAGCCGCTCCATAAACCATTAATGAGACTTGGAAGCTTTCCACAGTTACCAACAGGGAACAGGCAATTTCCCAAAGGCTCTTGTCCTCTGGGATTCAAGGCCAACACTGTAAATGATTTCTCATGGATTGTTAGGGCATCTCATTCACAGTCGTCATTTCTGTACTAACAAGCGACTGTTATGACTGCTACACAAAAATATCGGGAAACCCACACCTTAGGTTTTCCTGCAAGTTGGGAGGGGGGTGTCCAGATAAAACCTCCCTCCAGGCTTCAAAAACCTCAGTGGTTGTCATCACAATCCAAGTCTCAAGGAAGCATGAGAAAGCGGGGTCCACAGAGAAGAAAAATTGCAAACCATGAGGCATAGCACGTCCTGGAAGAACCACAGATCACCCACCGAGGTTGAGAAAAGTGATGCCCGTGGTCACAGGTGAGCCAGGATTCCCGAGAGCAGGCATGAAGGTCTTGCTGTGTCCTGTAGAGAGAGGAAACACAAAGCCAGAGAGAGGTGGCAGAGAAGCCAAGAGCTGGAGCTCCACCCAAGGCTTTGTCACACCCTCCACGCTCAGGAGCTGGTAATGTGAGCGCGCATCTTCAAGATTCCACTTCTAGATCCCCACTGCCCCCAAAAGCCAGCCTTGCAGGTGGTCATCTAAGTACAGGCACAAGCCGGGCGTGGCTCTGGGCTCATGGGTCATCTCAGACCGTGAGGGGGACCGTCCACAAAGGGAAAGGTCTGCAGGAATCCACAGAGGGGCCATGAGGTGGAGGAGACCTGCTGGCTCCTTGGCCCCAGAGGCTGAGCCCCCAAAACTTCTCCGAGCCCCTGGCAAACCCCACTGTTAGAAAGGAAGGGGATTACACATCGACGCAACTCTGGGTACTGGGAATCACTCTCCACTTCTCCAACGCAGGATCTTCAGAAATATTTTTACTGGTTTTAGTCATTACACTCATCATCAGAAACATACGCAAAGACTTTCTACTAACTCTCAAACCTACGCTCCTTCAGCAGCTGTGTCTGGTTCTGAGGTTACTTTTGGTTTCTCCATTATCAAGTAAGTTCTCTTGCTCTCTAACCCCTGGAGGTAATATCAGACACACCTGCAGAATGACAAACTCTAGCCTAACGGTTGTGTGAGTATTGGAGAAAATTTCCATCTTTAAAAAATGCTAACCCTACCCACAGAGTAAACTACACAAATGCTAATTTTAAGGAACTAAACAAGCAAAGCCAATGCTCCTTAGCGTGGTTCAGACTATTACAGGGCACGCTATGATCAACCACAGAACTAAGGTTGCGCATTTCACCCCTGCACCCAGCCTATTGCCATGTAAATATCTTTGACCACAGATGTGTAAAATGGAATAAATGTATCTGATGTCTAAAACCTGTGTTTAGGTCTGGGCTTCTGGAAGCTTTTAACTAAAACCTGACACTTCATAAACTACATCCACACTTACTTTCCAAGTAGTATTTACTAGAAAGAAGGCACACACATTTGGGGCAAACACCAACCCACTAGGATTGTTTCTCAAGCCTAGAAAAAGATACCAACAAGGATAAAAATACATGCAGGACATAAAAATAATTCTCTAAGTTAACATTCACCATTAGTGAATTTTATCAGGAAGCATATTTTTAGATAGCCACAGAGATATAGAACGTATTGATAAAAATTGATTATAAGGTAATGAGACTTCAAATTTATCCACTTTGCTATTATTTGGAAAAAGTAATTATGCAAAAGTAAAAAAGAATAAATTAAAAATACCTTTATGAAAATAAAACACCGAATATGTGATTTGGTCCCAGGAGTCAAACGTGGGGCTGTAACATACACACAAACTTCCTAGAAGAAAAATGGTATTTAGTAGAACTTACAAGAATTTGTAATGAACAGTTCCTAAGCTACTTACCCTACTTGTACCCCCATAGGTATTCTGCCTCCTCTTCCTCAGAGATTATTTCAGATTTTAGAAGTGGCTGAGAAATTTTAAATCAATTTGGAAGCATGCATTTAATACACACCATAAACAATGCATTGTGGCAGGCTATTGAAGGCAGAAAAAAACAATAGAGGCACAGAATTTCTGTGAATTCAGTCTCCCAATAAATATATTAAAACACAAAAAAGAATAATTTTATCAAATAAAAATGGTATTACGTTAGATGTAAAACTACTATCACACAATTATAGTTACTTATTTAAAATTAGATTTATTGATAAGTTATTAAAACAAAAATAATCATTACAAGAATTATAAAAGTCTCATGTATCACTTTGCTTTCATACAGTAATATATTAGCTGTCTTATCCAGTTCTTTTACATTCACTGATCATATGGAGAAGGAAATTGTTAGCAAACATAGAAAAGTAAAAAAGGAACTTCTCCAGCAATAAAAAGTAAAAATTAAGACACAGCACCATATATTTCCTTGCAAATTAGCAGAGGTTTCTTAAAATGTTTTATTTCCTCATATGAGAGACACAGCAAGCAAGACACAGAAAGAGCAAGAGTGACAGCGCCTGTTCAGTGGTTTACTCCTCCAGTGCTTGCCATGGCTGGGTCGGGGTCGGAGCAGGGAGCTGGGAAATCCTCAGTCCAGGTCTCCTATGTGGGTGGCAGAGAACCAAGTATGTGGTGTCACCATTGCTTGCCAGGGTCTGCATTAGCAGGGAGCTGGAGTCAGCATCCAGAGGTGAGTATCGGACCCAGGCACTCTGATATGAGGAGGCAGGGGCGTCCCAACCAGAGGCCTACCCACCAGGCCAAATGCCCACCCTGCGATTTTATTTTTTTAATGATAATCAGTGCTGTCAAGGGAGCAAACAAATGGAAGTGCAAGAATGAACTAGAAAAACCTTTCTGGGGGGGAAAAAAAAAAGTTTTGCAAAGGATTAAATATATTCAGGCCTGCTGACCCAGTAATTCTTTTAGGAATTCATTCTGAGAAAGGAACATGAAATGTCAACAAAATAAGGAATAGAAGATCATAACCTCCATTTAACAAAATCTCCCACACACTATTAGAGAACGGAGTTCCTTGCTTTCACTCCTTTTGAGGCAAGTTAAAGTGATACATAAAAATAGATACATGAGAATATATTTTAAAAAGTTTATGAAAACATGGAATTGATAAGCCAAAAATTCTGAAATCCATAGTTTTTTCCATACATGTACTTCTGATGACCTTCCTGAAAACCACTCATACCTAGCTGTATCTACTGAGACCCACACTTAGATTTGGTCAGCAGATATTTCCAAAAAAGCTGTGACTTAATTCCCCTTCCCACAGCACTGTGAACTTGAGTGCATCGGCTACAGCACCTTCCCATGGGACCCTCCTCAGTGACGTGATGCTCTGTACTTGCACAGTCCCATAGGGTAGCCACTTGCCAATTAAAATGTGACTGGTATGACCAAGGGACTGCTTTATTTTAAATTGTCATTAGCTTAAATGTATTAGCTATATGTGGCTGGTGGCTCTTACATTTGACAACTAAGTTTCACTTTGATAGAACATCTCCATGTGGGGTCACAGATGTGCAGGCTCCATCTCCCGTCCACTAAGTCTCTGAGGACAAGATCAAGGATCAGTTTGTTTGTTTGTTTGTTTTTTTAAGATTTATGTATTTGAAAGGAAGAGTGATGCAGAGAAAGGGAGAAAACACAGAGAGTGTGCAATCTTTCACTTGCTGGTTCACTCCCCAAATAGCTACAATGACCAGTTCTGGACCAGGCCAAAGCCAGGAGCCTGGAACTCCATCCATGTCTGCCATGTGGATTTTAGGAGCCATCCTCTGTTTCCCAGGCACATTAGCAGGAAGCTGGATCAGAAATGGAGCAGCCATGACTCAAACCAGTGCTCACAGGGGATGTCAGTGTCATGGCAGTGGTTTAACCCACTGGGCCACAATACTAGCCCCAACATCCGTATTCTTTAAGCTCCGTACGTGATTCTAATAGGCAACCAAGAGCTGAGAACCATTGGCTACAATCAGCAGGACTAGATATGAATCCTGACTTTTGGTTTACTTCCTAAGTATACTGCCTCAGGCCAAGTCAGCTAGATTGTCTAAGCCAAGTTTCCTGATCTGTAAATGAAGAAGCTAAGGAACCTCCTTCCTAAGGTTCTTGTGTGAGAATTAAATAAGAGAATGTGTATAAAGCTCTGGCAAAGTGTTTACCTCCAGCTAGAAAGGCTAGCTGCTATTCTTCCAGGATAACTCTGCGGCTGCTTACAAGTTGGAGAAGGTCATAGTTTGAAAAAACAAAGCAGGTTCTTAACGAAGCATCCAGAGACATTTCAGAAATAGTCATCAGTGATGAAGGGAACATCTCCATGTTGACCAGTCATTGGAAAACCAAACAGGCAGTGAAAACCATTATAGACAAAGTTTTCCAAGGGAAATTCTCTCACTGGAACAATTATTACAAGGCCCAATAAAATGCTAAAACATAAGCCTAATTCTGGGAACTTTGCAAGGATTAACTCTTGAAATTGTATGAACAGGAAAGAGCATTTACACATTTTCCCACCCAGGGCCTCTCAGCAGGTAGTGCACAAGAAAGATGACAGCCACTGACCCAGAGCATACAAGACTGCTCCAGGGGTGAACACTGTGGTGCAGCTGGTTAAGCTAACACCTGCGACACTGGAATCCCGCATGCACACCGGTTCCAGTCCCAGCTGCTCCACTTCCAATCCAGCTCCTGCTAATGCACCTGGGAAAGCAGCAGAAGACGGCCCAAGTGTTTGGGTCCCTGCACCCATGTGGGAGACCTGGATGAAAGTCCTGGCTTCTGGCTTTGGCTTGGCCCAGCCCCTGCCATGTGGTCATTTAGTGGATGAACAAACAGAGGGATGATATTTCTCTCTCCTTCTCTTTAACCCTCTGTATCTGGAACTCTGCCTTTCAACTAAATCAATAAAAGACAAGACTGCTCCAGCTGCAGGTTCAGAGTCACCTCTCAGAAACAGAAGGATTAAAAATATTTTCCTTCCTGTCAGCACCTACAGAGTCTCCAACTGGTTTACTCTCCTATGATAAGTATTAGGAAAACCCATATGAATTTAGAATCTTAAATTCTACACAAGTGGCCTGACCACAGGTGCAACCTCTTTGCTCACCGTCAGCTCTAAGGAGCACACCCATCGTCTGGAGTGTAACCTCTCATTCCTTGGAAGCAGCCAATTCATTTCGGAGGCTGCAGAGTTTCAGGGTACAAAGATGCTTCCAGAAACGTCACATGTAATTTCTGTGACTCTCAATGACCAAGGCACAGCAAATGAACAGCAGGTATCAGGACATCCTCGTGATCCACGTATGCGGCTGAAATCAAGTGTGCGTGAGGCCCTGAGTCTATTGGCATTGCCTGAGTGAACCGTATTTTCTGGTCCCCATCCCACTATTGTAGAGGGAGCCACATTAGGATTAAGCTATTTTTCTCCTTTCCCAATCCTACTTCGCCACAGTACATTTTCTTTTATTTTTAATTTTTGTGGTTAAAATAAAGTTTTGAAAAGTAACTTGAAAAACATATGAACTCATGACTTTTAAAGTCAAAAACCAAAAATCTGCTTCTCCGGCTTGGGAAATCTGGGGGTATCTCATGTGAAACTGGCTTAATGTTTGTCCATTTCAAAGCTATCAAACGCATAGCTCATTTTCTACTCTCCCAGACGTCGATGAGAAGAAAAAAAAAAAACAGACTCTTTCACATCCCATGCCAGACAAACCTAGCATTTCATGAAATAAGAAATATCACAGACGGGGGCCAATTATGAGGTGTAGCAGGTCGGGCCACCAGCTGCTAAGTCTGCATCCTCTATGGGAACCAGTTTGTATCCTGGCCTCTCCACTTCTGATCCAGCTCTCTTTTCAGCTCCCTGCTAATGGCCTGGGAAAACAGAGAAAGACGGTCTAAGAACTTGGGCCCCTGCACCCATCTGGGGGACCTGGAAGAAGCTCCTGGCTTCGGCCTGGCCCAGCCCCAGCTATTGCAGCCATCTAGGGAGTGAACCAGCAGATGAAAGATCTCTGTGTCTCTTTCCCTCCCTCCAACTCTCACTTTCAAATAAATAATAAAAATCTAACCAAAAGAAAAGAAAGGTCGCAGACAGCCAATTTATAAGCTATCGCTGCTACTGCTCGTGAGAAACTCTTGCGGGAACAAAACAAAAGAGATTACAAAAGCACATAGAATTAAAGCCTAAAATGAATGTTTACATCCAACAGATTGAAGGCAAAGAAGAAGGGCAGAACCTCTCACAGTACCACTAGGTAAGCTCTGGGTCCCACTGCATCCCACGGCCTAAGACAATTCACTCTGTGGAATATTCGTCTTTGCTATGTCTTACTTCTTTCCCCTTGGCACCAAGAAGATCCTTTAAGCATTCAAACGTACTGGAGCCCTGACCATTTTAAAAAATAATACTCCTGAAACCCCACTTTACTTCTGGCTGCCGTCTCCGGCCGGGATGCATGCTGCAGCAGGTTTTTCTACTCCATTATGCCACTGAGCCCAGCACAACCGAGAGTTCAGCTCCATCACCCACTCAGAGCTCCCAGCAGCCTCTGTGCTGCCAGGCCCAATGCACTGCCCCCACCCTCTGTGTCCAGTTAGCCATGCCCTCCTGGGACTGCTGCATGCCACACTTCTTTGGGGTTTCCTCCCCTTTCCAGACATTAGTTTGTCTCTGTCCTTTGGGACATTCATATGTTTCCTGCTAATTTGTAAACATCTTCTTTCTTCACCCTATAGCCCTCCCATGGCTTCAAATGTCAGCTGTGTTCTGACACCTTCCACTTTTATTCACTGCCATCTTGACTCCTCTGCTATGCTCCAGATTAGCTGGTTAACATTCCCAGAACAAAACTCACAACGCTTCCTAAGCCCCACCCAAACTCCCGTATCAGTAAATGGCACCACTCTTGACCAATCTGCTTATACCAGAAACCCGAAAACCACTCTCTTCCAACTAATTTACACTGAGTTTCATCTCCAAGAACCATTTAAGGGGCCAATGCTGTGGCACAGCAGGTAAAGCCACTGCCTGTAGTGCCAGCATCCTGTATGGGCACCAGTTCAAGTCCTGGTTGCTCCACTTTCATCTAGCTCTCTGCTATGGCCTGGGAAGGCAGTGGAAGATGGCCCAGGCCATTGGGCCCCTGCACATACATGGAAGACCTGGAGGAAGCTCCTGGCTCCTGGCTTTGGATTGGCACAGCTCCGGCTGTTGTGGCCATGTGGGGAGCGAACCAGCAGATGGGAGATTTTCTCTCCCTCCCTGCCTCTCTATAACTCTGCCTTTCAAATAAAATCCTTTAAAAAAAAGATACATTTCAACCCATCCAGCCCTTTGCCTCGGCTGCCCATCCTGATTCAAGCCACCAGCATCTCAAATGTGGGCCGTGGCCTCCTTCCCGCTGCTCATCTCCCCACTTTTTCTCTTGCCTTTCCAATCCATTCTTCTAACCGCAGCCACAGTGATGTCTTAAAAATATCAATACCATCACACCACCGCCTGCCTCAAACACATCAGTGAAGAAACATCAGTGGCTCCTACAACGGATGTGTGGAAAGTTGCTGGGGAACAGTCACATGATGCCAAAATCTCCCAACAAATTATTGCATCAGTTAAAACACAGCTTTGTAAGGGAGGCACGCAGTGGTTACCATATAACCAAGCCATCAAACTTAGCATCACTAACGGTAGGACACCCCAACAGTGTTTGCCTCCTGATCTGACATAATGAACCACATTGTCTACGAAGGTTCTCAGCAGAAACACATAATTACCCTTATCTGCATGTTCCAGCCTAACTTGTGATCTACAGGAAACACTGAGGATAGACGGTCAAGTTAAACGCCTCCACAAGGGAGCAGGTAGACAAATCCAGAATGCAGGACATTCCACAGGCAAATGGCCTGTACTCTTCAAAGACAGAAGTTGTTGGGGAAAAGGAAGGGAGATAGGGTGGGGGGAGAGACGGTTGTACATTCAAGCAGACAGCTAAAATCATGAGGAATGCATGAGTCCTGTTCATGAATCCTGGGAGGCAGCAGATGATGGCTCAAGTACCTGGTTCCCTGTCACCTGTGTGGGAGACCCAGATGGAGTTCTTGGCTCCAACCCTGGCTGTTGTGGACATTTGCGAAGTGAACCAGGGCATGGAAATTCTCTTTCAAATAAAATAATCTTTCTTTAAAACTGTATGTACTCAAATACATAATGCACATAAGTATATTACATTTTTGAAATAATTATAGAAATTTGGAAATGGAATAAAGGTTATTAAGGTAATTCATTTTTGCCAGTGATAATAGGACAGAAGTCATATAGAAGAGTGTCCTTAACTTAAGAAGATAAATGTTGAAATATTCAGTGGTAAAGTGTTCAGATGTCTGCAATTTACTTTTGAATTTAATAAAAAAAATTGTACCTATACATAGGGAGAATGATAATGCAAATATTGTAATTGATACAATTACATAAGTAGAGGCACACAGACGCTCATTGTATCCTTGAACTCTTTTGGTATGTTTGGGCTTCCTCAAAGTAAATTGTGGTAGTTGGGAAAACAGACCTTCCATGACTTCTCACCATTCTTAGGATAGAATCTAAAATCCTTCCATGATCCACAGGACCCTTCATAATCTGGCCCCTGCCTACCAGCTCTCTCACAATCCTCTCCCCCTCACTCATTATGCTTCAGCAATATTGGTCTTAGTTTATACATATCCTTCAAATCTCAACCGAAATACCACTTCTTTCCTTGAACCTCCCAGAACTGGAACAACTCATGTGTCAGAGGGGCACCTGGGATGGACAGGAAAAATGGGATGGATTTTGAAGAAGAAAGTTGGGAAAGGGGTGATTTTTCAGAATAGGACAAAATGGGATGGAACGACTTGCAAGGAGGAGAGTTGACTGGCTGAACTAGGACATACTTGAAGATACCAGTATCTTCCAGGAAACCTCCATCATGTGCTTCTCAAGACTTCTTATAATTCTCATTCATAATGTTTGTTATAATTCTATTTAAAACTATGTGTGCCCCTATGTAATGTCTAAAATCCATACCAAATAGCCGCCTTTATATAATACAGGTCAGTTTTGTTCACCATGGCATCCCCCCAAGACCTACCATACAGTAAGTGCTCAATGAATGTTGGCTGAATGCATGAACATTACATAGCTTGACTTTAAAAGAAAACAACTTTAATTCAAGTACTATTCAGATAGTTAATGTCCACTCAATTTGGGACATTACAATTGAGCATTAGATTCAGTTATTAGAGTTGATTATTTAGATGATTAATAACCTAATAAGCAGATTTTTCTCTAGACTTATTGAATGTAGTCCTAGTCCTCACTCCAGGATTTTTTTAGTCCTCTCCATTTGCTTGATCTACAATTAATGAGTTTTATAAAGCTCTGATTGTTAGATCAGTAGGTTATATTATGACTTTTACAGCCAAGTACATGGATCTAGAATCCAAACACCGTAGTAACCCTAACACAGACAGCAATCCCTTTACTGTTTGCTATTTGTTAAAAGATGGGGCAGGTGAGAAAACGTATATTCACTAAATATGAATATGTCCCCTCTAACAGAACATACAAAACATAAGCGTTGGAACATTAATTCTACTGACTGCCTTCTTTCATATAGCCAGCATTTGTATAAAGTTATAGTGAAGAAGATAAATGGGTACACAAAAATCCACATGATCACCTACGTAAGAAGGCAGCTCTGTTATACTGCATCTTCCTGACATGGCTAAACGATGACTAAGTCTTGAATAGAGGAATAATAGCTGGATAAATTGATAAGTAGAACATAGGTTCTACCTGTATGATTGCTGAATACACACAGAGTCAGGTGCTTGGATAATTTCTCTTGGTCTTGATGATAATCATATCCAAAGTTGACAAGCCTAAGAAGGCAAAGGAAAAGACATTACTGAATGCATTTTTTTATTTTTTATTTTATTTTTTTTTTTGACAGGCAGAGTGGACAGTGAGAGAGAGAGACAGAGAGAAAGGTCTTCCTTTTGCTGAATCCATTTAAAGATAGATCCCATCAAGGACTGGAATTACAGTGCTGCAGGTTAAGCCGCTGCTTTTGCAACACTGGCATCCTATGCTGGAGCACCAATACGAGACCCAGCTGCTCTGCTTTCAATCCAGCTCCCTGCTAATGCACCTGGGACGGTAGAAAAACATGGTCCAAGTACTCGGGCCCCTGCTACCCATGTTGGAGACCAGGATGGCGTTCCTTACTCTTGGCTTTGGCCCGGCCCAGCCCTGGCTGTTGCAGCCATTTGAGGAAGGAATCAGTGGATGGAAGATCTTACTCTCTCTCCATCTTTCCCTGTCTTTCTGCCTTGCAAATAAATACAGAGTTTCCTTTTATAGCATCTTAGGATTATCACTGCTATAATTTGGGAGACTTCTGTTTCTCCTGTGTAGCAAAGGATTTATTTTTTCTAAAGTGCCTCATGTTTGTATGGCATGCAAAGTAGTCTATAGAAAGAAAAAGAAAACCTTGCCTTTGTGTAAAAGGAAAACAGAAAAAAAAGTGAAGCAAGAGATCCAGCTGAGCCACAGTGGACTGTGTTGTCCTCTGATGCATGGAAGCAACAGAGGACAACACAGATCATGTTTGATCGTGAATCACTGACTCGCTAAGCTCAAGGGTTAAGTAAAATGGTGTAAGAATATTATTATTAAATAAATGGCTAAGAAAATCAACACAACTGGATTTACAAGGGAAATCTTGTGCTCAAGCTTACTAAAGCAGTCTACACTCCCAGTAGAGAATAGAAAGATATAGATACACACACATGCAGTATCAGACTGTCCTATCTGCAGATCAGCAATTAGGATTCAATACAAACATGTCACCCATGAGTATCTATAAAAACAATTTGCTAATAATTAACAAATAAAAATAACTTACTTAAATCCTGAGTCACTTAATGATATGTCCAAGGGTGCTTCAAACTGTCAAAAGAAATCAGGAGAAAATGAGCTATAAAAATGCCATCAATGGGCTGGTGCCGCGGCTCACTAGGCTAATCCTCTGCCTAGTGGCGCCGGCACACCGGGTTCTAGTCCCAGTTGGGGCGCCGGATTCTGTCCCGGTTGCCCCTCTTCCAGGCCAGCTCTCTGCTGTGGCCAGGGAGTGCAGTGGAGGATGACCCAGGTGCTTGGGCCCTGCACCCCATGGGAGACCAGGAAAAGCACCTGGCTCCTGGCTCCTGCCATCGGATCAGCGCGGTGCACCGGCAGCAGCGCGCCGGCCGCAGCAGCCATTGGAGGGTGAACCAACGGCAAAGGAAGACCTTTCTCTCTGTCTCTCTCTCTCACTGTCCACTCTGCCTGTCAAAAATAAAAAAAAAAATAAAAATAAATAAAAAAAATTTAAAAAGAAAAGCCATCAATGAAGTGATCAAGGTTCTGAAAACCAGGGCAAGCCTGGCTGTGCTGTGCTTGCCCACCATGAAGAGCCCCCTTACCCACCACTGTCTTCAGAGGGTGCACTCCGAGTCCACCACAAAGACAGCGCCTTGGGAATACACCAGGGTTACAGACAAGCACAAGTTTGGCACAGAATTGTTTCTTAAAGGGATAAAGCTGGGCCAACTTGGCCTTAGAGGCAAGCATCCTCACTGAGTTGTATGATAGTCAAGTAGAAGCAGTAGCCGTTTATAACACAGATGACTACATAAGCAAGGAAGGACTGAATGTCTTTATGTCTTTAGAAGGAGAATGAGAGAGCAAAAAAAAAAAAAAAAAAACAGGTAAATAAAGTTCTTATAATGGTGGGACATCAATCAATACTGGATTCCAATATTAGTCCTACTTGAGAACAATAATAATGCAAGTCTATCACAGATAAAGATGTTAGTGAGTCCTGACCACAAGGCTGACATTCCAAATAACTTAAGGAATAATGCTGGATTTTTACCAACTAAACTATCCCCTCTCTCATAGGCTTTTTCCTTATTCTCAAATGCACCATTCTCACAGGTCCCTTTGGGTCAAATAACGTGCAGCCACTAGAAGCCACCTGCTACCCTGTGTTAATCCCCACTCTTACACCCGTTTCTTTAAAGTGAGGCATTCAGTACATGGAGATTTTGCTATGTATGCTCCTCTAACCACCTATATGGATTGTGACTAAACAGTATTTTAAAATGCTAAAATACTGTTTATGATAGCAGGCATTTAGCCATCAAGACACCCACATCCCCCTTCAGAGTATCTGGTTTCAATTTCCTGCTCTGGCTCCTTGACTCCAGTTTCCTGATAATGCCGACCATGGGAGGAAGCAATGATGGCTCCAATAGTTGGGCCCTGCCACCCACATGGGAGAGCTGGACTGAATTTTCAGCTCCCTGCTTTGGCCTGGCTCAGCCCCAGCTGTTACTGGTGTCTAAGAAGACCAGTGAATAGAAACGTGTTTCTCAAGTACAGTACTTTTGAATAGATAATGTTGTATATAATAGGAGCTGTCTTAAAACAAGGCAACATGGTACCAAATTTCTTCTAAACTTCTGAACTTACCATTAAATTAAAGTTCTCATTGGCATAAAATTGGATGCATTTTAAAATACTTTTTGATTTCTACAAGAGAAAAGAGAATGATGTATTACCCACAAATCAATGAAAAATGCTAGAAACAAAAAGAAGTGAAGAAGCAAAGCTTAGTAGCAAAAAGCTTCCCATTATTTGTAATAAACTTTCCTTGATTGCTTCCATTAATGGAAATGTTGTGATTAATAAACTACAGTGATGATAATGTCAAAGTCCAATTGTTCCTATGAAGACGAGTGTCCACAGACTAGTTTGTACCTTCAGGTCAATGTAGTATAATCTCTGCTCCGACATATCCCACTGAGCCCAAACAAAATCCTCGGCTATTTTGTCTTTAGGGAGGTGGCCAGAATTCTTAATCACCTGAAGAGGTAAAACAATCTCATAAGCAAATAAAATTTAAGGAAAAAGATAACTAGGATTCATTATTTTGCATATCTATCTTACGATACATGTAAACATTTCCTCAATTTCTCTTTAGCAGGTCTGCATCCCAACACACACAACCTTTCCAGCAAAGTGTTAAGCTATCATTTCATTACTTCCTCTTCCCATACACTCTACACTTAATTCTGTTCATCTTCCTACTTTGACAGGCCAGGGTTGGTCAGGGCAAGACCACACCTACTACAAATCAACAGTGGTGTCCATAGAGGATTCTGAACGTCCCATTCTGGATGTAACCCCCTCAGTCAGGCCTTTACAGACAAGAAGACTTCACCACCAAAGAAAGAGGCTATGATGCCAAGTGAAGACTTGGGTCTGGGAGGAGACCGCACAAGGCAATAACTTCAGCTTGATCCTCAACAAACCATGTGGCCTTGGGTATGCTTCTTTTGCTTTCTATCTTCGCCTGTCAGTAGGATGATACTGCTCATTTCTCAGCAATACCGAGCTACTCACCCTCCCACAATGATAGGCATCGTCTCTTGTATAATTCCTTCCCTAATCTCCCCCAGAGGAAGGCGAAACCTCTCACCTCTGTATTACTATAGTGCTTTGGCATGCTTCTTTACAGTAACATTTCAATTAATGCTGCAAGTCTGCTCTATAGAGTGTGCACTCTTCTACGTGTCCGTGTCTATACTGCTGCTAGCATAAAATAGTACTCAAAGAAGGCTTATTCAAAAGCAAGACAATGAAATAAGGTGTGCAAGAGTAAACTGCCAAGGATATGAGTGTAAAGTACTTACTAGGTAACAAAATCAGAGAACCCCAGAACTTTAGAAACAGAGACTCTAGAAGATTTCAAAACCCATCTAGTTCAACCTCTCTACAAGTGAGGAGACTCAGGACAAGAGAGTTTGGACTGCACAGTTGGTTCAGTAAGACCCATAATCCCTGTGTCTGGCACCCTCTCACAAACTATTTTCATGTCAGTTGACCTCAATGTAATTTGACAGGAATTAAGCATTACTTTCCTCAAAATGTCTATCACGCAAAAGTCTTCTACATTGATATAGATGAGGAAAAAATGAAGCTGGACTGAGAGAAATGAGGAGAAAGGGAACACCAGAATGGTTCATATTTATGCCTGAACCCATTTTAATTCCAAGAGATTTCCCCATCAAGGTTCGCCTGGAGCTTGACAAGACTCAAGGCCTAAAGAGTAACAAACTTCTTGACTTCTTCCTTGCCCAGGCCCAGAGGAAAGAGAAGCTGATGACTTAAGACTGCCTCTAAACCTCCAACAATCCTTCCATTTTCCTGAGCTTTGTTAGGTTGTTATGTGTTTAGAAACCCTTACAGATAAAGCTAAATGCTGACAAAAACATGAGAAGAGTGTGGCATGCCCAGGTTCCAACATCACTTTTAAGAAAGAAAGCAGAGAGACAGAGCAAGTGTACTCCCATCTGTTGGTTCACTAACAAAGGTCCTCAATGGTTGAGTGGCCAAAGCCTCTATCTGGGAACTTAACCAGATCTCCCACAGGGGCATAAACCCAACTACTTGGCCTGGTACCAATGCCTCCCAAGGTCTACGTTAGTGTGAAGTGGTAATATGGAGTAGGAGCTGGTGATCAAACTCAGGTACTCAATATTGTTTCTCTACATTACCTCACCTATTTGAGTCTTGGTTCCCATCTTTTCTTTAAAAATGAGGCTGATAATACTACTTCTATCATGTGGGATGCCACAAAGAATACACGGAATTGCCTAGTGCTGTAAAAATCTGTTGTCAGAGATACCAAGATGGAGGGTTAGGGAATGACATACTGTGCTAGGCTAGGGATAAACATTTTTTTTAAAAAAGGAAGACAGTGTAGGAAGTGCACTCTCAGTGGAGAACTGGAGAGAAAACTGCACTGGAAATCCTACAAGAGGAAGAGGAATGTGTGGACATGTATGGAGGGTGCAGATGCACAGCACAAAAATGAACACAAACACAACTGCAACAGCCAAGAGCCAGGGCAGGAGGCAGCTTGGAGACAGAAGTGAGACCAGACCACAGCAACCCATGGCGATACAGCCAGAGGGAGAGGGTGGTGTGAGTGTGGACTACAGCCCTGGGGGCTAGCAGTTGCTCTGAGACCAAGTGGAAGTAGAGGGGGAACATTTATCTTGCCTCAACTTCCCAACAACAGCACCCACTGCCCAGCTGAGAAAGGGCAGATGCTATTTTGGGTTTGGGCAGGAGCTGCAGAAAACTTTGTATGTGTGTACAGCAATTGGCTAAGCCAGGATGCCATTGTCTCGGCAGTACTGGCGGCAGTGGCAGGAAGGGAGCAATGTTCATCCAGTGCTTCTTGTGTTCATGTGTAATCCAGAGGTTCTAGCAGAGGAACAATCTGCAGTCCCCACTGACTTTGAGCCTGGCTAGGAGGTGGTTGGGCAACCATGTAGGACTGTGAGGCACCCACAGTTTCCCAGGATCAAGACACCTAGGCAGAACTGTCTCAGGGAACATCTGCCTCTCTGTTGACTGAGAAGACTGGCAGGGAAGAGAAAAACCTCTGTACCCATTGACTGTGGCAATCTTGTGTTCTGAGACCATGGGAATCAGTGGTTAAATGAGAAGATGCAGGATGTAGCTGGATCTCTGGGCAATCACTGGGTGTGGCTCCACACTCAGAGCTCTTTGGTTGCCTAGAGCAGGTCACTGCAGTGGAATTGTGTGCACAGTGAGGACTGCACAGATCATTTGTGTAGTTCATACAGTATGCACAATACACTAGGGGCTAACACTTGAGCATTGAGATCTACCACGCCCAACTTGGGTGTTACCCTGGATACTCAACCCACCCTGGAGAACTGACCAGCACTCCCTGACCACAGCCACCACACTTCTTTTGGTATTCACTGAAAGTGCAGACATTCCACTAAGCCAAAGAGGCATGGCTCAAAGATAAAAACCATCAGAGGGGAAAAAAATCAACTCCACAAATGCCCAAAAATGCAGAAATTCAGGAAACAAAAATAAGGAAGACACCATAACCCCTCCACAGGAAAACAACATTTCAAAATTAGAATGTGACAATGAAGAGATTGAGGAAATGTTAGAAATGGAATTCAAAAAATTAATCATAGGGATTACTCAAAAGTAATCAGAAGCAAATCCATGAACTAAAGAAAACCATACATGATATTAAATTTTTCCATGAAATTGAGATTTTTAAAGAGAATTCAAAATAATTATTAGAAATTAAGAATTCAATAGATCAAATATGTGGTAGAAAGCTTTAAAAGCAGACTCAGTGAAGCAGAAGAAATAATATCCAAATTAGAAGACAAATCTTTGGAAAACTTACAGTCAGACCAAAAAAAAAAAAAAAACCCAAGAATTAGAAACTTCTGAACAGTGTTGGAGATTTATGGGGCACTATCAAACGACCCAACATACAGGTCCTAAGAGTTCTTGAAGGTATGGAAAGAGAGAAAGGACTAGAGGGCCTATTTAGTAAATCACAGAAAATTTCCCCAATTTGGAGAAAATTTGGAGAAAGAAAGGAATGTCCAAGTACAGGAAGCATACAGAACTCCTGACATTATGAGAAAAGATCCTCACCGTGACACATTATAGTCAAACTTTCCACTGTAAAACAAAGAAAAGATTCTAAAATTTGCATGAGAGAAATGCCAAATTACTTTCAGAGGTTCTCCAATCAGACTCACAGCTGACCGCTCATCAGAAACCCTACAGGCTAAAAAGGAATAGCGAGATATAGTCAAAGCATTAAAAAAAAAAAAAAAAAAAAAAAAAAACCTGGGTCAACCCAGAACACTATATCCTGCAAAGCTCTCATTTATGAATGAAAGTGAAACAAAAACCTTCCATAACAAACAGAAATTGAAAGAATTTGTCCCCACTCATCCAGTCTTGCTTAAGGATGTGCTATACACAGAAAGATAGCCATCATTATGAAAGAATGTGAAAGCTGAAAATACTCCAGTAAAAGAACAAAATCCAAAATAAACAATAGGAATACTTATGGAAAAATGGCAGGGCCAAGTTGTTTCTTATCAATAGTCACTTTAACTGGAGAGTTAAGGCCATTTAAGATACAGATTGGCTGAATGGATTAAAAAGACCCATCTATTTGCTGCCTATAAGAAATATATCTCACCAACAAAGATACATGCAGACTTAAAAGGCAAGGCAGAAGTGGAGAAAGAGAGAGTCAGTCTTCCATCCACTGGTTCACTTCCTAAATGGCTGCCATGGCCAGAGATGCCGATCCCAAGCCAGGAGCCAGGAGCCTCCTCTGGGTCTCCCATGCAGGTATAGGGGCCCAAGGACTTGGGTCATCTTCTACTGCATTCCCAGGGGGATAGCAGAGAGCTGGATGGGAAGTGCAGCTGCCGGGTCTCAAATCAGCACCATATGAGATGCCGGCACTGCAGATGGCGGCTTTACCTGCTACACCACAGCGCTGGCCCCAAACCCTCTTCATTTAAAAAAAAAATTTATTTAAAAGACAAAGTTACTGAAAGAACAAGGGAGAGACAGGTCTTCCATCTGCTGGTTCACTCCCCAAATGGCCACAATGGCTGGCCAGGGCTGGGCCAGGCTGAAGCCATGATCCAGGAGCTTCTTCTAAGTCTCCTACATGGGTGCAGGAGCCCAAGTGTCTGGGCCATCCTCCACTGCCTTTCCAGGTACATTAGCAGGGAGCTAGATTAGAAGTGAGCAGCCAAAACTCAGGACTTGAACGAGGACCCACACAGGAGGCCCGTGCTGCAGGACGTGGCTTAACCCACTATGCCACAGTGCCAGGCCCCTTCCCCAAACCCTTTTCTAACCACCAAGACCTCTATTCATGCTCAATCCCAATTCCCAACCCCAGCTTGTTTATTTAACTCTTTTGAGTGATCATCACTGGCTTTGGGATTCAGCTTCAGCCTTCCTCTTGGAAATTCACTTAACCATCGGTGGCCAGAGCTAGCCACATTCTTTCTCCCAGCATTTTCTAGCCAAGCCTCTTGATTTGAAGCTGTCAAATGCAGACACATAATACATGCCATTTCCAGTTCAAGTTTGTTCACATAACTTTCAAATGAAAATCATCATCAGCACATTAAAATATTGAGATGATTCTGATGCAGACTATTCAAATATTGAAGGAAATAATGTTAATAATATTTATAATATGTTAAGATCTCATACAAATTGTCAAGAAAAAAGAAACCCAGGAGAAAAACAAAGATATAACTATTGTCATTACAGCAAATGCAAATATCCAAAAATATAGGAAAGGGGCTGGCGCTGTGGCAAAGCAGGTAAAGCCACCGCCTACAGTGCCGGCATCCCATATCAGTGCCAGTTCAAGTCCCAGCTGCTCCACTTCCAATCCAGCTCTCTGCTATGGCCTTGGAAAGCAATAGAAGATGGCCCAAGTCCTTGGGACCCTGCACTCATGTGGGAGACCCAGAAGAAGCTTCAGGTTCCTGGCTTTGGATCAGCCCAGCTCTGGCCATTGCGGCCATTTGTGGAGTGAACCAGCAGATGGAAGACCTCTCTCTCTCTCCCTCTCTCTCTCTCTCTCTGCCTCTCTGTCACTCTGCCTTTCAAATAAATAAATCTTTAATATATATATAGGATAATATATTCAAATAAATTAATATTAAGAAACACAGATTAAGATATCAAGTTACACTCATCAAGTTGGAAACTTTAAATATAGGTAAGTACACTTATTACTGGAACTTACACTTTGCTACAAGAAAACCAGATTTGGGGGGAAAGAAATCTGATAAAATCTGTTAAAATTTATAAGTGTATGTATTCCCATCAACCCAACAATGCACCCCTAAGGATTTAGCCAAAGAAATACATGCACTAATATATAAAACTAGAGACAACAATGTTTGAGATGATTTGTAATACAAGAAACAAACAAAAAAATGATGAGCAAGTGAATAACCATCCATGGGATAATGGTTGAAAAATTATGTGCATCCATACCAGGGACCGTCACATGCTTCTACAGAGAATGATCTGGAGCTAGTCTAGTGGACTTGTGAGTAAGTCCACAAAGTCGAATGAGGAAGAAGTGAACAATAAACAAACCCTTCGATTTGTCAGCTAAGAGTAGGAGATGATGCAAGCATGGACAAAAGGACCCCTGGAGGGTACGCACAAGTCAGAGGTGAAAAGAAAATGGAGATGCGGAAGGCAAGCAAAAAAAAAAAAAAAAAAAAAAAAAAAAGAGGAAACTATATAGATAAGACTAAAATCATATCATTATATCTGTTATGATTCCATCGTGTGCATCTGAGAATATACATAAAAATCAAGGCCAAAAAAACCCACTACAATTAGTTATATCTCTATTTAGTAATCTGTAGGGATACTTGTGATATATCAAGTTAAAAGCAGGAGGTAAATGTTATCTATTATGATTCTATCTTAGTAGAAACAACTGCGCCCCTGCACGCTGCATCTAACCTTCCACGGGTTTGCATGAACCAGGTAGAACCTATGGGAGCACTCACATAGCTCTTATTACCCAGAGAGACTGGAACTGGGGTTGAGGTAGAAACAAAGGCCATAATTAGCTCCCCCTGTGTGTCTTTGTGTCGTTTCACTTGTTACACAGCAAGTCTACAATTTTCAAGACATCAAAGAAAGAAATGTTATGTATCAGTAGCATCACTCTATCATTAACAGTCCAGAAATACAGCTCTTGGTGGGGAAGAACATTGAGGCAAAAGAAATTTCAAGTCTTTACCACTCTATTTCCATCTTCATGGGCGACTTGAATGTGAAATTGCTCGATATCTGTTAAAAAAGAAACAAAGATAATTTAAGCTTCAAGGAAAACCACGGTTGCTTCAAACAAATAGTGTAAAAGCAGTGTAGAATGGGGCCAGCGCTGTGGCATAGCGGGAAAAGCCACCAGCTGCACACTGGTATTCCATATGGGCACCAGTTCAATTCCTGTCTCCTCCACTTCCGATCCAGCTCTCTGCTATGGCCTGGGAAAGCACTGGAGGATGGCCCAAGTACTCGAGCCCCTGCACCCCTGTGAGAGACCCAGAGGAGGCTCCCGACATGGAAGATCTCCTGGTGTCTCTCTCTGCCTCTTGCCCTCTCTGTAACTCTGCCTGTCAAATAAAATAAATAAATCCTTAAAAAAAAAAAAAAAAGGCAGTGTAGATTAAACACATGGCTATGAGGCAGGACAGTCAGAGACAGGAATCTCACAACATAGAGCCAAACTCTTAGTCTACTTCAAGTCAGGCATTTATTCTGCTCTTTGTTCCAAACGATCAGGAAGCACTGGGCCCTTCTGCTCCCCCGGGCTGGCCCTCAACAAGTATCTGTCCTCCCGGCACCATCAGTGTTCCACAGGGCTAACCAGGGCTCACTCAGCAGAACTGGTCTGCAATCTCCAAACACCACAAGTACTTGTTTGTGGGAACCTATCACACAGAAAACTCATTGTATGAGGTATTTGGGGAAAGCATTTTTATAGGGGTCATTTTCACACCAGCAAAACCCTAAACACTTTAAATCAATTTGTTGATGGCCCCTTGCTACCAATAACAATGAAGACTCAACCTTGCTTATCTTCTGCTGGTTCTAGTTATAAAAATGTGATATGGGCAGGTAAGCAAGAGCAGAGGGAAGCAACCAAACCCCTTGGGCCTGTCCTCCTAACTGTAAGTCAGCATTTTCACCGTCTAAGACGGGGACAGACCATGCTAAAGCTGTCCCCACCCCCTCCATCCAAGCCTCTCTCCATACACAAGGTATCCACTGTGACAGACATCCATAAAGAGGGTGGTTCAAAGGAGGCACACATGACCTGTCAAATGTCCTACAAACATTCCACCTTTCACAACACTGGAAACCTATGTATGCACAAAGCCATCATTCCCAGTGCTTGAGGGAACCACACATGGGGCACCAAAGAAAAAGTCCTTCCACTGGGATTCTAGGTCTCAAGTGTCCATCAGGGGTCAGCAGACCCTCAACAGTAGCAAGGACATCTAGAAGATTCTATCATGCCCCACACTTCCCTAGGAGACTATGTGACACTCACGAAGTCCCCACGTACCACCTAAAGGAACACTTACATCTCTCTTCTGAAATCAGCAATAGATGGTTCTCTGGGAGTGGACGATTTTCAACATGCGGGTAGAGGAACTGGAAGAAAGGAAATTAGCCAACATCAAGCAATGATCTTGCTTGCACAAATATTTCAGAAACCGCGTTTGCTCACAGTACCACCACACACTACAGAAGGTGCAGGGAACCTCAGAATAGTTTAGGGTAATCACACGCATACATGCACACATCACAGGTCCAGACAAGTATGAGAAGAGTGCACATTGTCAGGGCTTCAGTTTTCCATGGGCAAACCGATTTCATGGCCAGCACTCTGACCATTTAAACTGTAAGGCTAACGTTGAAGCTATTTCTAGGGATGGTGTTTCCCATTTTGAATATCCGATACTGATGCCAATCAGAAGCAATGCAAACAGCATGTATACAGAGTGTTTTACTTCACACACAGAAAGGCCAATTCATTCATTGTGCAACTAAACCTAGTATATAATTTGAGAGGCAAGTAAACACATTCCCCGCCACAACTTCCAAAGTCCCACATCAAGAGACAAAGCACTACCCAACCAGGGACTTTCCAAGAAAGCGCAGTGAGTCACGGTGTGGCGTGTGGCTGAGATTTCTGAGCCTCCAAGCACAGGATGACTGCCATGGGAAACAAAGGCTCTGGCCTCTCTGTTCCCCTTCCCCTGTGCTCTCCCGTCTGGCTCACCACCGCGTATCTGTCCACAGGACAAAGCACGCAGCCAGCAACGCCAAACCTGACCCTATAGGCTGTGATCAAGATTTAACGTTAGCCACGGTGACTTTATTTTTCAACATCCAAAGGGTCACTACACATCAGCCATTTAATTCCACGCATGAAAGACAGCTTACTAGGTAGGATCCATGAGTCAGTTTTGTTCTCCCTCCAAAACTTGAACACATTACAAAATGATATGACCTTTTATGTCTCAATTTTATCAACATCCTCACTACAACATTTTTATAAACCTCAGAAAGTTCATGGAAGATGTTTATGTTTATGTACTTATTTGTTTGAAAGGCAGTTACAGAAAGGGATAAATGTTTTCCATCCACTGGTTCACTCTACAAATGGCCGGGGCTGGACCAAACCGAACTTAAGAGCCAGGAACTCTACCCTGGTCTCCCATATGGGCGACAGAGGCCCAAGTACTTGGTCCATCTTCTGCTGCCTTCCCAAGTATAGTATCAGGGAGTTGGATTGGAAGCAGAGAAGCTGAGACTCTAAAAGGCATTCAAATATGGATGCCAGTATTGCAGGGGGCAGCTTAACCTAGTGAGGCACAACACTGGTCCCAGAAAACAGCACATCATGAAAAACCTGTGCATGCACCTTGAAAATGTTTTTGCATCAAAATAAACTTATCGGAGCTGGTATCGTGGAACAGGTTAAGTTACCACTCGCGATGCCAGCAACCCACACCGGAATGCCAGTTTGAGTCCCAATTGTGCCACTTCCTATCCAGCTCCCTGTTACTGCACCTGGGATAGCAATGGAAAATGATCCAAGTGCTTGGGCCCTTGCCACCATGTGAGAAACCAGGATCCAGTTCCTGGCTCCTGGCTTTTGCATGGCCCAACTCTGGCTATTGTAGTCATTTGGGGTATGAACCTATGGATGGAAGATCTGTCTCTCCTTCTGTCTTCCAAGTCTGTATAAATTAAAAAAAAATCTGCTACTTTAAAAAATATTATTTTAATCCCATTTTTCCATGAACTTTTTAAAGAGCCCTTGCATATTACCTGGTGTCTTAATTTTTCACAATAATAAGCTGGAAATAGAACTGCTTGATTTTTAAAATTTATAGTCAACTTTCCCTTTTAGAATTAAGAACAAGGGAGGGACACAGTGGTTAAGACATCACCTGAGGGGGGGAGGGGTCGGCACCATGGCTCATTGGTTAATCCTCCACCTGCAGTGCCGGCATCCTATATGGGTGCCGGGTTTCCAGCCCCAGTTGCTCCTCTTCCAGGCCAGCTCTCTGCTGTGGCCCGGGAGGGCAGTGGAGGATGGCCCAGGTGCTGGGTCCTGCACCTGCCTGGGAGACCAGGAGGAAGCACCTGGCTCCTGGCTTTGGATCGGCGTAGCTCCAGCCATAGTGGCCATTTGGGGGGTGAACCAATGGAAGGAAGACCTTTCTCTCTGTCTCTCTCTCATTGACTAGCTCTCAAAAAAAAAAAAAAAAAAAAGAAGACATCACCTGTGATCCCCGCATACTCTATCCGAGTGCCTGGGCTGCAGTCCTGGCACACCCTCCAGTCCAGCTTTCTGCTAATGCACACCCTGGGGGGCAGCAGTTGATGGCTCAAGTGGTTGGGTCCTTGCTACCTACATCAGGGACATGGATGAGGTTGCAGGCTCCTGGCATCAGCATGACCCAGCCCTGGCCATTGCAGACATTTGAGGATGGAATCCATAGATGTGAAAGATAGCTCTGTCTCTCTCCCCCTCCCTCCCTTTCAAATCCATAAAAATAAGTAATTTGAAAGTTAAGTTTAACCAAGAAAATTGAAGAGCAGAAAATTAACTGCATACCATTCTTCCTATATAAAACAGACAGCCGTGCAGAATTTAGCTGCGAGAACAACATAAAACTAGTTCTCACAATCTGTACAAGTGTGCACATCATACTGGATACTTTGTGTACCGGGGTGGACGCAAAGCTGGGATGTGCAACATCACACTGTCACAGAACTGGAAAGAAAATGCGCAGTAGCCCCAGATACAGAGACACCTCCTGCTGCAGACGGCCAGGTCTCCCAGGTGGGCAGAGGTGGCCAGGGCTTGCCTGCTCAGGGACAAATCAAAGACTGAGGTGCTAACAGTCAGGCTTGCCATCATCTTCCAGTCGGAGAGCAGGCAACTTTGAAAGCCCCACATAGGTAGGTATGGCTTGTCTATGAGGAGACGGTCCCAGAGCAAAGCCTGGAAGCAAACCATTTGGGCCTCAGACACAGCTCAGCAAAGGCACTCCAGGCGGTTCTTTGCTCTCTCCATGGCAGTCTCTACAGAGAACATTGTATTTAGGGCCACATTCACCTCACAAACGTGGAGCTGGGAGCATGTTTGTCTCTGGAGGATATTGGTACATGAGTGTAGAGGAATGTGCAATTACCCAGTGGGACTGTCTGCAAGAAGCAGCTCGGGCCAGGGGGGAACTTCCCAAGGGTACCAGATGGGAGACCCGAGGCCCGCCCCAGGTGTCCTGCTGCGACACCTCTGTGACAGCCAGCACTGCTTGTGCAGGGACATCAGCGCGCTGTTCTGGTAAGAAAGAGGAGATTCATCCCGGGGCAAGATCCAGCTCAGGGGACGGGGAATGGCATTTGCGTACAGAGGGGATGCATGGAGAAGGCAGTGAGGATTCGCCATGGACAGAGGCTTGGAGAAGTCTCTCCCTGCGGAAACAGACACGTGAGGAGCAGGGGGCAGGGCTGGGAACCGAGATGACCCACAGTTTACTTTTGGGAGAGGCGGGGGGAGGGGCTCTTCCTTTGGCCTCTAGCTGCTTTCATGTGTTGCATACTTCAAAAATTTTTAACTGAGGTACAGCTCACTAGCATAAAATTCACCATTTTAACCACTTCAAAGTGCACAGTCCTCAGGGGTGTTTCCTAAGTCATGGTGTTGAACAAATACGCACTCTCAAACATTCTTTCCTTTTCTCTCACTCTCAACCTGTCCATATGTCTGCGTCATCAGTGTAGCCCCTGGGGGTGGGGGTGGGGGCGCGAAATTCCAAAGAAGCCAACCGAACACTGGCAAAAAAAGCAAAGTGTCCCTGTCCCCTGTCACCACCACCCCACCCCATGACAGTGCAGACACAAAGTGGCTCCCTGGGGGAGAGGAATGCAGCCTGGGGGCTCCAAGGCCAGGCCCTGTCTGGAAGCAAGATTTGCCCCCAGGAGAGCCAGGAGGGTGGGGTAGTGCACAACTGAGAGGCATAGCCAGCAGTGGAGGTCCCAAGGCAGAGGGAACCAACCCTCTCCTAGCACACTGTGCAAGAGGAAGGCCAGGGGCTAGAGACAGGGAGCAGAAGGGAAGGCAGAGGCAGATACTTCCTGTGATGCAGGTTGCCTCGAGGCAAATCAAGACTCCAGAGGTTCTGACCCCACGGCAAAATGTGAAATTGGTGCTCATAGTTATGAACATACACAGTTAGTGTGTTTATCCGTGGTAGTTACGGACTACAAAGTCCACCGAAGTATCATATACTGAATGTGGGAAAATATAAGGCTAGGTTCCTGTGAGCCTCTGGCCACGACACTTGGGTCAACAGAGGCACAGTCCTGTTGTATGTGTGTTTCTGTTTAAAGACACCTTACTCGATCATCTATTGTTGACTGATTAGCACTGAACTCCTACTACAACATGTAACTCATGCCTAGATAACTTGCCTCACAACACACATATGCTCTCCATTCAGGTCTATCCCAATCTTCTTCCAACATAGGATGCTGGACAGCACCCCAGCACTTCGCTGAGCGGCCACTTGAAACTGCGAGATACCAACACAAAGCACAAAACTTAAAACCATGGCATTATACTGTGAAAATAACACTGTTGCACGGGTGGAGGGAACCCTTGGTCTTTGTTTTTTGCTTTTTGTTTTTTGGTTTTTTGTTTTTTGTTTTTTTTTTTTTTTTTTTGACAGGCAGAGTGGACAGTGAGAGAGAGAGACAGAGAGAAAGGTCTTCCTTTGCCGTTGGTTCACCCTCCAATGGCCGCCATGGCTGGCGCGCTGCAGCCGGTGCACTGCGCTGATCCGAAGGCAGGAGCCAGGTGCTTCTCCTGGTCTCCCATGGGGTGCAGGGCCCAAGCACTTGGGCCATCCTCCACTGCACTTCCGGGCCATAGCAGAGAGCTGGCCTGGAAGAGGGGCAACCGGGACAGAATCCGGCGCCCCGACCGGGACTAGAACCCGGTGTGCCGGCGCCGCTAGGCGGAGGATTAGCCTGTTGAGCAGCGGCGCCGGCCAACCCTTGGTCTTACAAGAGCCTGGTGGATATTTATAACATCATTCAAGGGCCCTATAAAATTTAAGATTAGCCTGTTACAGATTCATTGAGTTTCCAGTCTCACCTGTGGTTGCCTCAACAGGACCAAATTATTTCATGGGCTTTCTGTTCCCCCATGGGCTGGACACTCCCAGCCCCATACAGGATCACAGCTCAACAAGAGGGTAGAGCACTGCCTTGTACCACCTCAGGTGTGCAGGTGCGCATCTATAGAACTGTTTTTCACCACTCAGCATAGATCTGAAAATGACTGGGACAGTGGCATGATTGTGAACTTGGGGTTAGGAAGTAATTTTAGTGAGAATTCGCAAATATGGAATCTGCCACAATGAGAACTGTCTAATCCACTTGCATTGTATACACAGCGCTATGTCTGAATTTGTGGAGTTGTTAAATTCAGGGATTAAGTCATTTATTCACAGATATCTCATCTAGCAAACATGATTATATTAAGTGAATGATGTTAAGTATGTTAATTTTTTCATTATTTGAGAGTTAGAGAGCTCTTACTCTTCAGATGGTCACAATGGCCAAGGCTGGGCCAAGCTGGAGCTGGACACCAGGAACACAATCCAGGTCTCCCACGTAGGTGGCAGGAACCCAGTCACTTGAGCCATCACCACTGCCTCCCAGAGTCTGCTTTAGCATATCAAACCTTGGCACTTTGATGTGGGACAGAGTGGGTCTTAACCTGCACCTTAACTGCTAGGTTAAATGCCTACTCCAAAAGTGCTTTAATAGTCAAACTATTACCATGTAAAAACATCACCTAGGTCTGAATTCTGAATTTTTATGTTTAGGAAGGATTATTGAGAATTTCTATCCAAACCCATCTGTAAGACTGCTTTGAGGGGCCCGGTGCCATGGTTCACTTGGTTAATCCTCTGCCTGCGGTGCCGGCATCCCATATGGGCACCGGATTCTAGTCCCGGTTGCTCTTCTTCCAGGCCAGCTCTCTGCTGTGGCCTGGGAGGGCAGTGGAGGATGGCCCAAGTGCTTGGGTCCCTGTACCCACATGGGAGAGCAGGAGGAAGCACCTGGCTCCTGGCTTCGGATCGGCACAGCGCCAGCCGTAGCGGCCATTTAGGGGTGAACCAACAGAAGGAAGACCTTTCTCTTTCTAACTCTGTCAAATAAAAATCTTTAAAAAAAAAAAAAAAAGACTGCTTTGAGAGTTCAGCATGATCATGTGTGTGAAATCCCTGGTCAACACCATTTCCCCTAGGTTTCAGGCCTCTTGACTAAATGAGATTAAACGATGACTGCCAGACTGACTTACCTGCACCCAAACACAGCTATCCACTGCTTTTAGAACCTTCACGTTGTTAACCGGGTGGATTTCAACTAACAAAGTCAAGCACTTGGATCCTGCAGAGTAAATGAGGCATTAAGTAATGAAGAGAATACATTATCTTTTCCAAAACAGGTAGGAAGAGGAATTCCTGGGAAATCCCAATTTTGACTGTAACAGAACAGAACAATTCTATTTTCACTTGCGTAAAGTACAGCGAGGTGGCTTACACCGTTACTCTCTCCTCAGTTCCACTCATCAGGGATATGTGAGGAATCCAGGACCTCGAGGGCCATCAGTCTAGCAAAGCAGCCACCTTCCCCATCCTCAGGAGCCCTCAAGAAGCTGCATTTTATTATGAAAACCACAGGACCCTCAAGAAATGCAAATGCCAAGAGGGAACTCTTTGAACAGCCTAGGATATGACAGCAGACACCAGGACAAACAAATTTCAGGTTAAAAGAACTCTTTATAAGAATGCATTGGACTGAAAACACAAGTGGCTTCTAAAATTGAAAATGACATCACGATGCGCTCTCACAGCAGCAATGTATGACAAGCAGGATTCTAACATGTATCATCTCCCCCCAAGTTCACAAGATACTAACATTTGTAAAACAGGGTGTGTCTGAACTTTGAAGAAGTGTGTTAGCTATTGCAGTAATTATTGCAAAAAGAAAAGCAACTTCATTTTTAAAATGATTTTTTTTAAGAGTTGTGTATTCATTTTTTAGAGAGAGAGACCTCCATCTGCTGGTTCATTCCCCAAATGTCAACAACGGCCAGGACTGGGCCAACTCCAAGACAGGATCCAGGTACTCAATACAAGTCTCCTATGTGAGTGGCAGGAACCCAACTACTTGACCCATCACCACTGCCACTCAGGGTCTATATTAGTAGGAAGCTGGAGTTAGGAGCCAGAAGTAGGCACCAAACCCAGGTACTCTGACATGAGAGGCAGATGTCCCAACAGCTAGGCCAAATGCCCACCCCAATTTTCTTCAAGTTTCCTTTGATACTTCTTCAAATGCAAAACAGATCCAGGAAACATCGCAGGGCAGAAGTCAGTGTGTACAGAGTGAGAAACAAGTTCCTACCCATAACTCGGCCACTGATAACAGCTTCACGGGCTCTCATGGCTTCAAAGTCCACACAACGTAGTTCAGTGTCACTGCAACTCAGCAGCACAAGGGCACAATTGTGCAGGCAAACAGAAAGCCACTTCCTCTGCATGAACACACAGTGGCCGCCAGGGCCTCTCAGTCAGACAGGGATGGTGGACAGCAGCACTGACAATAAGCCACCAGTTTCCTCAGTGTCACATCTGAGCAGATGCTACAGAAGAGAGCCATGAGGAAAGCTGTGGACATGAGCTAGAACGGGATTACGACAGACACCCAGACTTCAGCCAGAGGTTCCCCTGCTCCAATATTAAAGCCCAAAAATTAAAAAAAAAAAAAAATCAGCTGCCTTATGTCTGAGTTCTTATTAAGATTCTAATATCAGGGATTCTCTTGCTGTCTTTATCTTGACATGTAAATTGGGGGTAGCGCAGCAACCTGGAATTAAATGTTGAAAACTGGCCATGATTCAAGAAAGTAACCTGACAACATTCCTTTATTTCAAAAAAAAATTTATTTTTAAGGTAAAGGATATAAAATGGTGGCAGGAGTTGCAGTATAGCAGATTAAAACACCACTTGGGGATGCCCACACACGTGGGGGTGCCTGATTCATGTCCCAACTTCCCCATGCCTCGGATCCAGCTTCCTGTTAAAGTGCCTGGAGAGCAGCAGATGATGGCCCACGTACCTGGGATCCTGCCACCAATGTGGGAGACTCAGAATGAGTTCTTGGCCCCTGGCTTTAGCCTAGCCTTGCCCTAGCTGTTTTGGGCATTTGGGGAATGAACCAGCATATGAAAAATCTGTCTCTCCTTCGCTGTCACTACTCTTTCAAAGTAATAAGTCTTTTTAAATATATAAAGGGCTCGGCGCCACGGCTCACTAGGCTAATCCTCTGCCTTGCGGCGCCGGCACACTGGGTTCTAGTCCCGGTCGGGGCGCCGGATTCTGTCCCGGTTGCCCCTCTTCCAGGCCGGCTCTCTGCTGTGGCCAAGGAGTGCAGTGGAGGATGGCCCAAGTGCTTGGGCCCTGCACCCCATGGGAGACCAGGAGAAGCACCTGGCTCCTGCCTTCGGATCAGCACGGTGCGCCGGCCACAGCACACCAGCTGCGGTGGCCACTGGAGGGTGAACCAACGGCAAAAGGAAGACCTTTCTCTCTGTCTCTCTCTCGCTGTCCACTCTGCCTGTCAAAATATATATATATATGTATATATATATGTATGTGTGTGTGTGTGTATAAATAAATAAATAAATAAATAAATAAATGAAGGGCTGGCTCTGTGGCGTGATAGGTTAAGCCTCTGCCTGTGGCACCAGCCCATATGTATGCTGGTTCATGTCCCAGCTGCTCCTCTTCCGATCCAACTCTCTGCTAAGGCCTGGGGAAGCAACAGTAGATGGTCCAAGTCCTTGGGCCCCTGCACCCACATGGGAAATGGGAAGAAGCCCCTGGCTTCAAACTGGCCCAGCTCTGGTCATTGCGGCCACTTGGTGAGTGAACTGGAAGATAGAAAACATTTCTCTGTTTCTCCCTCTCTAACTCTACCTCTCAAATAAACAAAAACCTTTTCTAAAAAATGTAAAACAATTTCTAGGAGGTAGACTAACAATGTCAAGGACCGATGTTTGTACCGATGTTTCTACAAACATGCCTTTAAAAGATGACTTGAAAAGGCAAGTAAGTCTATGAGTGACAAACCTGCAACGACAGAACAAATGAGAACCAAGTAAATAAATAAGACTTTTTTTTTTTAGAAAGTAAAATTGGAGAAGTTTTAAGGACAGAAACAATCTTCCTGCACTCATTTTTCCTTTCTTTAGAGCATCTCAGACTTTCAACTACCGTAACTAGCACAAGGATAAGAGTAAGCTTTGCGAACAGGAATTCCTCTCACTAACAGAATCAAGTGCTTTCACAGTGTAACAGGACACACTCTGGAATAGGACTCCAGAGACACGCTTCGAGTTTTAGTTCAACCACTATCCCAACAGATGCCTTTCAGAATATCACCAAACTTTCCTAAGCCTCAATCTCCCATTATTAAATAAAATACCATAGAACAAGATGACGTCTACAATCATTTCGGACGTAAAATCTCAAGGTTCCACCATGAACTTGAATTTAGAATTGAGGGAAGTTAGGTGTGGGCGGAGCCTGAGGAGGCTGTCACTGAAGGGGAAGACGAGGCAGGCAGGGGATGGAGGACAGTGGGAGCAGGCGCTGAGGGACCGAAGCACAGGGCCAGGTATGACTGGGGAGGGGAGACCGAGGAGCCTGGTCTGACGTAGGTGAGCATACAGGCTGTGACACGGTGACAAGTTCACAAGAGTTTCGTAGGGAGTGGTTCTGCAGGAGCTCTGGTTAGTAGAGCCCTTGACCTGAACCTCGGCTTTCCGGAGCACCCGGGTGCACGCTTCTGCCTATAGGGGCACCCAGAGGTTCTAAAGAGTGTCAGCAGCAAAGGGACCCTGACGCACAAGGTCGCCCCAACCGCTGCCCAGTAGGAATCTTCCATGTAGAGCAGTGGCCAACTTGGGCCTGGCCGTTTTCTAGATGAAACGTTGACTCACCATGGGCCCAGCCAAGGCGAGAAGCACTGGTGATGAACACTGTATTGTGGTATAAAGTGCATGCACCAAAGAACTCTATTTTGTCTACATGAAAAATGTCACAGCTTGTCTATTTTGCAGTATTGGGGGCAGGGGGGGTCTCACTTCAAGCAATCATATGTTAGCATCTTGAGGCAAGCCACATTTTCTAAACAAATGGCTTCATGAAGACAAAACGCCTTTCCAAAATATCTGTTCAAAGGATAAAGCCTGGATCCTGTGGTACTTTCTGCAAACATCGGTTCTGAAATCTTCATGGGACTCTGACCATGAGCAAACCGTCCAAACACTGACCACTCCCAGTTGCGTATCTGAAGCTCCAGTCTCTCACCTGAACTTGGGACTCACATCCAATTTCCTACCTCACAGCGAACTTAGCACGGGACAAAACCCAAGTCTTCTTTCCTATAGCCTCCAACAGTGCACGCACTCACACACCTGTTCTGGCCAAAAACCCTCAGAGCGAGTCATCCTTGTCTCTTTTTCCCATATCCTGTCAAATCCACAGGCAATTTTGCCAAGTCTGTTTTCTAAACACATCCCAGCCTTGCTCCAACCCCGCAGTGCAAGGCACCGGGAGCGGTCCGAGCAGCCTCCCGGCTTTCTTCCTGCCCTCCTGCGGTCCATTTTCCACACAGCAGCTACCGTGCTCCTTATCCAAAGTCCAGCCACTTCCCTGCTCAAAACCCACACTGCTCCCCACTTTACTGGGCACAAAGGCCTCCGCTTCACAATGGCCTCCGAGGGTCTACATGATCCGCCCGCCACTCACCCCCTTTTCCCACTGACTTCAGTGCCTTCCATTCTGCCCCTTGTTCATTCCACTGCAGTCTCCCTGACCTCCCTGCTGCCCTTGAACTGTGAGTCTACCAAGTCCAGTCCAGCCTCAGGGCTCTTGGTGCCAGGTATCCGTGTGGCTGGAAATGTGCCTTCCCTTTCTCCTCTATCAGAGCTCTGATCAAACACGCCCTTTGTGAGGTTTCCCGGGATCATCCCCCAAATACACCAATCGCACTCAAATCCTTGCCTCAGAGGCCAGTGCTGTGGCACTGCAGGTGAGGCTACCACCTGCAGTGCCAGCCTCCCGTGTGGGCGCCGGTTCGAGTCCTGGCAGCTCCACTTCCGATCCAGCTCTCTGCTATGGCCTGGGAAAGCGATGGAGGATGGCCCGAGTCCTTGGGCCCCTGCACTCGCATGGGAGACCTGGAAGAAGCTCCTGGCTTGGCACTGGCCCAGCTCCAGCCGTTGCGACCATTTGAGGAGTCAACCAATGAATGGAAGACCTTTCTGTCTCTCCCTCTCTCTCTGTAACTCTACCTTTCAAAGAAATAAAACCTGAAACACACACACACCCCTTGGATCTGAAGCTGTTTGAGTGCTTTTTGCATCATGAGGGTCAGGAGGGGGGCACTCATCCTTCAGCTCCTTGCCCTGCCCCCATTGTTTGCAGGTTACCCTGTTGAGCACCACTGTAGGTAATAAACATTTTCACAAAAGCCCTGGACAAAAAAGCAAGAAGCAGGTGGAGCAGCAAAGGTGAGGCCGTGTCAATTATACCTGAGTGGAGCTGGGTCTCCCCACAGCAGCTGACACGAAAGGTGTGCTAAGGTGCAAAGCACCAAGATATCTAATACAATAACTATGTATGTTTTCAAAGATGCGAACAGATCATCTCAATACAGATGTCAACTGCCAAGACTGAGCAAGCACGTGTGAACATAACTTATTATCAACTACAAGTGACAGTGCAGTCAGTGTCACAGTGCATTTTCTAACATACATCATCAGGAATTACTACTTTTCTATGTGACAACCAGGCATGGACAGTAAACATCATGAGAGATGACAGTTACTACTGGATTCCCCAGCACAATGAAGAGCTTCTAAAAGGAACCAGACAGGCAATAACTAGGAAGCACAAAGAAGAGATCCAAGGTCCCGTGTGGACAGCTGGCCTTGCCATCTCAAAGAATACGAGGTGCTAGGCCTTTCTCTTCTTGGGTAAACAGGTTCATTGGCTCAGCCCAGGAGATAGGGCCATCTCCCGGTTTGACTGTATCCTTGTTTTAGGAGACAGGACACCAATGTCCTAGGTCCTATTTCACTCCAGCTAGTCCAGTTCTCTCCTTTGAAGTCAGCATTGCACCTGCTTCTAAGAGCAGCAGAGGGTGCTAAGAGGGAAGGGGTCATCGTGGTTCTCTGGATCTCAAGGCGGAGGAAGGCAAGGATGAGTAACATAAAGGAGGAGACGTCAGGGAAAGCCTCTTACCCCACCCCAACACCTCCCATAAACTTCAGCAAAGGCCCCCCCAAAAAAGGCCTCACCGAGACTCGGCACTGGGTCCCTTGCCCCTCTAAGCAGGTTCTATAAGGAAACGGGCATCACAAGACACTCGAGTCAGCCTCGCAAGCCTCACGTGCAGAATGTGTACAAAGGGTTTTTCCATCACATGCAACCCCAGGAGAACATATCTGAGTGGAAACTGTGCAAACAAAAGGAGGAATTTAAGTGCCGAACAAACAGAGCAGGTGGAAAGCACCAGGAACAGAATAGCAAGAGGCTGATAGGAGAGCCACGAGACCAGAGGTTGCGAATGTCGTCTCAGGCTGGCCCTAGCCCACAGGCGATTAACATTGCCTATGCAGGATTTTTTAAAATGCTTGTGCTAACACTTACAAATTATTATTATTATTATTATTATTATTATTATTACAAGAAAGTCCAGACTTCTCTTGATAAACCGAGAAGCTGGCCCCACTGAGCTGTCTGGCCCATTCGACAACAAAAAGTTAGAGCTGCGCTGTGGCTGTCCCATTGAAGTCCTCCATGGGGCACCCTCACCCCACAACTAGCCCCTTGAACTCTTTCTTTCGTTAAAGATAAGTATGTCTTGGCTTGCATGTTCAAAGAAGAAAGAACAAAAACCCTTTGTGGGTCACTCAGTGTTTCTTACACTTCACTTCTTTCCCTGTGTATGCATCTGTCCACTGTATGCATTTGTGACTGGAATCTGGGACCAGTGTTGGAGTTCAATGAGGGTGACGGCCACACCTCTCTTGCGTCCCACTGCATGCCTAACACATGCACAGCACCTGACGCGGAGCGAGCGCGTACTACTGCTGCGTGCTGGACAAGTGGATGGGAATGAACACTAACCTACTGAAAAGGGGGAAAGGCAGGAGAGTGTCGCCTAACCACAACTGAAACCACGCCTTGGCAAGTCAGTGGAATTGCTTTTTATTTAGTATTGGTGGACTATGCACAATTTATTAGATATTAATCAATATTTAAGCAGCTATAAGAAAAAATGGTGTCCTTGACTCTCCCAAACTTATAGCCAGCTCCTGGCCATAGTGTCCTGAAAAAAAAAAAAAAATTCTCAGCACTTGCTTAGTCTTCCAGTACTAATTATAACCCAAATACTTCTGCTTTTCTTTGTTGTTATTTTCTGTACTTCCTCGATTACTTGGGAAATTTTTGAAAGACTTGTTCATGCTTGCCTTGACCTTTGTTTTTTCATTCTGAAATATGCCAAGGCTATTTCTAAAGCTGCTTGAAATTCAAGTGAGTAGTGCAATACATTTTCATCAAGCAATAGGCGCTAAAGTGTCTAACTTCATTACCTGGTTGAAGCTCATTCCTTCTTCCTTCTTTAGTAGACTGAACGAAACTTGCAGCTAACAGAAGAAAACAAAAATCCATGAGCAGTTATTCCATGTGATGTGTCAAAGGTTATCATTTATCCCCAAAATAAACCAGGGCTCAAAGAATCTGTCAGGGGAAGGTTAAGGTGGAATAGAAAAGATTCTTTTTTTGTAGGGTTACCCTACTGATTTTTTAATTCAAATCTAATTTCCCAACAACATTTCCTTCCCAGATAATCATTGTTATGGAAAAACCGAATATTGCAAAAATCCAGTACTTTGAAACTCTCAAAAGATGCAGTTCAGTTCCTGACATGTAGCAACAAAAGAGGTCAACTTACCAAGCAAAGTCCTCTCACTGTTGACAGAGCCACTGATAACTTGCAAGTCTTTCTCAAAAGTATACAGATGCTAGAAAGACAAAAGTATTAATTTGGGGTTTCAAATTAAATATCAGTTATAGGAATATAAATTTCTATTAAGCCCCATACCAAGTATGATTGTGGCAAAGCATTTACAAAACAATCAATAAACTGTATGTTTTTTCATGCTAAGATGTTTCAGGTTTCTAAATAGGCAGAGAGAGAGAGAGAGAGAGAGAGAGAGAGAGAGAGATGCAGACAGAGACAGAGACAGAGATCTTCCATCCACAATGGTTCACTCCCCAAATGGCTCCAACAGCAGAACTCGACCAGGCCAAAGCTCCATCTGGGTCTCCCACATGAGTGGTCCAAGCACTTGAGCCATCATCTGATACCTTCCCAGGTAGATTAATAGGGGGTTGGATCAGAAGCAGAGCAGCCAAGATTCAAAGTGACACTTGATATGGGATGCTGGCATCCAAAGCAGGGCCTTAACCTGCTGCCTCACAACACTGGCCCCCAGATAACTGTTTAATGAAAAGTCGGCTATTGGATACCATGTTTGACCCTGAGACTTAGCCATGAGACAACAAAACCTAGTATTGAAGAGCGCAGACCTTGGAGCCGGAGGAGACCCAAACTGAAATCCTAAGTCTGACACTCAGTGGCTGTGTGATTTGAGACAAATTACTTAGCCTTTCCATCCCCAGTGAGTAAAATCTATTTCAAGAAGTTGTTAGGAAGATCAAGTGAGATAATCCACATGAAGCACTTAGTACAATGTGTGCCACAAAAAATAAGCACTCACATGTTTGCTATCATCATCATTAAGGCAAGTAAAGTTTTAATCAAAACACACAACTGATGAAGATGTCACTTGTTTTGTCTTAGACACTGTCACGAGAGAATCTTCTGTGGGGCTAGAGGATGGGCAGAGGATTCTATTATGATTATTTAATCTTTTTCTTTTCTGTTTGCTGCTTGTGATGTCCCAGAGTTGCAAGACTCCATTGCCTTGAGTATTAAAACATATGGTCACACAAGAGAATGTGCAGCTCGGAGCGAGGATCTGCAGACAACCAGTGCAACGTCAGACAAAAGCTCGGACGGGACACTCAACATATAGGAAAGACAACCAGTCTGAAACCCAGCAGAGAATCAGCGAAGGGAAATAGTTAACAGCCTAAGTATCAAGAAGGCAGTTAGTACACAGACTATAAAGGCCCTGAGAACACACTAGAATTCTGCAGTCCGAAGTTGGCAGAAAACATTGGGAAAGTCAGGAAACAATTGAGAAAGTGAACTTTGAGTTAAAAAGATAATGATTCATGTGAGAAATCCTGGTTTCCTTAGAATCCCTCACTGAGAGCAAGAGTCAAATGGTAAATGAGAAGAATCACAATTGTATATGCTTGATTTTCAATGCTTTATCCTTTCAATTATAAAACCACACATGAGCATAGTCTCAGGGATCAAAAGACGCAAACACTGTCCAAGTCTATTATATTCAGCCAATCCAAACTCCCCTTGTTTTTTGTTTGTTTGTTTGTTTTTGACAGGCAGAGTGGACAGTGAAAGAGAGAGACAGAGAGAAAGGTCTTCCTTTTGCCGTTGGTTCACCCTCCAATGGCTGCCGTGGCCAGCGCGCTGCAGCCGGCACACCGCGCTGATCCAAAGGCAGGAGCCAGGTGCTTCTCCTGGTCTCCCATGGGGTGCAGGACCCAAGCACTTGGGCCATCCTCCACTGCACTCCTGGGCCACAGCAGAGAGCTGGACTGGAAGAGGAGCAACCAGGCCAACTCCCTTTGAAAACGAATATTGTTGATCATTTTTCTCTAGAGCCTTCTAGATCTTTCATGAGTTTTCAGTATTTATTTATGCATTTACACTGCATAGTTTTCTTGTAAGTTTTTAAAAGACATCTATTTATATGTCTATTTATCTACCTATTTATTTATTTGAAAGATGGTCAGATAGAGAGGAATCAATTTTCCATCTGCTGGTTCATTCCCCAAATCGCAACAAATGACCAGGGCTGGGTCAAGCCAAAGCCAGGAGGCACCAACTCCATCTGGGTCTCCCAGGTGGGTGGCAGGGGCTCAAGCACTTGAACCATCTACTTTCACCTTTTCAGGCACATTAGCAGGGAGCTGGATCAAAAGTGGAGCAGCCAGGACTCCAACCAGCATCTGAATATGGAACGCCAGCATCACAGGCTTTGGCTTAACACATCGTACCGTAACTCTAGTCTAGTAAGCTTTTTAAGACCTAAATGGAATGTTATTCGGACAGTTTCCTTTTCTCTTATAACAGTGTTTTAGAGAACCTCCTGTGCCAGCATACATTTACAGCCTTCTGAATCCTCTAACAGTTGCACTGATTTCCAAAGAACTTCCTAAGAAGCATTTCATTGCTCCCCTATCTTTGGACATGGCAATGATCCAGGGAAATTCCTTTTACATACATATTTACAAACCTGTGCAAGTATTTCTGTAGAATCAAACCCTCAAAGCTGGGGTGAGCATTGTGGTACAGCAAGTTAAGCTGCAGCTTGGGATGCCTGCATCCCATACTGGAATACCAGTTTGAGTCTTGGCTCCTCCAAGCTCCAAGACAACTTCCTGCTAATGCACCCTGGGAGGCAGCAGATGATGGCTCAAATACATGGGTCACTACCACCCACACGGGAGACCCAGAAGGAGTTGCAGTCTCCTGAATTTGGTCTGGCCCAGCCCTGGCTGTTATAGGCATTTGGGGAGTGAACCAGCAAATTGAAGAGATCTATATCTTCCTCTCTTTTCTCTCTCTCTCTCTCTCTCTCTCTCTCTCTGTGTGTGTGTGTGTGTGTGTGTGTATGAGAAATAAAAATTTTTTAAATCAGCCCAAACAGCTTATGCAAAAAGGCAGTTTCACATAGAATTCAGTAGCATAGAGTACAAGGCTTCAGCCTACCTCCAAATGCCTATTCTTCAGCATTATGGGATCAACACATTTTGGGCCTCCACATATTGAAGATCCAGGTTCTAGCCCCCAAAGCCACAGCAGTTCCAACCTCACATTTGCATATCACCGAATCCATTGGGAGACAGGAGAATCTATGCCCCAAATTCCTAGGAAGTCCAGTATTCACTTGTATTCAACTAGTTGAGGTCATAACCACTCTTGTATGCACAAACAGGAGAGGCCCACATGAAAGGGAATGGAGAGAAGAGGTGAGAGAGGGTGAGAAAGGACAGGTATTGAAATTTATTATGCATACGTGATTTCCTCCAACTGGGCTACTGCAAGGAGAAATCACTCAGTCAAAACTTGAGAGAGTGTCAATGTGAAACAGACAAATGTCACCCCCTCCCTTATACTAAGTATAACTGAAAATGCCTTGGTGTGTATAACACAAATCTAAGATGACTAAGGCAGGCAGACTCTCCAGTGGTGCGTTCCCTGGGTTTTCCTTGTGCATCATATATCCTAGACTCAAAGCATAAGAAGCAAATACAACAGAAATGCAGACAGGAGCAGAGAGAAGCACACACACATACACACCCTAGCCAAAGAAACAGGAAAGGGGAAACCTAGCAAGACAGATAACTTTTAAACTAAATAAACCTTTTAAAGGAAAGATTTTTTATTTATTTGAAAGGCAGAGTTACAGAGAGGGAGAGGTTTACCATCTGCTGGTTCACTCCCCAAGTGGCCACAATGGGCTAGGACTGGGCCAGGCCAAAGTCAAGAGCTTCATCTGGGTCTCCCATGCGGATGCAGGGGCCCAGGCACTTGGGCCATCCTCCATGGCTTTCCCAAGTACATTAGCAGGGAGCTGGACCAGAAGTGGAGCAGTCAGGAATGGAACCAGCACTTATATGGGATCCCTGCACTTCAGGCAGCAGCTTAATCCACTATGCCATAGCACTGGCCCCTCTTTTTAAGACTTATTTCTTGGGGCTGGCGCTGTGGCACAGTGGGTTAAAGCCCTAGCCTGAAGCGCCAGCATCCCATATAGGCACCAGTTCTAGTCCAGGCTGTTCCACTTCCAATCCAGCTCTCTGCTATGGCCTGGGAAAACAGTAGAAGATGGCCCAAGTCCTTGGGCCCCTGCACCCAAGTGGGAGACCCGGAAGAAGCTCCTGGCTCCTGGCTTCTTATCGGCACAGCTCCAGCCATTGCCGCCAACTGGGGAGTGAACCAGTGGATGGAAGACCTCTCTGTCTCTACCTCTCTAATTCTTTCAAATAAATAAATCAAATCTTTATTTAAAAAAAAAAAAAGACATTTCTTTATTTGAAAGAGAGAGAGAAAGAACCATCATTTACTGTTTTACTCCTCAGATGACCACAATAGCCAGGGCAGGGCCAAGCAGAAGCCAGGAGATTCTTCTGGGTCTCCCACGTGGGTGGCAGGGACCTGAGCACTTGGGCCATCTTCTACTGCTTTCCCAGGCCACAGCAGAGAGCTGGATGGAAACAGAATAGCCAGGACACAAACTGGTACCCATATGTGATGCCAGCTTCACTGGTGGCAGCTTCAGCAGCTACACCACAATGCTGGCCCTAGGGGTTCCATCTCCTAAGATTAACTTAATGTCTTCCTGCCTTTCAAATAAATGAATGTCATTAAAAAAAAAAAAAAAAAAACCACCTAAGTGAATCCCAAACAAGAAAAACCCAAACAAATCCATACCGATACATGTCAAGATCAAACTTTAGGAAACTAAGGACAAACAAAAATTTTGAGAATTAGGGGAAAATGAAGGAAAACAATTTAAAAGACAGCAGCTTGGGTCTGGCACTGTGGTGCACCAGGCTAAGTTGTCACCTTTTATGTCATCATCCTATATTACAGTGCCAGTTAAGAGTCCTAGTTGCTCTCCTTCCAATCCATGCTAATGCTCCTGGGAAAGCAGAAAATGGCCAAAGTACCTGGGTTCCCACCCTCAATGTGGGAGACCTGGATGGAGTTCCTAGCTCTTGGCTTCAGCTTGGTCCAAATCTTGCTGCTACAGTTATTTGGAACATAAAACAATGGATGGAAGATCTTCCTCTAAATCTCTATCACAATATTCTTAAATATTAAAATCCAGAAGATTACTCATAAGAAATTATGGAAGTCAGGAGAAAAGTGGCACATTTCTCTAGAGCTGAAACATAGGGACTGTCAATCTTGAATTCTATAATTGGCAAAGTTATCCTTGAAAAAAGAAAACATTAAGACATTCTTAGATAAAGGAAAACTATGAGAATTTATTTCATCAGTATACTTACCCCAAGATAATAGCTTAAAAAAAGTTCTTGAAAGAGAAAGGAAATGATCAAAGGGGAATCTTGCCACCTACATAGGACAGTCAGATGGAGTTCCTGGCTCCTGGCTCGACCCAGCCTAGTCCAGGTCGTATCCATCAATCAATCATTCAATATCTCTATCCTATACTATCTTTGGAATCAATCAATCAACCTTTAAAAAAAACAGTGAGAAAAATGGAAAGTAATTAATGGGTAAACCTAATTTACTTCCCTTCTCATGTTTTCTAATATGCTTGACAATTGAGACAAGAAGTGTACCAGTGTCTATTTCTGTGGATTTCAGAGTTCAAGGAAAAAATTGAAGATAGTTGTAAATGGGAAAGGTAAAGGGATTTAAAGAAGGAACTCTATACACACAAGATGTAACAGTCAGAGAAAATGGGGTGAAGGGTATGTGGGACATCGCTGCACTAGCTTGAAAATTAAAAAAAAAAAAAAAATTCAAGCAAAGGATGAGGAGCCACCATCATTCCATCCTGAAGCTCTGTCGCCAAGAGACAGCATCTTTTGCTTGGCAGTACCCCTCCAAGGCAAAGCATAGTTGAGAATTTGAAAGCCCAACTAGACTTGGCATACAAATTCATGACCTCAAACTATTAAAGGGCTGATTAAAAAGCATGTGGGTTATAAGGATTCATGAGTATGTGCGGGGGGGGGGGGGGGGGAGGGAGTTGCTTAGCAGCTGTAGTAACTTGAATGTTTCCCCCCAAAGTTCATCTATTGGAAACAGAATGCCCATTGCCACAGTGTTGGGTGGTAGGAGTCTAAGAAAAGCTGACTGGGTCACGAGGGCTCTGCACTCATGAATGCTTTGATGTTGTTTTCACACAAGTGGGCCAGTTATCCTGGGAGGGGGTTTATTATGAAGTGAATTCCACCCCTCTTGCTCTCACTTCCCTTACTCTTCTTCCTTCCAAGTTGGGATGATGCAGCAAGATGTGAGCCCCTCGATTTTGGACTTCCCAGCATTCAGAACTATAAAAACTATAAAACTATAAAAAGTTCTGCTCTTTAGAAATCACCAAGTCCTGGGTATTCAATTACAACATCAGGAAAAGGACTAAGACAGCAACTACAGTTCACAATCAAGTGTTGCCCGTTTTTGTTGTTTTAAAGATTTATTTGGGGCCCACACCATGGCATAGTGGGCTAAGCCTCTGTGTGCGGCACTGGCATCCCATATGGGCAATGACTGGAATCCTGGCTGCTCCTCTTCCAATCCAGTTCTCTGCTAATGGTCTGGGAAGGCAATGAAACATGGCCCAAGTGCTTGGGTCCCTACACACATATGGGAGACTCAGAAGAATCTCCTGCCTCCTGGCTGCAGATCAGCACAGCTCCAGCCATTGCAGCCATTTGGGGAGTGAACCAGTGGATGGAAGACCTTTCTCTATGTATCTCCTTCTCTAACTCTACATCTTAAATACATGAATCTTACAAAAAAAAAAAAAAAAAAAAAAGATTTGAAAGGCATAGAGAGAGAGAGAGAATGAATGAGATCTTCCATCTGCTGATTCACTTTCCAAATGGCTACAATGGTCAAGGCCAAGGCTGGGAGCCAGAAGCCAAGAGATTCTTCCAGGTCTCCCATGAGGGTGCAGGGGCCCAAGCACTTGGGCCATCCTCTGCTGCTTTCTCAGGAGCAGTAGTGAGGAGCTAGATGGGAAGTGAAGCAGCCAGGACTCAAATTGGAGCCCATATGGGGCCACACACCGGCCCCAAGTTGCCTGATTTAAAAACTAGTTAATTACCCATTAATTTACCCATTAGCCACTTTGTTTTCTGAACTAACTTCCATATTTGTATATCCAAAGGAGCTTTGTCACTAGAAGAAATTTGAAAACAGCCTCTCTGGATGGAATCAATCAGTATTTATTCACTGAAAAGCATTCACCAAATTCCTACCCCTCACCAGGCAGTAAGCCGAATGCAATAGGGATGAAGCACATAGGCATGGAAAATGAGCTTACTTTCAAGCACTACAATCTTGGAGGAGAAGCATCTATCTACCAAAGATTTGTTCAGTCCCCTCCACTACAAGATAGAAGACTGATGCTTCCTGCCAACTCACTTTCTTAGAAAAGAAACCACATAAAAAGCAAGCTAAGAACTCCACTGAAAACTTGGGATCGTACTGTCTCTTTCCCTAGACTAAACTCTGAAAGGGTTTGTCTCGGTCACCACTGTGGGCCTCTAGCATCTATTTGTTGGATCGATGAATGAGTGAATGAATTAATCTATGAATATAGATCAAGGGTAGAAGAATGGGAAAGCAGAGAAAAATTTACCAAGCAACATATTGGAAGTCTGAAGAGTAAGCTGACCTGTGAGAAAGCTGAAATTTATTGATCAAGGACATTTTAAATTCAAGGGCTCTGATATTCTAAATTATTTTTACACACTCAGAAAATAACTCCATCCCATTCATCCCAAGAATTTGGCAAACCCTGCCTAATCCATGCTATAGGGGTAATTTGAGAGGAAATTAGGCAAAGGAAGCTGATTTCCATCTAGGGACTGTTTGAGGAATAATGAGAAGGTAAGAGAATGTGGAGCAGAAACCGAATGCAGAGCCAGACACTAGCGGATGACTTGGGAGCACAGATTTTGCAAGAGCCCCTGGGCTTCCTACTCCCCTACAAAATCTTGGCTAACTGGGGTGAGCAAGTTTCACTTAAATCTCAAAGGACTAAGAGTTCAGCTGATGTTTCTGCCCAGGAATCCTTGTACATTTTTCGTTTTTAAGATAATGGGGGCCAAGAGAAGGTAGAAGGGGAAAGACAGGCAAAGAAATAAAAATAAAATTTCAGAAAATGAAGTTGGAATTAGAGCTAGGAAAAAATGAAGCAGGAAGGGGAATACTAAAAGCTGTAGCTAATGACTCATCTATGATTTACGGCGACTTTTACCTCGTTCTGTCCGGTCCGGCAGTCATATAATCCAAAGAAGACATTTCCCTTATAGTCCTAAGAGAAAAAATAAATAGTTACCCAGATGCTCATTAAAGGCCATTGTTTAGGAAGTCAGAGTGTCGCTGGTTTTTAAATAGACCCTGCAATAATTCAACTAGTCCTAGCAATAAGCACTCTAAAGGAAGCTTGCCATGTACTTCAGAAAGGGACTGAACCTGATGCAGCTGGCCATTTGGGCTTCAGTAATAAAACAGACCAACAGTGCACAGACCAGTGAGTTGAGGACACCCTATCCATCAGGGCTGACCAGCGGAAGGAGTGACTCTTTTCATGCCTCCATGTGTATCTTAAAGAGAATATGTATAAAGGGTAATGGCGGCAGCTAGAAAAAGCCCATGATATTCTTGTAAGTGAAACTTTCTGAATCATACAATTCTATAAATGCACTATCCTTGGATAAAACTTAGAAACTTTAACCAAAAGGAAAAAAAAAAAAAAACAGTACAGGGATACTATGCTGGCAAAGCAAGCTGGCCACAGGAATTATTCTTTCATATTCCTACCAGTCATTGGAAAACACCAAATTCTCATTAGAGCACTTAACATTGAAAACACACTGTTAAATGACAATGCTTCAAAATTCCTAGCAAATCTAAGTCTGACTAGCCAGAGCATCTGTATTTGGTATTTTTGCAAAGATAAAAATGTAACACGTTAGTTAGGTTTAAAAACCTTTTACTTGTCATTTTTCCTCTAGAAAAGTTAAAATGTTTATTCAAAAATTTTGAGCATTATGTTAGACATGCCCCTTCATTCTGAACTTCAATCATCTACCTATTCAACCACCTCCACAAGAAATAAGGTCATATGTTTAAGGTTATATGCCAACAAATCATTTTCATTACCCCCTCAGAAAGATATAGCATGAAATTCTACATAAATAGATAAAATGATTAGGTTAGAAGGTTTTATGTTCCATAGATTTTACCACAGTAATAAAAAAGAGACTATAGACATACCTTATAGGTATAAATAATATTTCCATTTCTTTCAACGTTTAGTACACGTAAGCTCTCATAATTTTCCAAAACATCTGAAATAAGATAATTATAATTTAATACTTAGGTGTTGAAAAACATCTTGCAAATATAACACTTGTAAAAAAAAGTGCAAATGGTATATCCTGTTGATTCCATCATATAATGTTTAAACCAGGCAAAGATAATAGAAGTCTATTGTCATTCTATGATAACAGAATGATAGTGACCTCTAGGGAAGAGAAGGGGTAGTGACTGGGCAGCCTCCCAAGGGAGACTTCTGAGATGTTGGTGATGTTGTATTCATGTGCCTTATGTATACTGATAGTCACACTCTTGACCATATACTTTTTAAGATTTTATTTATTTGAAAGACAGAGTCTTAGAGAGGCAGAATCAGAGAGAGGTCTGTTTACTGTTATGTGTATGTTATACTTTGATAAATTTCAAGTACCTTTTAATTTTTGCTTTGTGTGTTTTGAGGCAAAATTATTAGAAGCCTACAAGTTCAGCACTGTTGTAAGTTCCCCATAGATGAACCCCTGTTAGCCACTCAGCTGAGCCACCAGGTGTCTTAAAACAATAAAAGGTGGTTCCAAGATGGTGGAGCAGGGAGGAAGCTTACTGCCCTAGTCCAGGAGAAAACAGTTTTTAAGAAGTGGAGAGAGTTAGGGAAGAGTTAGGGAGAAAATGGCAGAGGAAACTCTACCGAAATTAGGGGAACACAGCGAACCTACATGGAGGGTGTAGATGCCCACAACTTAAGACTTCAGCAGCCGAGAGCCTACCCAGAAGCCAAGAGCCTACACACCAGTGTTGGACCAGACCACAACAGCCCAAGCCACCGGTGATAAGGCAGCAGGAAGAGCCTAGGGGGAACCTGGCTTGGAGCCCCATGGAGGATAGTGTACCTGCCAAACTAGAGGAGGAAAAAACAAAAACAAAAAAGGATGGACATGTTTCTCTCTCCCCGATCATTTTACAACTGCATCCTGTAGCAAGCCAATAGAGCAGGCGCCATTTTGGATATACATAACAGCTGCACCACCTCGTGTCAGTGCCCAGCAACCAGCCGAGCGGAGACTCCTGACTGCTGGAGAGAACTAACAGGAAGCTAAGAGCTTGTGACTGTGTGAGATTTCTATATAGGGACTGTGGAAAAAAACTGAGGGTGTGTGGGAGGACTCTTGGTGTGGCTGGGACTTTGGGCAGTCACAGTGGGAGACTCCACACACTCAGGGCTTCCTGGTTACCAGGTGAGACATTTCTAGAGAATCTGAATTTATGCTGTGGACTGCACAGATCCTTTGTGTGGTCCTTGGGACAGAGCTGACAAATAGTTTACCCACTGGGACTAGCACTCAGACACTGGTCTCCTTTGAGGAGATGAGCTCAGCTGAGCAGAATAAATTTCCCTTCTGATTAAAAAAGATTTACCAGGCCAAAGCAAGGTGTGTCACCATAGGCACGCCCTTAACCCTGGAGAACTGAACAAGCTCCCTGGCCACACCCACAACAAGCCTCTAGAGATTCACTGAAAGTAGACATTCCACTTATCTTTAAAGTCATAATACAATGATAAAAGCCACCACAGTGAGGAAAAAAAAAAAAAAAGAAATAAACCAGTGAGTATGTCCACAAATGCTGAACAAAGGCAACAATTCAAAAAACAAGAATAAGGAAAACAACATGATGCCCCCAAAAGAATGACACATCAATGATCAATTGTGAAGATGATGAGATAGAGGAAATGCAAGAAATGGAATTCAAAAAGTTAATAAGATTACATAGAAGTAATCAGAAGTAAATGCTCAAACTACTGAAAACCATATAGGACAAAGAATTTCTCCCGTGAAATTCAGATCTTAAAGAGAAATCAAAATAAAATGAAGAATTCAATAGAACAAATACAAAATGCAGTGGAAAAACTTAACAACAGAATCAGTGAAGCAGAGGAAAGAATATTGGACTTAGAAAACAAAGCACAAGAAATTATACAGTCAAACCAAAGACAAAAAGGAAATTAGAAAACTGTAAAACACTGTTGGGAATCCACAGGACACTATCAAACAACCCAATAATAGGGTTCCAGGAGTTCCTGAAGGCATGGAAAGAAAGGATCAGAAGGCCTTTTAGTGAAATAATAACACAAAACTTCCCTAATTTGGAAAAAGAAAGGGACATCCAAGTACAGAAAGCACATAGAACTCCTAATAGACATGACCAGAAAAGATCTTCACCATGACACCTTGTAATCAAACTCTCCACAGTGAAACATAAAGAAAAGATCCTAAAATGTGCACAAGAGAAACACAGGATTACTTTCAGAGGATCTCCAATTAGACTCACAGCTGACTTCTCTTCAGAAACCCTCCAGGCTAGGAGAGAAGACCGAGCTATATTCCAAGTCTTAAGAGAAAAGAACTGTCAACCCAGAATATCATACCCTGCAAAGCTCTCATTTATGAAGGAAGGTGAAATAAAGACCTTCCATAACAAACAGAAATTGAAAGGATTTTTCACCACCTGTCCAGCCCTACAAAAGATGCTTAAGGACATGTTGCACACAGAAACATGGTCATCACTATGAAAGAAGGTAAAGGAAGAAAATCTTTCAGTAAAAGATCAAATGAAATTCAAAGTAAAAAAATTAGGAATAATTTTGGAAAAATGGCAGGCCAGAGTCGTTACTTATCAATAGTCACATTGAATGTAAATAGTCTCAATTCTCAAGTTAAAAGACACAGGCTGAAAGGATTAAAAAATAAAACCATCTATTTGCTGCCTACAAGAACATATCTCACCAACAAAGATGCACGCAGACTGAAAGTGAAACGATGGAAAAAGATATTTGATGCCAACAGAAACCAAAAAAGAGCTGGTGTAGCCATTTAATATCAGACAAAATAGACTTCAATACAAAAACTGTTAAAAAGAGACAAAAAAGGGCACTATGTAATGATTAAAGGATCAATTCAACAGGAAGATATAACTATTATAAATGTATATGCACCTAATTATAGGGCACCTGACTATTTATTTTTTTTAAACTTTTATTTAATGAATATAAATTTCCAAAGTACGACTCATGGGTTACAATGGCTTCCCCCCCCCATACCGTCCTTCCCACCCACAACCCTCCCCTTTCCCACTCCCTCTCCCCTTCCATTCACATCAAGATTCATTTTCGATTATCTTAATATACAGAAGATCAGCTTAGTATACATCAAGTATGGATTTCAACAGTTTGCTCCCACACAGAAACATAAAGTGAAAAATAATAGATGATTTTCTTTTAAATGATGATGAAATCAGAGCAGACCTATTGTCATGTTTAATCCCAGTGAGAGTCAAGTTGGGAATTGATAATTTCTTTTTTTTTTTTTTTTTTTTTTTTTTTTTTTTTTTTTTTACAGAGGATCAGTTTAGTATGCATTAAGTAAGGATTTCAACAGTTTGCACCCCCATAGAAACACAAAGTGAAATATATTGTTTGAGTACTCGTTATAGCATTAAATCTCAATGCACAGCACATTAAGGACAGAGATCCTACATGAGGAGTAAGTGCACAGTGACTCCTGTTGTTGACTTTACCAATTAACACTCCTGTCTATGGCATCAGTAATCTCCCTATGCTCCAGTCATGAGTTTCCAAGGCTATGGAAGCCCTTTGAGTTCTCCGATTCTTATCTTGCTTAGACAAGGTCATAGTCAAAGTGGAGGTTCTCTCCTCCCTTCAGAGAAAGGTACCTCCTTCTTTGATGACCTGTTCTTTCCACTGGGATCTCACTCGCAGAGATCTTTTGCCAGAGTGTCTTGGCTTTCCATGCCTGAAATACTCTCATGAGCTTTTCAGCCAGCTCCGAATGCCTTTAGGGCTGATTCTGAGGCCAGAGTGCTACTTAGGACATCTGCCATTCTATGAGTCTGCTGAGTATCTCACTTCCCATGTTGGATCACTCTCCCCTTTATTTACTCCATTGGTTAGCATTAGCAAGTACTAGACTTGTCTATGGGGCACCTGACTATTTAAAAGAAAGGTTAAGTGATTTGAAGGGAGACTTAGACTCCAATACAATAATAATGGGGGACTTCAATACCCCACTTTCAGCAATGGACAGATGAACCTGACAGAAGATCAACAAGGAAACAGCAGATTTAATCAATATTATAGACCAAATGGACCTAACAGATACCTACAGAACTTTTCATGCTACTGTTGCAAAATACACATTCTTCTTACCAGTGCATGGAACCTTCTCTAGGATTGACCACATACTAGGCCATAAAGCAACTCTCAGCAAATTCAAAAAAATCAAAATCATCATCTTGAACCACAATGCAACAAAGCTGGAAATCAGCAATTCAAATCTCTAGAATATATGCAAACACATGGAGACTGAACAACATGCTCCTGAATGAACAGTTGGTCATAGAAGAAATCAAGAGTAATCACAAAATGTCTAGAAACAAATGAAAACAACACTACATACCAAAGCTTATGGGATATAGCAAAAGCAGTGGTAAGAGGAAATGTATATAGCAATTGGTGCCTACATCAAAAAATTGGAGAAGCACCAAAGAAGTGAGCTATCAATGCATCTCAAGGATCTAGAAAAATAGCAAACCAAATGCAAAACTAGTAGGAGCAAAGAAATAATTAAAAGTAGAGACTAAATCAATCAAATTGAAACAACAACAACAACAAAAAAACAAACAATACGAAAGATCAGCAAAATGAAAAGCTGGTTTTTTGAAAAAAAAATTGACACACTATTGGCCCAGTTAACCAAAAAAAAGGAGAGAAATGATCCAGATTAATAAAATTAGAGATGAAAAAGGAAATGTAACAAACACCACAGAAATAAAAAATCATCAGAAATTACTACAAAGGGCTGTACTACCAAGGCAACAAACTAGAAGCAATGGATAGATTCCTGGACACATGCAACCTACCTAAATTGAGCCACGAAGATAAGAAAACCTAAACAGACCCATAACTGAGATGGAAATTGAATCAGTAATAAAGGCCCTCCCAACAAAGAGAAGCCCAGGA